ATGCACGTGCCGATTACCCCAAAACGTGTCAATTATATTTTTTGTAACTTTGCCAGCCGGTAGCTCCCCCACACGGGACCAAACGGTGAAAATGGCAAGAAAATCTAACTATCCGTTTTCGAGGGATTCAAAATGACCCAAATCGCGGCCGAAACGCTAAACACCCCCCTAGAGAGGTAGCTCAGGTTGGGATTTTCAATAGAAAATCACAATTCTAAAGAATAGTGATTGTCTAATTGAAAAGTCCCAACCTTCGGATAGGCCCGGGCAGCGCTTGTCGAACAGCACTGCGGATCCGAAGGTTGGGACTTTAATTGTGAAAAACCGCCCGCCACCAAACGCAAACACCGCAAAACGCGCAAAACGCACGCCTAAAACGCCAACGCAAACTTTGCAAACAAACAATCGCCCGCCCGCCGAAAACCGCAGAAAAAAAACGCACAAAATGCCGCAAAAAAGCGCGCGTCCGCCGCAAAACACAAACACCGCAAAAAACGCAAACACCGCCGCCGCAAAAAACGCCCGCATCGCCCGCCGCCAACCGCGAAACGCCGCAAAAAAACGGCCGCACGCCGCGAACCGCAAAACGCCGCAAAAACGGCCGCCCGCCGCAAACCGCTAAACGCCGCAAAAAACGACCGCCCGCCGCTAACCGCAAATAACGGCCGGCCGCCGGCAACCGCAAAACGCCGTAAAAAACGGCCGCCCGCCGCAAACCACAAAACGCCGCAAAAAACGGTCGCCCGCCGCAAACCGCAAAACGCCGCAAAAAACGGCCGCCCGCCGCAAACCGCCGCTAAAACGGCCGCCCGCCGCCAAACGCAAACAGCAAAAACACCCGCATCGCCCGCCCGCCCGCCGCCAAACACAAAAACCGCACAAAACGCAAATACCGCCGCAAAAAAACGCCCGCAACGCACGTACGCCCGCCGCCAACCGCAAAACGCCGCAAAAAAAACAGCCGCCCGCCGCCAAACGCAAACACAGCCAAAAATGCAAAAACGGCCGCCCGCCGTCAAACGCAAACCCCGAAAAAAAACGCAAACACCGCCGCAAAAAACGCCCGCCGTAAGAAAAAGCTAACACTGACGCATTAAGACAAATATGGCGCCCTGCGGCAAATGTGGTGCAATCATATCTGCCGTTTAAGCAGCCATCCCTTAATTACAGCGCATCCTAATCGTCCAATGTTCGACAAAGTTACGCACATTCTGCGCTTTGCGGCAAAAATGGCGCTTTGAGACAAACGTGGCGCACTGCAACAAACATGGCGCATTCGTTCATGTCGCTTAACAATTCATCCACCCACCAAATTTGAACCCAATCGGACCATATTTGAGAAAGTTATGGACGTTTGAATATTTCACGATAAAATATCTCCGCAAAGGAGGAGCCCAGCTGAACACGTGTGCCACGTGACCACTGGTGATGAAAGCAGGACCTGTCCCCTCACCGACTGACCCAATTTAGTGTTCTTGGCTGGTTCTGTTTCCACGCTATACGGCCACCAGTTGGACAAAACACCATTATGTGGGAGGTACTCGGCTCAAACACGTGGCCACGTGGCACGTGCCAGACCTTTCACAGCTTAACGGCTCACGCCACGTCATGACCAATATAAGTGGCCATCGGCATGTAAAAGATGACCCCGGCCGGTGTCACCGTCTCTGAACAGTGGACGGTTAAACTTGAAAAACGGGAAAATTTAGGGAAATTTTACCTTTCGAATATAAAATTTCCCCAGAATTTTAAATTTTTCATGTTGCAAAAAATCCGAGATAGCAGTTTTTTAGGCCTTTTCATTTTGTGTCTATACCCGTTTTCAGATCGACCCTATCATAAAAACTGACGGCCTGACGGCCATTTCCCCCATTCCTTGCATTTAACAACGTTGGTGTATTTAAGCACAAAAATTGACCTCGTGCCACGGCACGTGCAATAGCACGTGCGCCACGTGACCACTAGTGGGACAAGCTGGACTCATCTGCTCACCGGCTGCACTTATTTGGTGTCGCTAGGTGGAGTGGTTTCCACGCCATAGGACCCCCAGTTGGCCAATGTCGGATTTTCCCGGAGGTTACCCCATCAAACACGTTTGCACGTGGCACGTGCTTTTCAATCGCCCCATATCTGACCCATACCATGTGGTAGCCGACACCCCGGGGCACAACATATTGGGATATTTTCAAAATCTAACGTGGAAATTTTTTGCAAAATCGATTTGAAAATAATTTTTCGAATTCGCCATAGGCTCAACATGGGGTAACTGTCTGTGCCAATTACCCGAAAGTTCTCTAATTATATTTTAAGCGGTTACCACCGACGGGTGGGGTGCCAGCCCGAGAGCCGACCCTAAAAATGTGGACAAATATTACTGAACAGATTTTCCGTAAATCGCATTTTTAATTTTTTCCCATGTTAACCCTATGGGAAAATGCACGTGCCGCTTACCCCAAAACGTGTCAATTATATTTTTTGTAACTTTGCCAGCCGGTAGCTCCCCCACACGGGACCAAACGGTGAAAATGGCAAGAAAATCTAACTATTCGTTTTCGAGGGATTCAAAATGACCCAAATCGCGGCAGAAACGCTAAACACCCCCCTAGAGAGGTAGCTCAGGTTGGGATTTTCAATAGAAAATCACAATTCTAAAGAATAGTGATTGTCTAATTGAAAAGTCCCAACCTTCGGATAGGCCCGGGCAGCGCTTGTCGAACAGCACTGCGGATCCGAAGGTTGGGACTTTAATTTTGAAAAACCGCCCGCCCGCCGCCAAACGCAAACCCCGCAAAACGCGCAAAACGCACGCCGAAAGCGCCAACGCAAACTTCGCAAAAAAACAATCGCACGCCCGCCGAAAACCGCAGAAAAAACGCACAAAATGCCGCAAAAAAACGCGCGTCCGCCGCAAAACACAAACACCGCAAAAACGCAAACACCGCCGCCGCAAAAAAAAAACGCCCGCATCGCCCGCCGCCGACCGCGAAACGCCGCAAAAAACGGCCGCACGCCGCGAACCGCAAAACGCCGCAAAAACGGCCGCCCGCCGCAAACCACTAAACGCCGCAAAAAACGACCGCCCGCCGCTAACCGCAAATAACGGCCGGCCGCCGGCAACCGCAAAACGCCGTGTAGTGATTGTTCTTAATTGAAAAGTCCCAACCTTCGGATATGCAAGACGATCCCAATTTTTAATGAATCCTTTTTTAGCAATATATAAGCATTATCGTGATTTTTTTTGCCCATGCTACACGAATTTTGTGCGACGTGTCCCTCGTTCTGGCAGTTTGCCCGTGACAACCCGAAACGCATCAACTATTTCAATCACCGTGATTATCAAATCTCGTTGCGTTTCCGTTAGTCTGACGGTCCTCCCTCCGCGCAGGAAGTGGACTCGTCCGCGGCCCGGCTCCAAGGTCAGACGGTGGCCGTGTCAGCGCGCTCACGCTGCCATCTATCGGACATATACGCAGACAGGGCGCGGCTGGAGGTGCGCTCGGCCGATCTGCGCGTGGGGACCATCCACGGAGACGCAACCGTCACCGCCGCCGGCGAGGGAGAGGTGGTTATCGGTGAGTGGGGTCTCGGCGGGGATGTGCTAGTGAAGATGATGATGCTTTGATGTGACAGGGCGCACCAGCTACTACCGTAAAAATGAGATACGGATTCAAATAATGCAGTTTGAGACACATGCTTTGTGGTCATGTGATATGGTAGGTGATCTACTTGCGTTTCATGGCGTGGTAGCTGTAGCAATGGAGCTCTCACCTGCAGCGAGATAACAAAGAGCACATTTTACGATACTTACGCAGTTGCACGGCAGGAATAACATGAACAAGCATTTTGACCCGAACCTGGGATGAGCCTGCTCCCGTGGCAGAAGCCTGCTTTAGATCAGTTACAGAACTAACCGTGCCTGATAGCTAACCCGAGCTGTGCTAGTGGTCTAAAACCGTGCCCTGTCGTTCCCAGGCGGTGTGGACGGCTCTGTGAGTGTGTCAGCGCCCGCGGCCGCCGTGCGCTGCCACATCAGCCGTCTGAGTGCCGACTCGCGGCTCAGCTGCGGCCGCTCCGTGCAGCTCAGCCTGGCGCCCGGGGTGGGCTGTCGGCTCCAGGTGCGCGGCCCGCCGCCCGAGCTCGACCCGCGCCTGGGGACGGCCTCGGCCGGCGCCGGGGGCACCGCAGAGGTGGCCGTGGCAGGCGGGGGGCCGCTGCTGCTGCTGGAGTCGCCCGTGGCGGCCCGGGTGACACTGCAGGACTGGGCCGCCGCCGTGGCCGGCTGGGCGCGGTGAGCAAAGCCGCGGTTAGGGCTCCGGTAAGATGTACGGAAGTAGAAGCGGCTGATGCTGAAGAGCGCAGCTGATGTGTCAACTGTCAATGTGTCGTGTGAATGTGAGACTCGCTCAGGGACTGGCTTGCTTTCTGAAATGTGGCGACTAATCTCTGTGGAGTAGCACAGTGCGTCTTCTTGGCCGGTTCTTCACTTCGGTGTGGACGTATCTCAGTCAATTCAGTCCATCCAGTCACACGCCCGCCATCTAGTGAGTTGTTAGTATTGCCGTGACATGATTTGTCGCAGCAGCTTTACGTCGTATTTTGAGAATGTAGGCATTAGACGGGGCTTGCGTTTTAAGGGATCAGCACGATGTGGCCAAGTAGCCCATGATGTGGTTTTCGTACTTTTCTTTATCATTTTCTCACCTCATATTTAGTCTACGTTGTTATCGCCTATTACCTCAGCTATTTGTTTGAATGGAACTTTCAAACCAGCTGGTCTTGCTGCTTCCCTGCAGCAGCTGCTGGCTTCACTTCCCACCACGGTTCTAGACGTAATTTTGCGGAGTACTGTTGTCCCTGAAGTGCAATACAACATTTTCGAGATATCATGAAGCTTCAACCAGTTCATTCAATATGATAGATAAGTGAAAATGGCTCAATCTGATCCATACCCCCAGTGTCTACGTAGCGAAGTTGATCACCGGGCCCTTCCAAACACGTCATTTTCTCACCGCACCAGTCTGTATTCGTCGCTCTCTGTAGCTATATACACCATCATATGCCGCCGGTCTCTACTGGGACTCCGTCTTGGAGGGGTCCTTACGCAGGGTCCAGTCGTGTCGCCACATGCCGACCGTGCCCTGGGGAGAGAGCCACACCGTGTGACAGGGCGGACACTCCACAACACACCGTAGCGCTGTGCTGTATCCAAACTCAATACGTCGCTACCAGGGACATAGGCCAGGATGTTGTGATACACGTATTGAAACACGGACAAATCTGATGAATCATCTGAAAACAAACCAGCAATTACGGTTTTGCGCAAGAATATGGCGATCGACGAGTGATTAGATGAAGACTTTGCTGTCTAAGATTGGGGACCAAGCAAATGATTCACACAATTACAAAAAAGTGTGGCAGGCTCTTCAACCCGGAACTGGGCGCCACCTAAGTAACCCAGTGCTTGCCACGTCTTCGGACTGATCCGGTAAACTTGTACGACATCGACTTACCCTCTGGGTGAAGTTTTCCGCCTCCCACCACCTCCAGTCGTAGTCGACGCCAGCCTTGAAGCTGATGGCAGCCACAGCAAAGATTCCGCCCCAGCGCGCGCCGGTCGCCAGACTTTGCTCTGTGGAGACAGCGAAAATAGCACTACTGAGAGGCTGCAGATTGATTAACGTTGTAACCACAGAACAAAATGCAAGTAAGCATTATTCTGATATCAAACGATCTCGACTTTTATTTAATTCCCTCAGATTGACTCATCGGCGTTTACGCTGGAAGTAGAGGGGTCAGCACTTTTGTCTCTGTGACAGGAGTACCTAGTCTTCTGTCTCTTGTTAGTCAATATCCCAATATCGCAATATTTTGGAGTTGAGATGAATGACACTCACCCCTGGACACGGCTTTCTCTCCTGGTATGTCCAGGCATACATGTCCCCATTCCGATAGGAATCACCGAACCCGTGAAGAATGACTCCGATGTGTCCTCCCCAACTGACCGAGAATGCCCATTGCCCACCTCCCCACACCGACCAGATCAATCATCCCAGCCCTGCGCGCGCAGTGACAGTGTCCCGTTCCCTGCCTGCACTGCCCCCCCTGCCCGCCGGGCTCCCACTCACTGGCGGCGCCGAAGATGCTGCCGGCGGCCAGGCCGCCCAGCGCCGGGTTATAGAAGTCATCCTTCCCGCGCAGGTTGGTCAGCGCACACGTGGTGGCGGCGAACGTCGCGGCAGAGGTCACCAGCGGGATGGTGATGTAGCCCAGGCTGTGAACAGTCTGCCACGCTCCGACCGGGTGCGTCACCAGTGCACAGTAGCACGGTCCTGCCCAGCCACCTGAGGGACACAACCAGGGTCGTGGGGTCAGCACGTGGCTGGGGAGCGGGGAGCACTGGTGGCTCAGGAGAGCCAAGTGTGACCATGAGTCCAACTGTCCTTTTTAATCTGTGAAACTTCAGATAAGGCAATGACCTGACAATGAATCAGAAGTGGTTTTCAGACAGACACACACAGGAACATAAAATTTGCAAGAGAGAACCAGCAGCCAGTAGTTTGTAGGTAATTTTATTCACAAAATGAAAAACATCCTTCATTCATCATTCACAGCATGTTTTAAGAAAGAGCTAGCTGCAAGACCTACAATCAAACATTTTCAAATGATGTATGCATGTTGCAACCAAGTGCAATGCCTTATTTCAATTTAGATAATTGGCAAAACAGGAACAGAATTGGAATGAAAGAAATCTTTAACAAGAAGCAGAACAAACATGAAAACGAAGCTGAATGAAATGCGTATTAATGAAACACATCATTTAAAAAGTAATTTTAACATGATTTATGATATTTGAAGTTAATGGCTGACAAAACTACCAACTCATCCAAACGAAAGAAAAAGAAAAAGGTAAGCACTTACTCAAAAGCAAAGCAGACTTTGTCATGAACCATATCTTCTTGTGACAATCTTCACCATCTTTTGTATCATAATATTTATATCCTTGAAAGAAACTGGTCATTTCTTAAAGTGAATAATGTTCCAGGCGTTACTTAAATTTTGATATCTAACCGCAAAAGCCCATCCGACGATCCTAGACGTCCTAGACCACACATCAACCACATAAACAAGTCTGTAAAGCAAGCTGTAAAGTTTTCTTCTTCCATTGTAAGTCATGTTCACATGACATATTAAATATACCTCGAAGCACTAATCTGTATAAATTTTACAGATAAAAAGTTCATTTTGGCTATGATTCCTTATATAATGACTCAAGTTTGATTTATTTATCTGTTATTCGTCTAAATAGTCCTTAATTTCAATTTTTGTGGCTGCGATGAGTTTCGAAAGTCAGTATAGCTAGGCTTTAAAGATGAGACTGTCTGCATATCCTGCGCAGCTGAGACCAATTAGAGACCTCGCCCCCCACAGTTCAAGTTTGTTGCATTGACGTGCTGGCTGCCTGCTTTGTATTGAGGGGTGTCTGCATCAATAAATTTCAGTAGTATTTGGACACTGGTAAGTGATACGTGTGAGAAAAAGTGGGTTCGTTCTGGTCAATATTATGGCATTCATGTTTGCGTGCGATCTCATCCCACGCCGGTTTATTTCGGGGTGGCGTACGGACTGGGACTTTTGACTTGTTGGCCAATGGCCGGTGGGTTCCATTTTGATTTGTTTCAAGCCTGTATTAATATCTACATTGAAAGTGCATCAGCTGAGCATGGTTATTACTAGAATCTTTCGATCACCATTTTTTTCTTCTGAGTCACGTGAGTCACATTCTCAGAACAGGTTCATGTGGGCGTCGATCTATGTATAATTGCATAAGCCTACACATGCTAAGATGATTATGATCACCACAGTAAAATATTTAAGATCCCAAATCCATACTATTAAGGGTTTAGCCTTTACCCTCATACCAATACATGTTGATGGGAATGGGACCATCTCAGATGATAAATATGCTGCCAGAAACTGCAACATTGTTTCTGGTATTTCATCTGAAACTTCTGAATTGTCAGGAGTACCCTGAAGTGCCTTTTTCTTAATAAGTGTAGGATTCTAGTCATTGCAGATTTATTGCAATTTACATGAATGCTTTATGTATTTTGCAGGTGAACTAAGCTAATTTTTAAAAGTTTTCACTTCTGTCCTTATTACAATTTCCAGTAGAATATGGTTTGTGGTTGATTTTATAAGAACCAGAAATCTTACCAGAATCTTTTTATTGACAAATGTTATGACATTTTTTTACAGAGATGCGTCCATCCATGAACAACAAGATTTTTGAATAGACTGTACCTATCCCTGCCTGCAAGAATGGAAAAGGCATTTTTCATTGTTCTATTGGCAGGCTGTGCTCATGGATATGCTACAACAAGTGGTATGTTTTTTTACTAGGATAAGCTGGCAAATCTTAGGCCATTTCTTCAGTGATTATTTCAATTTCAAAATGATAGATGAAAGTCATATGCAGTTTTAAGAAACACTAGGAGTGGTGATGAGCTATTTCTTTCACATTGTATTTAAATGTGTAATTTGATTTGGGCATTTGTAATGCAACATAGGTATACCGGGTGGCCCAGAAAAAAACGTTCCCAACTTTAAATCAATATTTCTCAGAAAGTGATAAAGATACAACATTGAAACTTTAAATAGTCAATGCGGCACACATTTTCAGTAAATGGTGTGATTTTCATGGTGTTCGGTAAATTACTTTTTAAACGGTTCGTGTTTCAAGCATGCCATGTAAAAATCACTTTTTTGCTCCGATGTTTACTAAAAAATGTGAGTGAACGGGTCACTTTCACCCCGCGGCACCGCGGCCTAGAGCCATGACTGCTACTGGCAGCTAGTCTCATTGATGGTTCGGGTCTCAGGATGACACATCCCCTCGGGCAACCACGATGGCTCTGTGCCAGCGGCATCGGAAGAAGTTTCCAGTTTTCTAACCATCTTGTGGCTCAAATGCTTTCCTGGCTGACATTGCTGGGAAAAGGTAGCTTTTCAACTGCAGTTTTCTTTTTAGTCAACTGCTGGCAATGTTGTTCTTCATAAAATATTATGTGGTCTTCTGGCACAGGAACCAGTCTGTTTTAGTTTGTTTTCCTTATCCGGTCGATTTACTGCTTGATCTACTGAAAGGAGGGTAATCAGCAGTAATCCATGCACCGTGCCACTCCTGCTCGAATCATGATTTGGTGCTAAAACGAATGGCATCCATGAGCACCATTTTGGCTCAGTATTTGAATATTTGGCACATAAGTGAGACACAAATATTTAAAATAAGAACATACGTGTTGGTTTCGTCCACGAGCTCTATTTTTCTATTCTTTTTTTATAACATGGGGCGTCTAACCCAATCATCATTATCGCTTGACCTCGGCAAAAAAAGCAAAAACGTCTTGCTTAATTCAACTCAAGATTGCCAGCTTGAAAATTATGGTATAGTGTTATAATTTGGGATACCAATGCGCAAAGAAATGACGCAAACTTGCTGAAAATTTTGTCTCGTTATTTGCACTCGAATTTGATATATAAGCCTCCAAAGTTCGGAACGTTTTTTCTGGGCCACCCGGTATAAGGCATCTTGATATGTAGCATGTCTGTGCCATGCATCACTTGCTAGAACAATGTATTGTTTTATGTGTTTATCGTGCAGTACCTATTGAGTCTTTTATGCTTCTGAATCACCTTGGTAGGAATCCAACACTTGTCTTGTGCAATTACCAACATATTATAATTTGCTGAAATCTCACCAGATTATACTGGTGGCTAGTGCACTGAGTACCTAGACGCCCTGCCTCTGTGATTCTGACAGTCTGCAATTCTGACAGTTATGTATGAATGTGTGGATATATTTGCATCCTGTCAGCTGTGTATGTGTTTGTGTAGGGATATATTCTGACAACTGTGTATGTGTGTTTGTGTATATATCCTGACAGCTCTATGTGTGTGTGGCAGCGCCGGAGATCACCGTTCCGCCGGCTAGCACTGACGTGGAGCTGGGCTCTGAGCTCGTGCTCAACTGCTCCAGTCGCGGCGAGCCGGTGCCGCGCATTTTGTGGAGGTTCCGCGCCGCCGACGCCGCTCACTACCGCGAGCTGGACGCCAAAGGTGCGGACACTCGGCTGGGGAACTTGTGGTACATGCTATGCTCATTACGGAGCGAGCGAAGCCGGAAGCGAGCGTAGTCTTCCCTTAGATTAACGGAAATTTCTGAGTATGAGCGGCCGGCCGGGTGCGGACGCTTTTGCGACGCTTATATCTCAGCAACCACTTGACCGATTTACACGCGGTAATTTTTGTAGGTTAGCTTCATTCCTTCTACCAAGTATTGGACTATTCCCGATGCTTGTGGGTGACCCCTTATGCACGTGCCACGTGCAAAACGAAGAGGTGTCAGTTTTGCAATTGTTGCAATATCTCGGTAACTACTTGGCCGATTGCGCTGAAAGTTAGCATGTAGGTAGGCACCCACTAGGCACTGCATATCCATGTGCCAGAGTTGGGGTGCTGCTGCACGTGCGCACGTGCAGGGGTCGTTTCCAGATCTCGAGAACGGCTGGACCGATGGCGCTCAAATTTGGTACACGGTTAGGGACCAGTTAGTAGGGTGCCGTGCACAAGTCAGTTGGGACCCATTTTGCACGTGCGCACGTGCAGGGTGCCGCTCCTAGATCTCGAGAACGGCTGGGCCGATTGTGCTCAAATTTGGTACATCGCTAGAAACCGGTCAGTAGGGTGCCGTGCACAAGTCAGTTGGAGGTACCCCTCGAAATTTCGCACGTGCAAGACTCACCCCCTCGCTCGCTCCGTTAGTCGCCCCAAAAGGCGCTATACTGGTAATTTCGTGCGTAATTATAAGCCACACATGACCTCTGGCGACCGCTGCAGTTATCTCTGTGTGCTCCACTCTGACGTACCCCGGCGCGGTCCGTCAGGCGATAACCACGCGGTGGGCGAGGACGGTCGGCTGAGGGTGCACAAGGTCAGCCGCACGGACGAGGGCAGCTACCTGTGCCGCGTCTGGAACTCACTCGGGGAGAGGACAGCCACCGCTGACGTCAAGGTGCTCGGTGAGTGCGTGACCCCCGGGTTTCGGTGGGAACTAGAGGTGGCAAAAGATGAAAATTTTGGGAACCAGACTCGAACCAGACCCGGCTGGAAATTTCTGGAACCAGTCGGACCCGGTCTTAGCTGGAATCGGAACCAGTTGGACCCGTTCCCAAAAGTCAATTAATACAAACTACTTATAGGCAGGGTTACTTTTAAAGGGGGGAAGAGGGGAATTTCCCCCCTTCGAAAATTCCGCTCCCCCTTTCAAATCGTGTCTGAACGGCTAGGGAGGGAAGGGGGAATTTCCCCCTTTCAAATTTATTTTGGAGCCCATTTTCAATCAATTCGCTATTCAGATTCTATAGTCATCGTTAATCAGATTCTCGTCATCAATCAACGTTGCTGGCGTTAAGATAATTATTAATTTTCAATTTTCGGTTCCATCCAACCATTTTACGTTCAGTGCAGCAGGAACTCCAGATTTGACCCGATACCGATCGGATAGTCGGTGGGACCGTCTCTTGTCTTGTCTCTTCCGTCTTTTCGCAATCACTGACATATCGGTACAGGCGTCGGCGTAGAAACCGGCGGGGGACGGGATTACCTCTCCGAACCAAGGGTGGATACAGGGGGAGGGGGGCAATGGGCCATGGCCCCTCCTTTGGCGCAAAAAGAAGGTGACCCCCTTTTGGACCCCTTTTATATTCTGTGTTCTTTCTCAGAAACGACCCATTTATTCACGATTATTTTCACTTTTTCATCGACGCCAAGGCCAGACATCTAAAATTTTTGTCCCAATATGACAATGGCCGTGTTTAACCATCCTCCAAACCGGAATCATTGAAGGAAAAACAACGTTATTTTTGTCCCATAGGCATCAAAGCTTTGAGTAATAAATGACTTTTCTCTTTATGCAGCATTCACGTTCATCTGCTTTGCATGCAGAGCAGGGCGCAAAAAAAATGTACCTCATCACAGCCGGCTTTCCCAATGGAACTTTCACTGCTCACTAATACCTACTAATAATAATAATTCAAGTTTTGTGCTTCATTAGTTTTTGTTCGGATATCACTGCCCACCTTGTAGTTGTAGAGGTTGCAGTTTTGTAGCGCCGTCGTTTCTCTACATACACGACCACACAAAGAACTTTGGAATTGCTTAACTGTAGCTTTTGTGAGCGTTTAAGAATTTCATGTTTTTTGCTCATTTTTGCTCGAACAGTTTGACATCAATTACTCCTGACCTAAGGTGACCTAAGACTTGAAATTTTGTGCGAAGGTTTCAAATTGATGCCCGGTAAGGTACTAAAAATTTGGCGGCGCTGCGCGCCGCCGTTTTTCGCTTTTCAAGAAAACCCACATGGGGGCCAAAATGACCTCCAATCAGGGCGCGGATTAACCTTTCTCTTTAGAAAGGCGTTACTTAATGTTTGGCCGGGGTATACCTACTAGGTTGATACTACTGATTGGCATTTGCAAGGGCGCAGTCAAGTTGGGACCTCCCCGCCCCTTACAGCCAAGGTAGGTGCGTATATTTTTTAGCAAAATTATTTTTTGGCAACCTTCCAAAATAAAGTGGCTGAAACCCGAGGAAAGAATAGGATTTGGGGGTAGGTAAGGTTCTGCGGGCTCCATCCTAACGAAAAACCTAATGGTATTGCCGCCCACCCCCCTTTCAGATGCCCCTGGATCCGCCTTTGCCCCGAACTTTATTCCCCCTCTCAACTTTTCCTGTAAAAGTAACCCTGCTTATAGGTATCATTAGTTGCATCATGTAAAACAGCCTATTTCCCACTGGGAATACTCATGAGCTACTGTGTGCAAAGAAACATTCACTTCATTCACTTCATATTTTGCAATAATGTGTAGTGTGCAAGATGTATAGTTTATGGTAGGACCCGGTTGGACCCGTCAGAAAATTTCCAGGAACCGGTCTGGACCCATATGGGTCCAGACTGGTTCTTTGGACCGGGTTCTCGGGTCCACATTTTGCCACCTCTAGTGGGAACATCACACTGACGGTGCAGGGGGAGGGGGACGGTCGGAGTTAGGAGTATCCCATTGGGTATGCTGGCCGGGTGGGCCGACCTTGTCCTCGTAATGGATCGAATGTCGAGAGGAAGTCGGTCTGATTGATGAAATTGGCAGCTCAGCTGACGCTGTTACTCCGTGACTGACAATGCATTCGAGGAACTGACATTGAAGGAGTCTAAATGAGATGGGGCGCTGTTTGTTCTGATCGTCCATCTTTGATAAGAGAGGCTCTTTTGAATACCTGTTTGTGCATCAAATACTATTTGATATGAATTTACCATTGTACCTCTATCTTTTGCACTGCCTGTTTGAAATTTGTTTCACAAAGTTCGTGATAAAAATCGATGCATTTACGATGTCTTGCTTCATCAAATATCACACAGGGGGAAAACGGCTGTTTTGATTGTATTTCGTAGGAAAGTTTTTTTGGTCTTTATTTATTGAACCTCATCCATTTCAAGATCATCTTTCCATGTGCCAAAATTCTCCAAAGTCTGTACCAGCCGGTAGGTTTTAACGCTCCGCGGCCCGTTCTGCCGCAGTGCCCGTCACCGTGCTGAAGACGCACCCGATGAAGAAGTCGGTGGCGAGTGGCGCCCTGGTGACTCTGGGTTGTGACCTGGGCGGGGAGCCCCTGCCCGCCGTCACCTGGCTCTTCCACGGCGACCCGGTGAGCGACGCGGCGGGACGGGGAGGGAGAGGGGAGCCCCGGCCGGCAGTAGGGCATGATTGGGTGAATGGTGTCCCGGCAGATACCTATACTGGTTAGGTACTTATCTGACTGACACAATATGACTTAGCTCGTGAACTCGCGATCTCACTGCCTGGCGCGATTGTTGTGACGGAAAAAGTCGTGATTAAATTAATGAGATTTCCCACTGAGCCCCACTCAAACTGATTGGATCGCTCAGAGATAGCTGTAATATCCTTTTCGAGCTATGCTGATCTCTGGTTATTTTTTTTTTCAGCTCCCTACGCACCGCTGGCAGTCTGAGGTAAGCGGTCATTTCGCGCGATAATATTTAGGCTCGGTATATTACCTACTTCTGGCCAATGCCAATGTCATTCATTCATTCATTCATTCATTCATTCATTCACTCATTCATTCATTCATTCATTCATTCATTCATTCATTTGCCTCGTAGTTCTGTGTTGGTGACGCCCGCTCGTCCCCTCCCCAGGTGGTGCAGGCGGCCACCTACCCGCCTCTGAAGCGGTTCGTCCGCTCGGAGCTGTTCGTCCGTCCGGCCGTCAGCAGTGATTACGTGTGCCAGGGCTCCAACACGGTGCTGGGCACGCCGCGTATCGCCGCCGAACAGGTGTCGGTCAGCGTTCTCGGAGCGCCGCGCACAGGTCAGTTACGGCCGAAACGAGCGATTGATGCGAACGAGAACTAATGCATTAAATAGCCTCTCGCATGCGATTTCCTGTCTCCTGACTGCCGAGGGAGTCCCTTTCGGGCTGAAGGAGAGGTCCAACAGGTTAAGAAGTGCTGGGAGCGGGGAAACTGTGGAGGTCACGGCACGAGTGATCCTCAGATCGTCCAGTGCCGGTTGGATAGAAATGGAATGGATTAGGAGGTGAGAGGTGGGTGTGTAAAGTCATGTTTCAAAGGCTGATGCGTAGCTATCAAGAAGTGTTTGAACTAGGCGGCTACCGCAGTGTATTGATTGTGACTCTGGTTAAATAAATAGTTGTCTCTTTTTTCGGAAGCTGTGATATTTTACAAGTCTGTTTTGTGACAGTCCACTGCAGTTCATCCCCAGTATCTGACTTTGGGAATCTCCCTGTCCCAGGGTACGGCGACTCGCCGCTGGGCTACTGCGCCACCTACGTGGGCAAGGTGTGCCGGCGCCACCTGAGCGCCGCGCCGTTCGTCTGGTACAACACCACGTACCGGGCGGACGGCGCCGGCGGCACGCTGGACAACGAGCACGCGGTGGCGCGCCAGCTGAGCCACCACGCGGCCGACCTGAGCGGCGTCTGCCGGCCGGCGCTGGAGAGCCTGCTCTGCAGCGTGGCGTTTCCGCAGTGCCGCCAGGCGGACGGCGCGCAGACGGCCCTGCCGCCCTGCCGCGAGGACTGCCTGGCCGTCAAACAACTCTTCTGCGCCAACGAGTGGTACCTGCTCGTCAGCGGACAGAAGTAGGTGGTGGGTTGGGAGCAGAGAAGTTCTAGATTCGTGAACATAGCAGCCTTAAACAATTGTAATTGTACAATTAACCGTTCTGGAAATGTACTTTATTTGAGTTTACTCCTGGTTACTGGGCTGGTCGTGGTGTTACTACTTGCCATAGTTATTCCACCTCTTCACGTGTCCTTCATACGCCCCGACTGCCGGGCCGCCGGGTTCTGTACCGTCCCTGACCAGTGACCATGTTACTCCCCTGTTATATCCCCAGGCTGCCGGGCCACCTGGCTCTGCCCGACTGTGACCAGCTGCCACAGCACGGCGACGGCTCGGCCCACCGCTGCTCACACGCCGGCCTCACAGTGATGCTCACCTCACAGGTTACCTGTGAGTACCGGGGAGGCACCCAGCGGCACCGACTCTGGTTGTTACTTGTTAGGTCGGCTGAAAGTGACTCGTATCGGGGATAATTATGTGGAGTATGCCTTTATGTTTGTTGGCGGAGCTGCTTGTTACATGATGGCGATATGTGCGACTCCTGCACTATCTTCCTAAATCTGCTCGTTCGCTAACCACCGATCACGCTGACCACTCCGCCTGATCCACAGACGACTGTGTGCGCGACCGGGGCCGGTTCTACCAGGGCCGAGTGAATACCACGGCTGACGGTATCCTGTGCCAGCGCTGGGACAGCGACTACCCCCACGACCACAGCGTGCCCGTCGACCTGTTCCCCGAGCTGTCGGGCGCCGAGAACTACTGCCGCAACGCCGGCGGAGAGGAACCGCAGCCGTGGTGTTTCACCACCGACCCGGACGTCCGCTGGGGGCCCTGTGATATACCCAAATGTGGTGAGTCATTGGCAGGGTCTGTTGCGGGGGGGGGGGGGGTAGACCGAGGGAGTGCAGGATAGTTGCCGTGTGGTGATTGATTGTTGGGTGACTGGGTGTGCCAAACACGGTTCTTACATTATTTGAAGCTTATTTGCCACACAAGTTTACACTCATTTGTTATGAGCGCTAAATTTTGTGAAACGTCCGTCTGTATCATCATTGTGTATTTTATAATTACATCTTTCGTCGTTTCGACGCTCTCTTAATCCCGAGTACGCTCAAACCCGACCGCTAACCACCGGCCAATCCCTAACACCTCCCTCCCTCCCCCCTCTCGAAGCGAACAGCCCAGCCCGTAACATCTCCCCTCCCTCCCGTCACAGCGGACAACAGCACGCTGTACGCGGACGACCCGGCGGCCTCGGCTGCAGCCAGCGGTCGGTCCCGCTCGGGCGGCCCGGCCGTCTCCGCCGCAGGGGACGGGGACGGCCCGACCCTGGCCGGGTTCCCCCTCCCGCTCGACCCCGTCTTCCTGCTGGTTCTGGCCATCGCCGGAGTGACCGGTCTCATCATGACCGGGATGGCCGTGTACGGATGCTGCCACTGCCGCCGCGCCCGCCAGAGAGCGGCGCAGAGGAAGGTAGGAGACGGGGCGGGACTGCACGGGGTATGACGTTGGGTGACTAGGCAGGCGCAGATAAAGGAGAGTCTGTAGTCATGCTGGTGTGATGCGCAATGATAACTAGTGCCTTTTATTAGTGTCACGCTCATGGATATTGATATAGGCACAATGATTATCGCTCATCAGGCCCGTTAAATGCGAAATTGGCTGACTTATTAAGCGGTGCCCCCTCCTTACCTGATCTCATCTCTCCCCGTTCAATGCATCATTCTAACTCCCGCACCCGGCCTGCTCCTAGGAGGCGGAGGCGATCGACCTGACCAAGCTGCCGGCCAACGCCAGCTACCACCAGCACGAGCCGCTGCTGCCCGCCAGCCTGGAGCCGTTGGAGTACGCGCGCAACGACATCATCTACGTGCGCGACCTGGGACAGGGCGCCTTCGGCAGGGTGTTCCAGGTGAGACGTCGGAACGGTCAGTTCGGATGGATGTCTGTGCGTGCCGTGTGTTGTGGAACCTGTTTTGGTAGGCTTGCTTTTTAGGATGGGATAGGGGGATTATGTAATCGGATTCGGTCGCATGGTACAGTGGGTTGGATGCCTAGGAACAGTGAAATATGAAGACATCCTTCCCGGCTTTTGTTTTGATAAAGCATGGTGCATTGCTAGGACTACAATCAGAGCATCAACTTCTCTATCGGCCGACTAGAAGCTCACCTCCCTGCCGTCGACTTTCGTGTAACACTCGCTCCACCCTCCCTCCCCGGCAGGCTAAGGCGCCAGATCTGGTGCAGGGTGAAGACTTCACCATGGTGGCCGTCAAGATGCTCAAAGATGAGGCCACCGAGGACATGGAGCGCGACTTTGAGCGCGAGGCGCGTCTGCTGGCCGGGTTCGATCACCCTAACATCGTCCGCCTGCTGGCAGTGTGCGCCGTCGGCAAACCCCTCTGTCTGCTCTTTGAGTTTATGGATCAGGGTGATCTGAACGAGTACCTGCGTCAGGCGTCACCCAAGAACGTCATCATCAAACACGAGACGGGCGAGATTTTCAGCGACTCGACTCTCAGCCACCTGGATATGACGGTGATCGCCCAGCAGATTGCCAGTGGCATGCAGTACCTGGCCGAGCGCCAGTTCGTACACCGCGACCTCGCCTGCCGCAACTGCCTCATCAACGAGGAGATGATCGTCAAAATCGCCGACTTTGGCCTCTCGCAGAAGATCTGCTCCAACTATTTCCGCGGCGACGAGCACGACGCGATCCCAGTGCGCTGGATGCCTCTGGAGAGCATCCTCTACAACAAGTACACGCTGCACTCTGACGTCTGGGCGTTCGGCGTGGTGCTCTGGGAGATCTTCTCGTTCGCGCTGCAGCCCTACTTTGGCATGACGCACGAGGAGGTGGTGCGCCACCTCAAGGACGGCCAGCGGCTGAAGCGGCCGGAGAACACGCCGCGCACCATCCACCAGCTGATGCGCGACTGCTGGGCGGCCGAGCCCACGCAGCGGCCCACGTTTGCCGCCATCGTGCAGCGACTGCAGGAGTTCCAGGACCGGCTGGACCAGCAGATGGGCGTGTACGGCTACACCACGGCGGCCAACAGCACATACACGAGCCGCGCGCCGAGCATCGGCAGCCCCTCGACCTCCAGCAGACGGTGAGCGGCGACTCGGCTCAGCGCAGGCTGATTAGCTCAGCTCAGTTAGCTCAGCTCCTAGCTCCATCAGGGTACGGGCGGAGGGACGTGGCATATCGCCAGTATCAACTGCCCCCTCGGCTGCTAGCGGTTAGCGCTCTAGGTGACTATTGTTTAGCGGGCTCGGACCCGCTGGCGCTTTGCGTCAACCATCGAAATAATGCGAAACAGCGGTCAGTATTCGAGAATCGATTCCGCTTCGTATTACTTTATACTTATTGTACATTCTCAATCTATACGATCGACGATCGCATGAAAACTGTCGTCGTGTGTGAAGCTACTTTTAGCTCGCTAGGGTCGCTTGGAAAAACCGAGCATCAGCTACGAAATCAATTCCGTAGATTATGCATTTTGTTCGAATTTATTTACTTTGTAGGCGAAGTAATTGTGGTGCTACGTAGATGTTATTTTGTGGCTGTTTTGTATCGAGCGCTTTCGAGCTCTTTTTCAGGTAGCGTTGTAGATCTGAGCTTACCTAAAAGACCAATTTGAACACCTACCCATGCCCTCATTTTGGCCGATTTCAGGCCACTTTGTATCGTATTTCAGCGTAATTGTTAGACAAGTTCTTTCAGCTGTGGCTCGATATGGCAAGTTCTCGCGCCGCGCTGGTCACAATGGGCTCAACAGGGTGTGGTCGCGGTCGGCTTTAGTGGTAGCGCCTTCGCGCGTCCCTAGCATAAGAGAGGATCGCGCGCGCGGTTCTGCCCCATCGTGCGAACATTTCGTTTTCGGCGGTGCGCCGTTTGTTTCCGTTGCCCGCCGGACGAGCGGGAACGGCCGGGTCTGAGTCATAATCTCTGTCGGGGTTCGTGACGTGACGGTGTGTGACGCGCCGTGACGGATAGATGTCTAGTCTGGTGCCGGCGGCCGGCGCCGGCCGCGGTCCGCACGGGTCAGTGGCGGCGGGCCGCGCGGCGCTCCCCGTGGTGGTAGTTTGTAGGCCAGCTGTGAGTGTGGTACGTGTCGTGACCCGGGGCGCGCCGTTCAGTCGGCGGCAGTCATGTTCTTTTCGTCACCCTGCCCCTGTCACCCTGCCGCTGCTGTCAGTGTGTGCGGCGCTCCTACCGTTTTTACACTTTTGTATCTGACCTGGCTTTGTACGTATTCGCAATATTCTCGGTGCTTATTGCCAGCCGTGCGTTGTGCGCGACCCTGCGACGGTCCCCGCTTGCCCCGTAGTTGTAACGACGGTCCGCCGGCGCCCGCCCGCGGTCCCTCTAGTCAATGGCCGTCGTCAGGCGCGTCCCGTCGGTGTAGCTAGCTGTGTAGGAACCCGCCGAGCCCCGTACTCATTCACCTTGTGATAACTGCGCGCCAAATATACATGCCGACTACGTTATACGCGAGTTTGGACTTTGGAGGTCGGATGGTGTCGGGGAAAGGGTGACGAATGAACACAGGTGACTGAGATTATATGTTTGGAGGGATTTTAACACGGGAACCCCGGTTCGAGTCTCCCGTCTGGACTCTGAAACCCTTTCCATGTGCTGATACTGACTTCACACAGCGATGCGACAGGCTGAAGTTACGATATGCTCTCTGCGAAAGTTGGGGGGATCAGTTACTCTAAGAGAAACGAATTCGTCCACCCCAAACCAAGACTAGCATTGTCTGCGGCTTATGCAACAAGAAGCGGACCTCTGCTGGGTACGTCTGAGCAGTATAAAGCAACTGCTGAATCTCTGAAGTCTGAATGCTCGCATGTCAGCGGTCCAGTAACCCCATGCAGCAGCGGTCAGTAAGGAGTCAGTATAAATTTGAAACCCGCGAACCAAGCGGCAAAGCAGGGTTTGTTAGTTGTTTTACCAATGTCCCTACATGCCATGGCACGAAGGAAGGTTAACTAGCTGAGGAGGCTTGCAAGCCTCTTCATTTTATATAGCGTTGCACCTAATGTTCATAGCTATAAGGGAAAATAACCGTAAGATGACGCCGGACATTGTTTCACATACCAGTTCAAACCACATTTCAAATTCGTTAATATTCATTACAAAGGCAGGCGGCAAAAAAGTACGCGCTTGAGGCAGAAAGACAACTAATCGGTTGCCCCAGAGCAGCAGCTTTGAGTCGGTTAAGTTAACAAAACGGCTAAAACAACGCACGGTACTGCACGACACAGACTCGGCGCGGCCGGAGCGGCGCCCGCGAGCCCAGCTGATAGCGCGAGCCCTGACAGCCAAGGCACTCTCTCTGTCCGTCTGTCGGTCCGGCCCGCGCGCCGCCGCACCACAATAATATCAGCCGTCGTTGCGTAGGGTGATTGCCGCGGTGTTTCGTTTAAAATAAATATCACCGCTCGTTAAAACTCTGGCCAGGCAAGGGGACCCCGGCGGCGACGCGTCACAAAATGTGATCACTGGCGCCACAACCCGCTCACAAAAGTTCACAATGAAGCGTCCGAACACGGCGAGGAGCACGGATAAAACTAACACCTAGCTGATAACGTAAACCGCGCGGCGCGGGCGGCGCCGGCCCTGCGCGCGAGTTCTGTCGGCGGGTTAAAGCTGACCCTGACCCCCAGGCAGCGAGTGGCCCGCGGGAGCGACCACCGGCAGATCAGACCATGCCCCGCCGGGACGGCCCAACTGCGTGGCCTCTCACACAGACTGGCCACCTATACGCTAGGTGGGATTAACCAGGACAGGTCGGTCGACTTTGGTAAAATAAAACTCCCTACACCCCGCGGCTGCGGCACGACCATCTCCCGGCCAGCGTCCGACGGCAGCTCTAGCACCGACACCCGGCGCGGCCGAGCTCTGCGCACTAAACGCGGCGGGCGAGCCTTGGGCGTCTTTGGGCGCCAACGGGCGAACCTTGGGCGTCTTTGGGCGTTTGGAGGGCGTCTCGGTCGTGCCTAGACGGTCGACTCTGCCGGCTCTCCCGGCGGGGAGACGAGGCTGGCGGTGGCGGCGCGTCGGCCCTCCGTCGACTCACACTCGCTGGCCAGTCTGCAACAGGCACAGTTAGTGGCGCGTTAGCCCCGACACCGACTCGCCGAGGCAGGCAGACAATGCGGGCGGGGGAGGGGCAGGCAGCGGGCTAGAGCGGAGAGGGTAGATGGGGGCAGGCGGGGGCAGAGCGTTTAGGAAGCGGGCGCGGGAGGCGGAACAATTAGAGCGGGATGTAGATTTGACGGCAAGTACGGACAGAACAGTCAGACGGGAAACGGATTTGGACAAGGATAGAGCGGTTAGGAGCTGGCCGGAAGGACTGGGGAGGGGCAAACCAGGCAGAGACCCGTCCCAGAGGTAGTGCACTACCACTGAGCCCAAGGTTACACGCTATGTTACATCATACTGCAATGCATTCTACGTTGTTACAACATTCCACTACGTGTTCCCATATTTTTAACAATAGGCTGAAGCAGCAGCAACGCAGCAGATTAATGATCGAGGGCAATGCTTTCAGAAGAGCTCCACACAATCCCACACCATATTTAACTACATCCTACATCCCTGGCGGGCGGGAAAGAGACTGGCGAAGCCAACAATGGTGGGTACAAGCATCGGTCAAGGCAATCCGTGTGTATCAAGGTTAAAGACCACAAACACAATTCATTCTTTCGGAAACTTTGTCACTCGAACGACGTAATGGTACGCCTAAAGTTATAGAGCTAAACTAAATAGTCTCATATATTGAATTTTACAGCGCCGGCGTTCGTATCAGTATAACAGCCTCCCATTTTGCTCGTTTTGATGCGCATTTACGGCACACAGTCAAGACATCACGGCGTTTTCAAGGAATCAACGTAAAGTAAGTTCTTTTCATAAAAAGCAGCAACAGTCTCAAAATAGCGCTCACTTAACGGTGGATTTTCAGAATGCATCGCAAATTCCACAAACTTCGTGAATTCGACCACATAGGGAACAAAAACACCTTAACAACGTCGGCTATATAGATCTCGCACCTTCTTCTTACCCTAATAGCTCAGTAATAACAGCCTATAATAAGTTCTAGATAAAAACTTATATTGCGTGCGGTGACAAAGAAAAATCGATGTCGCGCTATGGCCTATGCCTACTCTGATCCTCTAATTGTATGTCACAAGCTCTACACTAAGTCATGTTAAACCTTAACGGACTAAAATACGAGTACTACTTCCGAATGAGCTACCAGGTAAGAAACTTAACAAAAAATGTTAGCTAATGCTCAGTATCACTATCCAGTGCCTATATTGCATCCAATGAGTATATAATTGGATTAGGATTAGCACGACGCGCGTTTCCCGATTCAGCGTCGTGAAGCAAGGCCTGACCCAGCCCAGGAGGATCAAATGAACCTCGTACTCGGGCTCTACCAAACCCAGGCCCCAGCCCAGCCTCAGACAAACAGCTCTAGGTGCCAGGGCTCGGCCCACCCCAGCCTCAGACAAACAGCTCTAGGTGCCAGGGCTCGGCCCACCCCAGCCTCAGACAAACAGCTCTAGATGCCAGGGCTCGGCCCACCCCAGCCTCAGACAAACAGCTCTAGGTGCCAGGGCTCGGCCCACCCCAGCCTCAGACAAACAGCTCTAGGTGTCAGGGCTCGGCCCACCCCAGCCTCAGACAAACAGCTCCAAGTGCCAGGGCTCGGCCCAGCCCAGCCAGTGGAGCAGCACTACCAGCGCCACTGCCACCACCACCCTGACCGCCACACCGCGGACGGTCAGCGCTGGCGGGGGCGGCGGCGGGCGCGGCCGCCACCAGCGCCCGCCGCGCGCCCGGGCCACCAGCCGGCTGTGGCGGCGCGTCACACCGCGCTCGTACCTCTCCTGTTCCGAGTCCATGGCGGCGCGCAGCGAGCGCCGCTGCTCGGAGATCTCCAGCAGAGAGCTGACCACCTGCCGCTCCCGCTCCACGTCATCGGCCGACTTCTGGGCGTCTGGGGACAGGGGCGGGGTCAGAGGAGAGAAGGAGTAATCGGTGAGATGAGAGCATACATCACCATCAGTCAGACAGAATATATGAGTACCCTCATGACCGCAAGTAGCATTCATAGTACACTAGGAACTAGGAAGACACCTGACTGCAGTTAAACAAGTCACAGCCATTTCAGAGCCGACTCTTCTAGGCAGCGTGAAAGAAAGCCCCTCACGACTTTTGGTTCTATCACCATCAATCTCCTCCTCAAACTCCAAACGTCCACCGCACAAGGCTGAGCGGAGTGTCCGTCAACTCACCACCAGACTCACCACCAGCGCCAACAGACTCACCACCTCTCCCGACCGACTCACCGCTAGTGGCCATTCTCTCCCTCAGCTCCAGCTGCAGCCGGTCGTGTCGGTCCTCCAGCTGCAGCTCTTGCAGCTGCAGCTGCAGCAGCTGGTCACGACGCACCATCAGACTGCGCTCGTGCACCAGTTCAAACCACTCGTGCATCAGCGTCGTCTCGTCCACGCCGACGGAGGCTGGGGGACGCCGCGCGGACGGACAAGAGAGGGAGGGAAGGGTCGGGCAGTTAGTGGGGTGGATGGGTGGCACGCAAATCGCAATAAAGCGGACAAACGCGAACGCTCGGTTAGAACGCACACGGACGGACGATCCAGTTCAAAATTGGTCAACGCATCCTAAATTCAACTAAGCATGCAAACAAAACGACAGTACCGTCCAGTCTTTAATACACAAACGCTTCTTTTTAGAAGAAGTGATTGTTGCAAACAGGAACTAAAAGGGACCAGACGAAAATAATAACCTCAACAGTACAAACTAAAGACAACTACCTCCATCACAGCATCACACTTCATTCTGCGCCACTCACCCCCAGCTGTGCCGGGTTCGACTCACCCTGTCCACCCTCTCCGCGGATGGCCCTCTCTACGGCGATGCCGCGCTGCTCCAGGTCCCGCTGCCGCACCTCCACCTCGTCCAGCTGACGCTGCAACTCCTGCGCCCGCTGCAGCCTGGGAAATATGAGGAGATACAGGGATCAGCTTCAGCTCGACCTGTATTACAGGGGTCAGACGGGTCAGCTGTTGCGCCCGCTGCAGCCTGGAAACGGTATAACTGGGGTTCTGCACCAAAACAACACCGTCAACAGCCGAGAGGATTTATATCTGAGTAGACCGCCAAATCAAGGCCACCGGCGCTGCCTCCCTCAGCTCAACACTATGGCTAGTCACGGGCATCACCCGAGTTGTACGGACCTCCTCATCTCGGCGTGTCGGGCGGCGCGGCTGGTCTTGGCCCGTCGGGTGAGCGAGCCGCCCGGAGTGGCCGCATCGCTGTACTGAGACTGGCTCAGAGACTCCGACAGGGAGGCGTCTGCAAGACAGAGAGATACTGTCATAATGTCGCTGTACTGAGACTGGCTGAGCGACTCCGACAGGGAGGCGTCTGCAGAATGGGAGAGATACATACTGTCAGACTGTCTGTAGTGAGACTGGCTGTACGAACTGTCTAGGCAGAGAGGCGTCCGCAAGAGTGAGGGAGAGCGGTTAGACGGCTCTAGCTGTACTGGGGTGCGCCGTGTCAAGACAATGAATGACAACTGGCACGTCTGTGAAACAGGCAATCTACCAGCAGAACCCCCGTACTGGGACGCGCTGATACCCTGATTGAACAAGCGAGGGTTTGTAGCTTACCAGGGCTGTGCGCGGCGGCCGGGCCGGCGAACGGCGGCTCTCCAGAGGTGCGAGGCGACTCGGGCCCGCCGTCAGACCTCCGCTCCTGGATGACAGCGCGAGGTCAGAGAGTCAATATGGCAAATATACATACTTATTTACGCGGATCATAAATGTCTAGTGAGATATTCCGTTTTAAAAGTTAAAACACTTTGAGATAAATTTCATGATTAATGAAACACAGACAGCTGTAGAAATAAGTAGCAAACAGACCGAAAAAGACATTTAACGACCTTTACCTTTCCCCTGCGGAACTTGAGTCCCAGTTTGTCGCGGACAGAGTTGGCCTTGACGAAGGGCGCCGGCTGCTGCTGCTGCTGCTGCTGCTGCTGTTGCTGCGGAGGTGCCCGGGTGGGACTGGCCGAGCTGCGCCGACGCTCCGGAGGACTCCCCGGAGGCGGGCTGGCCGCCCCGCTCTTCTTCTCGCCGGACTTGAAGATGTCTGCGGAACAATGAAAGGTTTTGTTGAAAGCATGGGCAAAGATGAGGCAATGCGTTTTTCAGATCTAATAAAAATGGACAGAGCAAGAAGGAATTGAACCTGACGGTAGCGAACAAAGTTAAACGAAAACAGAAACCTTTCTTTCTGTGTTGACGAATAAATATCAAGACTGAATATGTTGGATGTCGTCTTTGATTACGATGAAATTGTAAAACAAATACAGCACAGCAGCAGTGCGCCAAATGGCTGACATCACTGAACTGTTACCGCTGGCCGATGTGATGACTCACCGGAGATGGCGCGGATGATGCTGCGCCGGCGCGGGTGCTCCCGTTTGCCGAGGTCGTGGCCGCAGCTGGCCGGGTCCGAGCGGCCCTCGGGGCCGCCGCGCTCCGGACTGCGGGATACAGACGGACTGCTGGAGCAGTCCGGACTGGCGGCGCCCGCCGGGGTACCGGCCGCTGAGCCGGCGCCGGCCCGCTCCAGGACACTGGGCGTGCTGCGGCTGAGCGCGCCGCGCAGAGCGCCCGGCCGAGCCGGCGGGGTGCTCGGTGTGAACAGGGAGAGAGCGGCGGCCGGGTCGCGAGGCGGTTTGGGCGGCGGCGGGCCGGACGGCAGCGCGTCACCCACGGAAGGCCTGCGCGGTGTGGGCGGCGTGGCTGGTGGCGGCGCTGTCGGGGGCGGCGGCGGCGGTGGGACGCGCGGGCCGAACGCCGGGGAGGACAGCCGCTTCCTCAGCTGTCTCTCCGGCGATTTGACGCGGCTCAGCACCAGATCCCGCACTAGGCTGCCCTGCTGAGCGCGCGGCGCCGGCGCTCCCGGCCTGGCCGCCGCACCCGGGCGCTGGCTCAGCATGATCGCGGAGTCTGTGGGACTACGCTGCAGCAGCAGACGCGCGCTCGCCTGCTCCACGATCGGAGAGACCTTGATGTCGGCGCGGGCCGGCGGCGCCGCGGCGCTTCTCGCCGCTCGCGGTGTGGCAGGAGACTTGGCCGGAGTCCGCGCCGCAGCCACCGGCGCTGGACTCGCCGCGGGGACCGGAGCAGTGGCCGGAGCGGACCTCGGAGCCGGCGTGGGCGTGCTTTTCGGTGCCGAACCCGCACCAGACCCGGCAGCAGTGGTCGAGCCCTGCCCCGAGTGCACAGCCATCATAGGTCCGGCTGAGAGCGGCCTGGCCGCGCGGCCGGGGCCCCCCGGACGGGTGACCACCCCTGCCCGGGCGGCCAGCGCTCCCGGCGGGGCTGAGATGCGGTCTGCCGTGCCCCGCTGTAACGCAGGGCGACTCCGGGTGGAAGAAGCCGACCTCGTCGAGACGCCGTTCTCCTTCGGCGCCCTCTGAGAGCCGGACCCGGTCGGTCCCTTGCCAATGGAGGACTTACGAGTCAGAGAGGTCCCCGAGCCGCCAGAGTCGCCGGAGGCCGATCTAGTCGGAGCAGTGATCTTGCCGTAACCTGAGCTCTTGACGTACTTGGACTTACTCTCTGCTAACGCTTCGACAGCTGATCGCCGCTTCTCTGGAGCTTTGGTGGGGATAGCTGTGATGGCGGTGACCGACTTGCCGTTACTTGACGCAGTTGTTACAGATTTCGTGGCAGGAGCTGTTGTAACCGCTTTACTGGAAGCCGCAGTTGTAGCTGGCACGCTGGAAGCTACGTTATCTCCAAATGCCTCACCACTAGCTGCCGACACAGTTTCTTTACTTTCTGACACAGCACTGCCAGCAAGCTTTCCCTCGACGGCAGCCACTGAAACCGGCTCACCAGCACCAACAATATCCACCTTATCAGTGTCTTTAGCCTCGGACGGCGGTGAGAGCGGACTAGCGGCCGCATCAGGGTAAACATATTCACACCGACCCCGATTCTTAGCGGCCGGCGGCGGCGGCGCCCCTCCCTCGTCCCCACTGGCACTGTTGTCCGCGAAATCCAGATCATCAAACACATCTCTCGCCTCCTCCTCCTGTTTCGCGGGAGGCGGCGCTTTTACAGGGTCCTCCGGCAGCTCCGACACGTCGTCCTCAAAGTCACTGAGGGTGGCCAGGTTGGCCTTCTCCCCGGCACCGCGCCGTACCGTCACAAACCTCTCGTCCACGCGGAACTCGTGCGGCACGTCGGCCACGCTGGCCACCTCCGACTCGTGCGCCCAGTCGGAGAGGTCGAGCTCCGTGGCGTCGCGCGCCGCAGACTCGCCCGGCGACTCGACCGAGTCGGCCGTCGCCGGCGGGACGGGCGGGAGAGGCGGCGGCGGCTCCGGCTCGGCGGAGCGGCGCGCCGGAGACACCGGCTCGCCGCTCGACCGGCGCCGTCGGATCTGAGACAGGAGCGTGCGGTTCTCTTCGATCAGACGGGTGACGTCGAGCGCGGCTGCCTTGCTTAGTGGAAGAGCTGATACGGTGTCATCTGCGACGGTCGGCTCCGGAGCCTCGGCAGCCGGCGTGGCCGCGGCCGGAGCAGCAGGCGCGACTGGGGCAGCGGCAGACGCGTCAGGGGCAGCGGCAGACGCGTCAGGCTCGCTACAAACCGGAAGATCTTCAGACTCAGCAGGCATCGGCTCCTCACTCTTAAAGTCACTCTCCACAGCATCCGTCGCATCCGCCGGAGCAGGAGAGGCCGCGGCGGATGTCCCCTGCTCCCCACATACGCCCTCAAACTTCTCCTCCAGACGCGTTACGTCCAGGCCGCCGAGCAGCGCGTCAAAGTCAGCCGGCGAGACGTCTAGAGACGTGGGCTCGGCGACCGGCACCGGCAGGTCTGTCGACTCAGCACCAGCAAGTGCCTGGTCCTTCACGACATCACCGACCACCGACGTAACCTCCAGCTGCTCCGATGAGTCTACCCCAGTGGGCGGCGCAGTTTCTACTCTTTCAGTTGCCGTCGCTGCTTTCGCCGGCTGTTCCTTCACGGTCGGAGTGGGCGGCGGAGAGGTCTGTAGATCAGTACCCTCACTCAGAGACGAGTGCATCGTCTCGGCAAACGCCGCCAGCACGGCCGCGCGCGCCTCACCGCTCTGCGAATCCACCACCGATATATCCGTGAGGCTTTCCTCCAGTTCCATCTGCTCCTGGCCGGCCGAGTCCTGGCTGGGGGCGGCCTCCAGTGCAGGCGCCGCCGCGGCACCGGCCTGCTCCAAGCCGGAGCTGCTGGAGGACGGGGTGGAACTGGAGACAGTCGGCGGCGTGCCGGGGGTGATGGCTGACGCGGTGGCGGCGGCCGGTACCACCCCGGAGGGCGGCGCGTCGTCCAACTCACTACCGCCCGTCTCGGAGGTCTCTGGTGGAGGAACCTCCGGCACGGGAGGTGGAAGAGGAGAGGCGGGAGGCGACGCGGACGGTACGGGAGGCGGAGGGGAGGTGGGAGGAGGACTAGCGGGCGGCACAGGCGGCGGGGACGCAGCACTGACGGACACAGCCGCAGGGGCAGCGGCCGCCGCCGGAGCGGGTGCTGGAGCTGTCACCGGTACTGCCGGGGACGCGGAGAGGGTTCTCGTCAGGGGCGACCCCAGACGCGAGGTGACCGTTGACGCCGTGGCCCCCGCCGCCGCTGTCGACGCCGTGATACTTGCTGTCGATGTCAGCGTCCCACCAGCAGCCAGTCGACTGGAGAGACTCGGCAGTCGCGCATCCAGTGTCTGTCGAACGCCAGACGACGGCCGGACCGCCGGCGCCGCCGCCGGCCGCGCGCCCAGCAGCTTCTGCGTCTCCGAGATCCGACTCATGAACGTCTTGACGCGACTGTCGAGGTCTGTGGTCGACTGCGACTTGGACGGGGCGTACGGCGCCGTCTGCTCCGTCAGATACTTCCGCTTCAGCTCCAGCGAGTTCTTCCAGGCGATTGCCTCGCTCGACTCGGTGCGCTGGATGAGGTAGGGGCGGTGTGAGGGTGCGCTCTTCCGCGCCTCGCGGATGATTTTCGCCACGGAATCCTCCTCCTCTTCCTCTTCTGCCGTGGAGCGTTTCGCCTCCGCAGTAGTAGCCGACTTCTTCAACCCCGCCACCGCACGCGGACGAGCGTTGACATTTTTAATCGTCTCCGCCTGGTCACCCGCTCCGCGCTGCCTCCCCGGTAGTTTTCTTCTCGCGGCCGCTGGTGCGGTCGGAGCGGCTCTTCCCTTTTCCCTCGCTTCAGTGGGACTCGCGGCGTCCGCCCTGCGAGGTGAAGTCGACGGCGTTCTCTTCGCTGCCGGAGCTTTAGCCGGAGAAGCTGCCTCAGCCGGGGCCGGAGCTGGAGCTGGAGCCGGGGCCGGAGCCGGAGCCGGAGCCGGCGGCTCGGCCGGCTCGGCGGCGGGCTCCGGGCGGCCCTGCTCGGCGCCGATTGGCTCGGGCCGCTCTCCGGGCCGCGGCGAGCCCGGCTCCGGCGATGTGGCCTCGCTGACGGCCGAGTTCTCGATGACAATGGTGGGCAGCGGCCGGGGCGCGGCGGCCGGCGCGTCGTCAAACTCCGAGTCGGTGGCCACCTCGGTGGCGTCCTCGTCCTCCGAGGAGGAGGTGGTCTCCTCCGAGGACGAGGAGTCCGAGTCGGAGGACGTCTGCCGGAGGAACAAACGGATGACGTCAGAGGAGAGCCGGGGGTAAATGTGGAGAGACCACGGAGTTTTCATACAACGGCTGCGGTAGAGGCAGCCGCAAATCTTATCATTGTGTGTTTGACTAGGGCCATAGTGCCTGACCGTCGTAAACAGTCACTCTGCAGATATATCAGCACGGTATCGGTAGACCTCAGGTTCATGCCTCGTGAAAACAAAATAATATTTAACTGGTGGACAAGAACAATATCCTGGCTTCCTCGTTGCAGTGAGCAATTTTGGACCCAGTAATGAAACTCCGTGAGGAACAAAAGGAACAGCCTGCAGGCAAACAACCACTCACGAAATCGACCGGTAGCAAACAGACCGAGCAACTGATGATACGGGCTGTAAACAACGAACTAAACTGCTAGCAACACATGCGAGAGCCTTTCAAAATATTTTGTTTGACACGAAAAACCCCAGACGCGTCGAATTCCTTGCAGTCACCGTGGAAATCAAATAGCAATGACACCAATGACGAGTACGGCATCATTTCGAATTTTTGCTCGTTTCGCTATCCTTTCCTTGAACAAATGCTAGGCCATTAGACACTGTGAGTAATGTTCAGTAGTGTCAACGCACTCCATAAATTAAGAATTTAGTTTTTACATACCTACATTTTGATTAACATACAAAAGTAATATGAACGTATTAGTCAAAGGAAGAGATGAATACATAGACCAAACGAAGACTAGTATCTGCATCCAACGAACTTCAATTTCAAAACCAGGCTAAAATGGATCGAAAACCGACACATGCAGTCATGCACTAGTTCATCCATTTACAGGAGCAGAGTCCACACGTTTTGTTAACCGAGCTGTCCGTAGTCATTTTCGCACCGCAAAGGTACTCAGCTGAAGTACCGCAACATGGGAGGCCATTTCTGTCGATTTCATCGGGTTGGGTCGAACTAGCTACTGAATGGATTGTGATAACGTTTCTGGGACGGCAAGCAACACAACTCTGGGACCCGAGACTGCGGGGTCAGACAGAACTTCGCCAAGTAAATCGACAATCTAATCTGACACGAATGAAACACTCCCTGAGATAGCTTTCCAGGGTTCAGCGCTTCAAATTTTCTAGATACTGGAGTAGAATGAATCAGACATAGACGGTCTCTGTTGCCGGCAGTCTGGCAGAATTGAGCTCGGGCTAGCCCCTGCAGAGCTGGTCTGAGCCTGCGGCACCGGCCGGGGCCCACCGTCAGGAACCGACCGCCGGCCGGCCGGCCGGGCGCGTCGTGTTAGCACACTGTCTCGAGCGTTAGTGGGAGACACAGCACGCATGACGCAACACGAGCCACCTACGAGCGGCGGCCGGCCGGCCGGTCGGGCGGTCACTGCAGCCGGCAGCAGCCGTCGCCGCGCCGTCCCGGCTGCCGCTGCTGCGTGTCGGTAGATGGGGGAGCGGAGGCAGGGGTGCGGGCCGGTACAGGAGGGGAGGGCGCGCGCCGTTCGCTGGTCATCGGAACCGAACCCAGGCTCGTCGCGGTGGAGGACAGAGATTGGGGCGGAACGGCGGAGGGCGTGGAGGAAGACTCGGTACTTTGGGAGCCGGGCGGGAGCTCTGTGGTCTTACAGGGATCCAGGAAGGCCTGCGAATGGGTCCCGGAGGTCTGGGAATATGTATCCGATGTCTGCACTGGCCCCAAGGACTGGGAGGACGTCCCCGACGGCTGGGACAGTGGTACCACTGGTTCCGCCGTTTCTGCTGGCTGAAGAGACCCATTAGAGTTCTGGGGTGGAGTCCCAGTGACTGCTTTCTGGTCGCACAGGGTCGTGGCCTTTTCAGCTACCTCTGCTGGTTGCGACGATCCTTTACTTTCCATAGGATGAAGCGGATTTTTGACGGAAATGCCCGGCCCCTGTTGGGCATTGACGCCATTCGCTGACTTGGGCATGTCGGTGGTTTTAGCTGTGATAACAACGGTTTTGACCGGAGGTATCAGCCCACGTGGCGCTGAAACGTTCGTCCCAGCGCGCTCCCCAGCTGATCCCACCTGAGCAGGCATATTAGAATGAGCTACAGGCCCAGGGGATCGCTCGGAGCGCTCCCCGCTCGTCTGGGACGGACCCATAGCTGTCTGAAGCCCAGCAGAGATCCCAGTTCCACCCTTCACCGGCTGATTCAACCCAGACTCGCCTACTGTCGGCTGCACTGACTGTGTCAATCCAGAGCTCTGACCAGGAGTGCCAGCGGCTGTCGGAGCGCCACCGGCCAGCCAGCGGGCCCTCTCAGACTGACGCGGGGAGCTGCCGCCGGAGGGAATAGCAGCAGCAACGCCCGTTGAGTTTGACCCAGCGACAGCGGTACAGGGACCCGGGGAAGCGCGCGAGGCCCCGGGACCCACAGAGGCACGAAGCAGCCCGGGACTGGAAGAAGTGCTCAGGGATCCGGGGGTCGGAGAAAGACGCGGGGCTGCAGGAGTCGGGGAGACCCGCAGGGTGCGAGGACTCGGAGATGGTTGCGGGATCTTCGGAGTGGCTCCAGTGTCGGGCAGAGCCGGTACGGTGGGATGGGAGACGGCGGTGACCGGGGCCGAGCCATTCGACAGCGCCAGAGCCTAAAACAGCATCCAGCGGACAGCCGATGAACGATCGAGAATTGACCAGTGCCTCACCCGGGCCATGTTGAATATTCTGAACTCGAGCTGTCTGTATCGCGTGAACTAAGGCGCAATTGCAGAACAACCAACAGTATAATTGACATCTAAATCTGTATGTAGGAGCGATTTTAACCAACGAACTTACTACAGAAGATATGTTCAAAATGGTGATACAGCAGTTTCCAGATATGAATCTTTTCCAAGACATAAATGAATACAGGTAAAAAAGGTTTTCACATCACACATGTCTGGCATGACGAGCAAAATCTAGTAAACAGCCACAAAATGAAAGCTGCATGGAGTCAGCATATCATATGCCTTCACAACCCAGCTTGATACTAAATTCGATGATGAGGTAACCATATTCAATACCCAGCACACACGAAATTCCCACAAACCTTCCAAACGTGAGTCCGCACAGCACAGGAACTCCTAGCCTTCAACCATAATTGCCACACACATACCGTTCCTCCCACCCCGAGCCCCTGCCGGCCCGCTCCGGCCGCCACCCACCTCTGTGTCACTGGTGTCGCCATGCTTGCTGCTGCGGTTGCGCGACTTGAGTACGTCCTCTGCCAGGTGTACCTCCTGCTGACGCCGCAGTCGGGCCGATGCGTCGTCCTCAGTCTCCGACTGGGTCGCCGTGTCAGAGTCTGTACCGATGGATGGATGAATGTCAGGCGACGTGTAAGGCAGGCGACAGGGCACAGAGGCTACTGGGGCAGGTTTGGTAGATAGTCATAAATATGCAATGCTACACCCATGACCCAGGTCCGTACTCCTATACTGCTTACACTACTTTACATGTCAAATTACATGAATCACACTGCTTGAAACGGGTAACAGAGTTCCAATTTTGCAGCACATCACGATAGTTACCCTTCTCCCCAGCTCGTCTCAGACACGCACGAGACACTCCGTCCAGCCGAACTCACCGTCTCCGTCTCGATCGCAGCCGTCTGACTCGTACAGGTCGCTGGGCTCGTCGAGCGGGTCCTGCGAGTGTCTACGGCGCCAGCGCTCGGCCAGTCGCAGCACCTCGTCCTCGTCCAGCGCCGGCTCGTACTCGTCCGAGTCGGACGAGGACAGCTCGTCCTCACTGAGGACACGTGAGAGGAGGATAGCGGGTTAAACAGAGGGCAGGTCGTACTCGTCGGAAACAGACAAACACAGCTCGTCCTCACATATGAGAAGAGGAGAGTGGGATCGTTACAGCCGGACGACGACAAACCGTCCTCACCGAGGAACGCAAGCCTTCCCGCACATACGCCCACTCGCCATGACCGTCTCACAGGCCCACCTAACTATCATCCCTTCTCCATCAATTATTCTCCCGTCCCAGCTGGTTCCCAGCTGGTCCCGTCCCGTCCCCATCTAGCTCACCACCTCACTCGTCCTCATGGTACGCCTGTTCCGGCCAACTCCCGTTCCCTCCCATTCCTCCTGTCCCCTCACAAGCCTTCCTCCAATTCCTCCTTTCCCTGTCCCCAGCTCTCCTCCATTCATCCGATCCTCTCACCTGTCCTCTCCATCGAGCAGGTCCTCGCTGGTGAGTTCGGCCGCCGACATGCCGAAGTTGTGGTCGGTCCACTCATCCTCGTCCATCTCAGACAGGCGCTCCTCGGGCGCCACAGCCAGCACGCTGTTCTCAAACTCTGCCCGCTCGGGCGTGGCGCCGCGCCCCGCAGCGCCGGGCACAGAGAGACTCTGGGGAGGGACGGACACACGGTGGGTTAGAAGGGTAGGGTGAGGAGCATAGTGCGGTTGGCAGGCTAGTAAGGCTAGTGTCAGAGTGGTACACTGATAAAGACGTGGGTTGGTTATGACAGTGCGTGACTGTACTAAACAAAGCACAGGAAAGCTGAATACAGCTTCTTTTCGTAAACCAATGAACGGCAATGTACCACAATGAAATGTTCGCAATGAGATCAATCGGATAGGAAATATTGATTTTCTAATCCATCGACGTAAGACTGGGTGGCTACAGGTCAGGTCAGTGTTTCACGGGAGTTCTCCCGAGCCCGGCAGTTCCGCGGCGACAGTCCACCGACTCACCCCCTTGTCAGGTGTATCGGTCGGCTGCTCAGGCTTCCGCTGGTACTTGTACTTCACCAGCGAGTGGAGACCAAAGTGCGGCATACAGAAGAACCGGCCAGAGTCCTGGTCGAACGCGTAGTTCACTGGGGAGGCGGAGAAGAAATGTCAGGAAACGAGACACGACACGAGATGATACCAGATAAATTCTCCGCATTTTGACCAGGCCACCGCAAACACGTTTGAAACTAAGAAAAACGCAACTCACGTTGAGCGCAGTCCTTACTCATTTCGAGCACACATGTTTTACTTCATTTCATCATAGCTGATGCATTCATAGATAGAGCACAGTGCCTACTCACTCATTTTGGGTGCACAGGATACTCACTCATTTTGAGCCCACCCTACTCACTCATTTCGAGCCCACAGTACTCACTCATTTTGAGCACGGTGCCGCAGTACTCGCAGCGGAAGCAGCCGTGGTGGAAGAACTTGCCCTCTGCCGACATCCGCTCCACCAGGTACACGCGCTCGTTGCAGAAGTGGCACGCCTCGGCAGCACCCGCCTCCGTTTTCTGCAAAGGAACAGGGAAGGGATGACGGTCAGGCATCACTGGAGCAGCAGTGCAACAGAAGCAACATCTGGCAGGGCTATACCACTGGAGTGTAGGCCTGAAGGCTGAAGTAGAGTGGAGTGTAGGTAGGAGTGTAGGCTAGAAAGCTCATGAAAAACGCCAATTCCAGAATATAAGGAAACGCTATAAAAATGAACAGGGAATGAAGCATCAAGTTTTATCGACCGAATGAAAAGTCCCCGATTAGTTTCATCTCGGTAGTGTCTCGCGACTGGAGTAAAGCGTGAGTTATTCAAACTGTACGAACGAAAGGCATGCACACCGGTCGCCTACGGGCATCACTAACAACTAATAATGTTAGTTAGGTGTAAATTAACAATTTCTCAGTACAAATTAACAAAATACACCGATCCGTTTAAACTTTCTGCAGCTGCAGCATTCAGATCAATAAAATGAAATGTACCTGACTTTTCCGTTTACCTTCACACGAATAAATAACCTCACTTCGCTCCGCAAACAATCGATCTTAGCAATCGAAACAAATGAGATTTACAATCGAAATATTTTACATGAAAAATATACATCCTCCCTTTTCGCTGCGTTATCAATTAAGTGAAGCCGCCTCACACCTTCCTTCAAGCACTGCTCCGACTGTTCCTCTCATTTTCTGCGCCTACCTTCTCGGCCGGCGGCGCCCGATCGGCCCTGTCCAGGAACTGCTGCGCCATCTGCGAGACCCGGTTCGAGCCCCGCTGGCCCACGTCGCGCGTGGTGCCCTCGCGCAGCTTCATCTCCAGTCGCCGCAGGTGCTGGTCGATGTCGGCGTACTTCCGCAGCGTCTCCGGCGGCACGGCGCCGCGTTCCGCCAGATTCCGCATCGCCTGGTACTGTCCGCCGGCGGAACGGAACAGAGCGGAACAGCGGCGACACAGAGTGAGAAGGGGAGGTGAGGGGACACGCGGTCAAACACTACACAGGCAGGTGTGTTATGTACAGCGGTGGAGTTTTGTGTGAAGAATTAATTCATTACGTGTCATTGAATGTGAGTGGCTATACAGCCCACTCGAAGCGAATAGGTAAGCCATTTGAAGGTTGTAAAACAAAGAACATGTTCTGATCAAAGCTCAAATATGTTAACATGCGTTCTACAATATACCAGACACACGGGAAAACGCACACAGCAACAGCGCCCCTTGATTAAATGCCGCTTTTATTCTGACTTTGAGTTGAGTAGATAAGCAACCCTACCTAGGGAGCATAGCGGAACGCAGAGCTAACGACGGGGGCGCAAAATTGGTCCCCCCATGAACAATTCAATTTTCCACAGTCGCTGATCATTTAAGTGAAAAATACCTGTTCAGAAAACTCGTCATACGATCTTGGGTTGTTCACGGGTTTAAGCATCTTCACTATTCCTAACGTGCCTCTGACACCGCATTCCAATCTGAGTCCGCTGTGCCCTATCCGTTTTCAGCTCTGTTATTGTCCCCGCTGTCCCTCACCACCACACTACAGCTGCCAAAGCCGGCGAGACGCGGTCGCCAATTTGGCTCCCGTTCGGCTGGCGCTACACGAGTCGTCGGCGACTCGACATACTGATCTGACAATGAACCCGTCCCAAACAGAGGGTTGTAAACACCCGATACTGTGCCAGAAGTCGCAGTAAGAAACAATGTTCCTTGGCGACAGCGTCTTCGTTAGAAGTAAACATTCCTAAGTCAATGTCCCCGGGAAAAACTACAGTCACCTTCACTGAATTCGGACCGATGCTGAAAAGGTCTTAGATTGTGTAGTGACATTTTCCGTTCCATTCCAGAATGTTTATGGCGTATCAATATATAGATATCGCGTAACCAACCCTGAATAAAAGCACTGTACGTTTTCTCGGCCACGTTAAACTTTCTATGCGGCGCGAAGACCACTGCCCGCCTAGTGTCCGTGCTGGCCAGTATACCCCGCCTCCCGCCCGTGCCTACCTTATCGTCGAACATGTCCTTGCTCCACATGGGCACCGGCTGGGCGGGTTCGCGGCTCGTGTGCACCTTCTTGCTGTCCTCGATTTTCCGCTCGATCTCTCGGACGTTCCAGTCGGTCTTCTCGATACGGCCGATGGCGCGGGACAGGTCCTGGCGGCGACGGGTGGGGAGATCACCGTACTGAGCGGTTGCCTCGCGCTTCACGTTTACATTTTACAAAAAAAGAGCAGTGTAACAATAGATGCTAGCGCCTAGCCGAAACATCTATTTTTTCATCCCGCGATCCGTAAGTGCGATAAGTTACACCATGGAACCAGTCCACTGAATTTTGATATAAATTCGCTGGGTTTTATAATTGAACCTGTCACACCTTTGGTTTCTTGTCTGGTGGAACGTAATTTCCCTTGAACTTGGCCTCCAGGTCTTTGATTTTCGTGGCAAACTCTTCCTTTTTGTTGGGTCCCGCTCCGCCAGGAGCGAGATCCTTCTTCAGGTCCTGGATCACGCGACCCTGACGGTAAAGGAGAGAACGTTAATAAACTGAAAACTGTGCTGCCGCAACGTGCACATTAGATATTATCCAGCCAACGCCTCAGTCGCAGGGTGCAAGTAATTAATGCGTCGCTCCCAGCTAAGATCAATTATCCCGTATCGGTATGATAACTTTCATTATCACTTGGAAGTGGAAATTGGCAATAGACCATATATCATCCAAGAATATGTGCGACGAGGTCATTTTGTTAGTATTAGTTCATGCACAACCGTCACATAAACACAAATGAAAAATGTGTGAATGTGGGTGCCAAAACAGGCAACATGATCAGGAAAAAGAAAAATCACAGCAAATAAAAAGTCTAAGATGAGGTTACTAACGTTCCATGTTGTGAGTAAAACAAAAAAAGACGCCAAATGTTGCCAATGCTGCGTGATCTTGATACCTAGCTGTTCGACCATCCATAACAGCATGACTTTGCCACACAAAATGAAATTAGTAGACAATCTTCACAGTGAAGCACACACAATCCGTTAGGGTTTCAATCAATACAGCATCTGTAAACGAAAACTAGTTTCAACACCGCACGGCTTTCAGCTGACTCCACTCGCAGACAGGCTGTCGGTGGCCGCTAGAGTCGTTAGTTGACGGGTTCACTCCAATCCGGGTAACAGCACCATGCTCTCGCTCTCACGGGATGGAACACCATGTCCTGCAGTTTCATGCGGCGCTGCTCGAAGGACGCCGCCGTGCGCCGGTACAGGTGCAGACTGGCGTCATCCGGTCCTGTGCCGCCGTCCGAGCCGCCGCCCCCCGTCTCCATCAGGGCGGCCTCCAGCTCGGCCTTGCGCTGCGCCAGGGAGCGCAGTTGGCGGCGCTGCTGGCGGATCTGCTGGCGCCGCTCGGGCTCGGCGGCGTGGGCGGCCTCCAGGGCGGCCAGCCGCGCCTCCAGGGCCGCCACGGGCAGCTGCGGCCGGCCGGGCCAGTCGGACGTGCCCGCCGCCGGCCGCTCGCCGTCCGTTTCCGGCCCGGAGTCCGAGTCCGGGCCCGGCTCGTACTGGTACGTGTCGCCAAACGCGGCGGCCACCAGCGCCACCTTGGACGGGTCCAGAGGGCCGATCTCGGGCGGCGCGAACGGGTCGTCCGCGGCCTGGCGCTGCGGCTGCCAGCGGTCAGTTGGGATATGGGGAGCGGCGCGGATCACAGCAAGGTTCTGCCGCAGTACTTGCAACTGAGCGATATCATCCTCAGAACATGAGTGCCTCGATCATCATGCGTTCACATGATGAAGAAAAGATATAATTTTCTTAGCGCATTCGAAATGTTTCTGTGAAAATATAGCCCGTATCCAAAATAGAGAATTCAAAACGGTAAATTGACATTCGACATAACAAGTACTCAACCCGATAAAAAAACGAGGTGAATCACCTCATCATAGCTCCATCTTTCTCCATAAAGCTCCACAACCGCTCAGTATACTGACTTGATGGTACACTCTGGCCGCTCAGCAGCCTGTCCTCGGTTTCCGCCCGTCACTGACCAGTGACCAACCCCACGTCCCACCGACCCACCTTATCCTTTGCGGCGTCGCTCTTGCGTTTGCGCTGTTTGCGCGCGTTCTCGCTGAGCGAGGAGCGTCGTCCGTCGGGCTGGGAGCGTCCAGGGACGGGCCGCCGGCCGCCGCCCGGGTCCGCCACCTCCTCCCGCAGCAGCTCCTGACGGCGACAGGCCGGGGACGTCAACCAATTGGACACATGGGATTGCAAGATTTAATTAAGACGAAACTCCTGGGCCTTTAAGAATTGCCTTTCAGGAAGTGACAGTGATGACACCAATGCATGGTAAGAGAAATCACTGATCACATATCAATCACAAGTCGATGGTCTAGAAAACAATATCTAGCAGAGTGAAATCCGTGCAAGACGAAACAAATAGGGTATCAAGCTCAGCTCGAGACAGCTATTTAAATCAGACATGAGCTTCAATCCCCGGCTAGTTTCCCGCCACCCAAGCTCCCCACTTCACACCACCTACAGTCCACCCACACCTCAATACTTACCGCGATTTTCGGCTTCACATAGGGAATCTCTCCGTGGAGGGCGTCATACACCTGGCTGAGGTAGCTGAGCATGGCCAGCCGGTCGGGACAGGCGCACTCGGCCATCTCCTGTGCCGTCATCACCGGCGGCACGCCGAGCTCGCTCTCCACCAGCGAGAAGGCTAGGGTGGTGTTGGCCAGCGGGTCGTCCCGGTCCAGGGAGGAGAGGTCCACCAGGTCCGGCCGGTACTTGTGGAGGATGCCGCACAGTGCCAGACCTGCCGCCGGAGCCGGGAAAAGAGCCGGTTAGATGAGGGCATGCAATAATTACTGAGCGGGATAAGCAGAAACGTTAGAGCAGCGCTGTCCATAAGAAATGACCTTTTAAAAGAAAACGAAAACTACTATACCTATAGTAGTTTTATATATTATGCGCAAGCGCATCATTTGTTCATTAGATGTGACTTCATCAGCTGGATCCGAACAACACGCATCTTTCACTGTGACTAAGCTCGGATTCGTTCTCGATGAATGTGTTACTGAGGCGCTCGTTCGCTCGCTTTTCTGTGGTGGAAGTAGGCTATTTAGGCTTCATCACAACACACAGAACCCTGCCCTCTGATACCAGCCAGCAGCGCCTCTTCACCCACCTGACTTGAAGCTGAGCGTCAGGTCGGTGACCTGGATCTCGGTCAGCGCCAGCTGCTTCTGGCACCACTTGAGCAGCATGTCGGGCTGCAGTGGCTCCTTGCGGGCCTTCTTGGCCGGCCGCTCGGTGGCGCGCTCGGTGTCACTGACGATCGTCAGCTCTCGCTGCAGCGACTCGGGGCAGTCCGTGTCCACCAGATCGCGGACCTGGTACGGACTCACCGAGGCCCGGTTCAGGTTCGGGTACCTGACGGCAGACGGGTCACCGGTCAGCTGATTCGCCACTGCACCGGGTAGATCAGGACGTCAGATCAGCGTACAAGTCATTCAGTCACCACAGGTCACAAACATATTCCAGGTAGGCCAGGGGTTTACAATCGCAGTACCGACGTTTCAAATGACCCCTCTATTTGATTCTAGAAATTATAACTCCCTAACATTCTTAACGCACCTGCGACACTCGCGGTGGCTCGACTTGCTACAGCGCGCTAACGACAATCATCACCACCAACATGTCATATTCCCCTCCCCGGCTCCAATCCATGTCCCCCACATCCCCCTTACACACCTGGTGCGCGGGTCGAGTGTGTAGCCGTGGTACTCGCAGCTGAGGTTGCGCGGTGTCGTCTGTGCCAGCTGCCGGTAGATGGACTCGCGCTCAGCCAGACACTCCAGCGTGGTGACCCGCGGATTGGCCCAGGAGCGCATCTGCCAGGCCGCGTCGAAACAGGACAGGAAGCCGCGCGCGCACCCGCTGCCCGTCGGCCAGAACGGCTGCCGTAGGAGAGACAGACAGAGACAGAGGGTCAGTTAGCTGCTGTCCAAGTAGACGAGTTCACAGCTGGGTTAAGGACTACCGACTTCGATGCACGACCGCGTACCAGTTAGCTGGACGCGCAGACCGAGTTGGCCAGCCAACGGTCGACCGAGCGGCTGACCGGCTCAACTAAGCACAAACAAGAAGTCGGTCAACTAAAAACCGGCACACTGATACATCGCACATTTCTGACTCACACACCATCACTCGGACATCTCCCATTCGACTCCCATCACCCCCTCGGCCGTGTTCTCCCCGCTCCGCTCTCCCCATCGACCCAGTGACTCTCACCTCCAGTAGACTGTCGCCCACCAGCTGCAGAAGCAGTTTGTGACCGTGCCGCTCCATCACCTTCCCAGCGTTCTGCGAGGCGTACATGCACGTAAAGTCGAACATGGCTACGTCCTCGCGGCCGTAGTGGTTGAGCGCGAACGGCAGCTGCGGCAGACGGTGCTCGGTCGAAAAGTCGGCCGCCTCGCGGGCGTACTGCATCAGCTTCTGACGGTTGACGTTCTCCGGGGACAGCAGACGGTTTGTGTCCATGAAGTCCTGGCGGCAAGGGAGTTTTTTTTAATGCATGATACAAAAAATATACGACATCATATCAAGTGAGGGAGCTCGGCAAGTCCTAAGAATTACGCTCATCAACGCTACGGCAGGATAATTGATGAGGTCGACTAGCATGCAACCATTAATCTGCATAAGCTTGGTGTTTTGCAGTCAAAACCCCTTTTCGTCTTCAATAAAACCCCTGTAAATGGACGAGAGGAGTTCCACTTTTGCTAAATGTCGCCTCTCCAACGTATTCCTCTAAAAACGGCACAGGCACGTCAATATCATGTCGGCTATCGTATGTCAACAGTCAGCAGCGTCAACAGTGTCGGCGGAAACAGCGACAGCCGTCGGTCGGCGGACGCCCGACGGGCGGGGACGGGGGCGGGGCGGCGGTCAACGTCGGTGGGGGGGGGGGGGGGGGGGGGTGGAGGGATCGCGGAGAGGGGGCGCGTATCAGCCGGTGATGGTCGGTCGGCGGCCAGCTGGACAGTGGCCCACATCGGCAGCTGTCACGGCTGCACCGCTGCAGCCGCCGGCGTCACTGTGCAGACCGGCGTCCGCAGACACTCCCGGAGATAGTGCGGGCGACACTCGTCCGCAAATACAAACAGTAGGCGGGGTGGGCGGGGTGGGGAGAGAAGCGGCGGGAGGGGAGGGCAGGGCAGGGATGGTGGCTGCTCGGGGAAGTGTTAGCGTCACGAGCCGCAGGAATGCCTCTGTCTGCGGATGGCGGGAGCAGGACAGACACAAGGTCAGGTCAATCGGGACAAAGCTAGGGGAGAGCACACTGCAGTTGGTAAGGTTCACAACAATTATGTGAACTGTGAAGTAGGTCACACCCTGAAGCTTGTCTCAGCAGTGCTCGCCACGCAAGCGAAACAATTTACTACCGTCAATGAGAAATAACAGCTCCCACACTTCCCGCTCCGTTCAAGTGGCCCCGGAGACGGGAGACTCACGTAACGACCTGGAAAGGACCCCCTCCCCTCCTTTCTAGAGCCCCACATACCTGAATGATGACTCCCTTGGCCAGCAGGCTCTGTTTCTTCGCCGTCATGACGAAGTAGTGCGTCTCGTCCTTGTAGTAGACGATGTTCTCGAGCTCGATACCGGTGGCGTCGTACAGGTCCCGGAAGAACTTCTGGTTGAAGATGAACGCCACGCCCGAGATCTCGTCGACGCGCGCCTCCGCCTCGGTGCGACGGTTCACGAAGTTGGCCGTGATGGCGATGGCCAGCTTCCCGCGGAACTCCTTGCGACGGAAACCTGGACCAGGTTGGATGGTTAGTATCGCATTGGGTGGGACCTTATAGACCATATGTGGAATAATCATCGTTACATAAATACGTTGTCGAAGCAGGAATAAAAATAAGCAGCTTGTAAGCGTGCGACGAAAACTGTGCCCTTCATTTACTGTAAAGCAAAGTATTGCAATAAAAAGGTCGCATTGTATTTGCTTTGTTGCGCTCAACCTGTTCAAAAGAAAAAAAGCAAGGGAAGTGAAATTCGAGATTCACCATTATTTTCCTATCTCATTTCTCATCCATCCACCCGTTTCACTACGATTCCCTGTCAGCCCACGGCCCCACTCTGAGCCCCTCCCCGCGACTCACAAAAACACGCCATGCGTCATCCATCACGTGACCCACGACCCCAGCGGCCGGTGCCGCGCCTTTGTCCCCCACGGCACTCAATGTCAACGATCACGGCCGGCCCGGGGGGGGGGGGGGGGGGCGGGGCAGGGGGCGACCCCGTGCGCGCCGAGCGGCTCCGAGCGTGCCAATAGACACCGTGTGACGTGGCAAAACCACCGCCCGGCCCCAGAGCCTTTTTCTACGCCGAAAACACCGAGGGTTTTAGCGGTGTGGCACGTAAAACCGAGCAGTCCTAACGTGAGTGAGCACTGATTAGCTGGCAAATGGAACAAAGAGACCAGACAAGAGCTGCCGAGCAACACGAAATACTTTCACGGTCCACTTATCACTTAAAACAACTGAGGCTCCCGCCCCTCCTCAAGTTTGTCTTCAATACCACAACCCTCACTAGCATTCAAACTTAACGGCTCGGAACACATGCTATCCCACTAAACAAACAAACATACCCCGGCCGCTCTCCGACCCGCCAACTGACCGCCGCACTACCAACGGTTACTCACATTTGAAGGTGTTTCGTTTTCCATCAGCTCCAACGAGCACATCGAACTGGAAGTCGGCGGCCGGATGGTCGGGCGGGCTGAGCCGCGCGCGCCAGCCGGTCCGCTCGTCAGCCGGCTCCACCAGCTCCTCATAGCCGACGTTCTCGTACACCTCGACTCCCAGCAGTAGGGCCACCTTCAGCAGGATACACTGTAGCTGCCGGATACCTGGCGCAGACGGGGTGGACCGCGCCGGTTAGAATGGGGGTCAGGCACGCTGAGCGCTCCTCGTCTCAGTGATGAATAAGGAACGGTAGGAATCGACCTACGCTGATTGGAACGATGCAGAAGACGAGAACTAAAAGCCCTGATGTGGTATTTGATGGTGGCAGCCGGAAACTGATACTGAAATGGCACGTTTACGGTCAATAGAAATTACGAACAGGCTATATTTCATTTTGTTTCTCTACAACTCAACACTTAAAAACAAACTTGTAATTATCTGCCACCGAATACGCATATTCTAGATCGTCTGCGTTTAAAAATAAACAAGAAATTTCAGGCCGCAAATTTGGCAACAGAAAATCGTTCAAAGTAGCTTCACCTATGCGGTGGGATGGCATAGGATGCTACAAAAACCTTCCAGCCCGTATGGGCACCAGTAGTGGGGTGAGGTCACCCGGGTCGGGTCGTGTCTCCTTCAATGCTGACAGATGAGACGTGTTGTGTGAAAACGGCCGGGTAAACGGCGGGGAAATGTGTCAGACGCCGACCCCGTCATTCAACTTCACCGGGCTACAAAGTGGGCTGGAGCATCGCTCCGCGAGTTGTAATTGCAGTTGAACGCCGCAAATAGCGAGCAAACGGTGTGCAACAACACCAATAACTTCGAACCTATAACTTGGCTAAGGTAATGCTCGCATGACTAAGACCCAAGGTAGCGTGTAGTAAGCGACATCTCTGAACAGATACCGTGAGATTATTATCTGTGACAACGTACAATACAACGGCAATCCACCACGCCGATCCATTTGACCCGTGTGCGACGTGCCCGCTAACAAATCCAGTCACGTCAATATCCACTAAACCCCACTGAACGTCAGCATTATCAAACGGCGAGGTTCGTGCTCGTGACCAGTTCGCTGCGCTCGCTCCCTTTCGATCGATCCAAGCCTGAAATACCGACCGGTGACCGCTCCTCTCCTCTCCAAATTCGGACGCTACCGGCGGCAGACGAATCCGTGCCCGGTGCCCCGGGGAGCCGGACCGTACCCGGGCTGAGGCAGTAGCTGCCCGCGTAGATGCTGCGGGCGGTAAGGCCGGTGATATAAGGAGGAGAGTGGCGGGAAAATGGTCAGAAAATGGTCGGAAAATGGCCACGGAACGGCCAGCTAATGGAGTGTGTGAAAGGATGCTGCAGTTACCGCAACATTATGGATACGCCGCTATTCAACAGGGATGTTTTCAGTGCGTTCCAGAATCAACGAGCACGTTTTACGCGGGCGGGCCCTCCTCCGAGCGATGCAGACAAATGCTATGGACATTTATACGTTCGTCAAAAAGAAAAAATACCCGACAAAAATAGCCGTCCAAAATAGTCTCTTAGGTTTCAATGGACATATTTTCAATATTTTCTATAGTAGGATTTCCAGTAGCGTCGCGACTATAAACATGCCACCAGTTATTTCCTACAAGCCCGCAAACACCTCCACAAGACCGGTCGTTTGCTAACAGCACTCGACATCTGTCTGCCTCAATCACTAGGTTGCACCCAGCCAGTCCATCTCCAGCCTACAGCTGGACGTCGGACTTGCGCCCAGTTTGGACCCGGATCAATTGGATTCAGTTTGTCTCGTGTGGTGTGGTCATGTGGATTAGTTGACCGAGGACTGTGACCAAATGCGAGACATGTCACACGCCCTTTTAATACTGATGAGATCCACAGACTTTGAGTAATGAGACGCCTCCGACTTGTTTTTAAGTGTCGACAATATTTACAAGCCATCATGTTAATCGCTCTTTATCTGCCACCAAACCAACCCATCCACAAAGAGGTACCCGGCCAAAGGTCGGCGCCCGTCGGCGGTCAGCCCTTCAAGTACCCCAGGTCTGTGCACCAGCGGTCGACGCAGAGTGCTGCACAGTGACGTCACTCGGGCGTCCAACTCGAGATAACGTCTGACTGATCGTCTAAACACCGTCCGGCCGCCACTGTAGGGGAGTCAACCAGTAGAGCAGGACGGAGCCCGGCGCCGAACCTCGCTAGTCTAGCCATCGCCGAGCTAGTACTAACGCCAGCACGAGGCGGCAAATGGTTTGCGATCAGATAGAATGAATAGCAGCTGCATGCGAGGAAAGTATATGCGCATATGCATGCATGAAGCCGGTCCTAGGAGCATCTGATGATTCCGGTGCGACTATTTCCGATCTAATGCATGTGGTGGGGAAGACACGCAAACACGCAGCTCGCACATGAAGCCCTCCCAGAAGTGAGCAGCTCACGGCACGTAGTAACACCCTCACGCCGGTGTTTCCGTCAGTCCGGAGTAATCAGATAGTTCACGCGGGTCGGCGCCGTTTGGGCTAGAGGCGGGCGCCGTTTGGGCCAGAGGCGGGCGGCGTGTCCAAATAGGGCGCCCCACAGGGGAGTGAGACGGAGAGCTGCGATCGCCGTGCTGACAGCCGGGCCAGTTCTGACGAGCGGTCCGACTGAGTTCACCGAGACACCGGCCACAAACGGTTAGCAACTGGGCGGTGATGGTTTACTGGACACTGCTGGTCGGCGTCAATGCCGTCATGACGGCCGACACACAGAGCCGGTGACCGTACCCAGGGTGGTAGTAGTCGCGTTTTATTAAAGTGACAATGAGAACTTCACCACAGGGAGACTGGCAGAGACGGAAGGGTAGTGCGACGCATCAAACCGCTAATGTTATTACGGAGCGAGCGAAGCGAGCGTAGTCTTTCCTTAGATTAACGGAAATTTCTGAGTATGAGCGGCCGGCCGGCCGGCCGGCCGGCCGGCCGTGGTCACGCTTTTGCGAGGCTTATATCTCAGCAACCACTTGACCGATTTACACGCGGTAATTTTTGTAGGGTAGCTACATTCCTTCTACCAAGTATTGGACTATTCCCGATGCATGTGGGTGACCCCTTATGCACGTGCCACGTGCAAAACGAAGAGGTGTCAGTTTTGTAATTGTTGCAATATCTCGGTAACTACTTGGCCGATTGCGCTGAAAGTTGGCATGTAGGTAGGCACCCACTAGGCACTGCATATACATGTGCCAGAGTTGGGGTGCTGCTGCACGTGCGCACGTGCAGGGGTCGTTTCCAGATCTCGGGAACGGCTGGACCGATTGCGCTCAAATTTGGTACACGGTTAGGGACCGGTTAGTAGGGTGCCGTGCACAAGTCAGTTGGGACCCATTTTGCACGTGCGCACGTGCAGGGTGCCGCTTCCAGATCTCGAGAACGGCTGGGCCGATTGTGCCCAAATTTGGCACATCGCTAGAGACCAGTTAGTAGGGTGCCGTGCACAAGTCAGTTGGAGGTACCCCTCGCAATTTCGCACGTGCAAGGCCCACCCTCTCGCTCGCTCCGTTAGTCGCCCCAAAAGGCGTTATACTGGTGTTGTAAGGGCGCTACGAATAAAGCCTAAAACAGACTCTTTCCGCAGTCAGGAAATCGCATGCGAGAGCCTATTCAAATACATGGAAGTGCGCTCGCATCAATTGCAACCGCAAGCGATTGATGCGAGAATAATTACGGAGCGAGCGAAGCGAGCGGAGTCTTTCCTTAGATTAACGGAAATTTCTGAGTATGAGCGGCCGGCCGGCCGGCCGGCCGTGGTCACGGTTTTGCGACGCTTATATCTCAGCAACCACTTGACCGATTTACACGCGGTAATTTTTGTAGGGTAGCTTCATTCCTTCTACCAAGTATTGGACTATTCCTGATGCATGTAGGTGACCCCTTATGCACGTGCCACGTGCAACACGAAGAGGTGTCACTTTTGTAATTGTTGCAATATCTCGGTAACTACTTGGCCGATTGCGCTGAAAGTTGGCATGTAGGTAGGCACCCACTAGGCAATGCATATCCATGTGCCAGAGTTGGGGTGCTGCTGCACGTGCGCACGTGCAGGGGTCGATTCCAGATCTCGAGAACGGCTGGACCGATTGCGCTCAAATTTGGTACACGGTTACGGAGCAGTTAGTAGGGTGCCGTGCACAAGTCAGTTGGGACCCATTTTGCACGTGCGCACGTGCAGGGTGCCGCTTCCAGATCTCGAGAACGGCTGGGCCGATTGTGCTCAAATTCGGCACATCGCTAGAGACCGGTTAGTAGGGTGCCGTGCACAAGTCAGTTGGAGGTACCCCCTCGCAATTTCGCACGTGCAAGGCCCACCCTCTCGCTCGCTCCGTTAGTCGCCCCATAAGGCGCTTTACTGGTTATAATGTATTTGAATAGGCTCTCGCATGTAATTTCCTGAACGCGGAAAGAGTCTGTTTCAGTCTTAAGCCGAATCCATCGAGAATGTGCGAACAACGATAAATGCAATAAATTGCCAGCGAAATAGGAGCCTAGCAAACAGAGTTTATCGCCGCGATTATGCGATTATTCAGGTCCGATATCATCCATTTCATTCACATACGTGGCTTAACAAGATAAATGCCCACTTCCTCGTCGCCTCAAACGATATTTACCAGGCGAATCGCACCACTTTTAACGATAATTTATCGAACCCCCAGCAAATACTAACGCCACACTAACTAAATTCGTGTCAAACCGACATTGCATAACACTTCCATCAGCACACCCGGAAACCAGTCACCTGGTGCTTCATTCCGCCAGCACCGACAACAAACTTCCCTGTGACCTCTGAGAGCATCCGTTCGCGCAAACAAGCCTTATTATTCCTGCAGATAGGTATCACCCTGAACTATTGCCACATCGCGCGGAATACAGCGCCCGTGCGCTGCGCTCCGTTCTCCCCCGCCCGCTGCAAAAACACCGCAGGCGTCTTCAGAGGACTCGGCAGTGGGATCGATGACAGAGCCTCACATCGCGAGCGGTGGAGGAGTCTCCCCGGGAGTGGGGAGCGGCGGCCGCCCACCCGGCCGGCTGGGTAGACTGTCGGTGACGTCACTACTCCCCGGGTGACGTCATCTCCCCCCCCCCCCCCCCCCGGAGCCGGCTGCCAAGACTGGCAACGTGAATCAACGGCGGGTCTGGCGGCCTCGGGGCTCGGCACCACGCAGGTGCCGCCGGGGACGGTCGGGAACAGCCCCGGGTGGTGTGACGCGGGGTCACTCACTGGGAGCCGAGGTGACGGGGTGGCAGAGAAGGCGTCGGGAGAAGGGGAGGAGAAGGGGGATAGACGACAAAAGGGGCGGGGCGAGGGGCTGCAATAGAGAGAAGCGGAGAGGGAGAGACATCGGGAGAGGAGGTGCGAGGAAGAGAAGTACGGAGAGACTGAAGGAGAGGCAAGAGATGAGATAGAAGGACTGATAGGAAAAAGATGATAGAGTCGATATTCACTTATAAGAGCTCACAGTACGGTAAAGTGACGTCGAACGTTTAGCAGAGGCAACTATACGGCAGTCAACTTATCAAAACCCCGTCGCAGCAGTTAGCAATAGTTATTCAGAACTACATCAAGGCATCTAGCAAACCAAGGCAACGTGGCTGGCATTCTTACGAGGCTAACACGCCATGAGAAAAACGTGAGCCGTGGCCAATCACGGTCAGTGGTCACGCAATTGGGGAAAAGTCACGAAGCAGCCTCTATTGCATTACGCTCCCACAAAAGCTATGATTTTGAGCCATCGACTTCAATCGGTATGGCACCGTATTGAATACGCAATGAGATTATTTTCAGCATCACAACCAGCGTCACTCGAAATCTGGTACAGCTCAAGACATGCATCAATAAAGCACCATTTCCGCACGAGTTAAAATGATCTGAACGTATGCAGCTCTTGGCTCGATGTCGTTTTTCGGGAGAATCACAGAGAGACCATCGGCTCCTCCAAAAGTATTTTGACAGGAACCAGACCAATATTGACGTAACAAAAGACATTGTACGGCCATTTTCCCGTCTCCAGGAAAAACAATCGCAAGCAGAGCTGGAAAAAAAGGATAGCGATACGAAATGGATATAAGTAGGATACGAGCACCTGTCTATATTTATAACCGATTTATCTGCACAACTATCCAGCCGATGAGGTGAGCAGCATGCTCTTTTTTTTGTGCCTTCGTTGAGGCTCTGTGACATCAAACCATGACCAAGGCCCAGAGGGTAACCACATCAAGCAATACGGGACAGACTAGGGAGAGGGCCGAGCAAATTCGTCATCTTCTTATTTACTTTTTAGCATGAACGACACAATCGGTAGTGTACCCATATGTTTGGCTATTTTCCCGTCCAACTACGCAATAAAGCGCAGTAAATCGACCGAAGACGTCGGACCTGAATGAAACAGACGTTCCAGTTCAGACCAGAGCCCCGGTAATTTACGGCCGTGGTTGGGGCGCCTCGGGAGATCCAACGACGAGTCTCACCGCCCGTCACCACCACGAGCCGGCGGCCGGCGCCGACGCTCCCGTTCGGTCTAATGGTTCGGTAGAAGCAAGCAGGGGTAGGGGTACGAGTGGAGTTACGGTGAAGGTAGGAAAAAGCGAACGGAGGAGTCGAGGGGAAGTCATCACCCGGCCTCGGCAAGCAGGGGTGACCGGGTGCTTGGACGCCATCCCAGCCCGATACGTCACACTCGGTACCAATGCCGGCCAACAATATCAAAATTTGTCCGCATCATACTGGCACGCTGCGGCACATAGCACGTGGCTCATAGAGCCTCATCCCAGAGAGGACAACGGTCATGATCACCGATCATGATCAGCGTACATAACACGAAAGGACTCTCTGTTCTAATGCCAAAGAACCGCCATGGCGCTTCTGGCGACCAGCAACATAGGCGGTAACGGAAATACCGTGGTCTTTGTTCGTCATTAGCAGCTGTTGAGTTTGAACGGCATGTCTCGTCCTTTTTACATCAGCCCGTGTCCACCGTCTCAGCCGTGATCGGTTCGCGTCCTGGTACGACTTTGGCACGGTATTTCCAGCCGAGGCCAAAGTCGCACACTTCGCTGAATGTGCCACCGTCTGGCGTCTACGGACGATATTCGATCAATCCATCCCTCGAGACCATTGCCCAGAGTAGGTACTCACTGATGTGATCGATGGCGCCCGCACAGAACTTGCCGAAGAACTTCTTGGCGCCGAGGGCCTTCAGGTCGTGGATGACCATGGGCCACAGGTGGAGCACGTTGTTTCGGCTGAAGCGGTCGCGCTTCTCGAGCACGACCACGCGCGCGCCGAGCAGCTGGGCCTCGATGGCGGCGCGCAGCCCACACGGGCCGCAGCCGATCACCAGGACCTGCGGGGCATTGAGAGGGGCGTTAGGGCGACTGCTGATTATAGCCAGCTGTTACCAGAGGGTCTGGAGAGGTGGCTCAGTGTAGGTGCGAAGAACTAAACATCAGAATCCAGAATCAGATCCCCATAAACAAACCAACCATTGACCACACATGTAGCCATGATATGAATTATGAATTCATCAGAAAGAAGAAAAGCTTCAAATGACAACAAGAACATTCAGATACTTAGGCAGTAGGCACCTTCATAAAGAAAGAGATCTGAGAGGGATCCATTGATGCCTATGGAGGAATCAGGTAGAGCTGCCAGGTTGAGCACTTGTACCCTCCCTGTCTCCCTCCTCTGAAGTGACTACATACCTTGGTGCTGGCACATGCTTTCCCTTGATTGTAGCATTTGTGTGATGCCCTCTTGTCAAACTTGGCAAACAATCCCTGAGCCTTCCATGACTTCAGCTTTGACTGAAATGAGAAACATGGGTTTATTCTAAACACACAACTAAAATATATGTAACACACCACAATGCAGGTTTAGCATAAACAGCTTATCATCAAATCATATCTACCATGAAGTTCAGTGGACTGCTAAGATACAACTCTGAGGCTCATTCAATCAGTCTCAAACAACATCCAAAGTTACATAACATCTCTTCTATCACTGCAGAGACAATACTTAAAGCATTAATATCCTAATTCTTAAGAGCAAACAAAGTTGTAAAAATTAGACAGATGCTGAACTATATGGTTTTATCATGCTACCTGTTGAAAAATTGGAAGAACTGGCTGATGACTTACCTTCAGTTTAGGGTAGAATACTGGGAATTTCCCAGGTTTCAAGTTCAACGTTGCACACAATCTTCTGTAATGACTCAAGATGCCTTTGAAAGTCTGAGCTGCACAATAGTGATCAAAGATGTCTGCTGCCAGAGCAGAGTCTGGAGACAGTGCACTGTTTCCCGGCATGATGGGCAGCTGAACTGGACTGAATACTGGAGATGATGGGGTGTGCTCCTGTTGAAATACCATGGTTGCATGTGATGATCAGTCTCAGAATGCACACAACACTGATATAGGTCTGCAGGAGCTCTGACACAGGATGCAGCCAGCAGCAGAGGCTGTACCCAACTGAACTTGGCAATGAACCAGGAGCTAGACCACCTCTGAAAAACCACCTCACTAGTGCCAAGTTTTTTTTGTCTATATTGGCAGCTGAAGTTGCCAATAACCAATGTCCTCATGTGCTTTGTTTGCAAGACACAGAGAAAGGGAACTAGCACAGTGGCCCAGTCTAGCTAAAGATGACATCCCTTTCAGCTTTTGACAGCCATTTACAAAACTTAGCTTGAGCTTTCCGCACACTCAGAAAACAGTTGGGGAAACTACGAGGCGAATGTCAAAAAATGGATTGGTCAATAAATGGACTTTTGATGACCATATATGGGCATAAATGCAGCCCCCGCTACTAAGGGTGAAAAACGGTATAACAAGCCGGTACTTGCGGTATCGCGTCCACTTATTGGAGAGAAAAGGCTTCCATTTTTCACAAGGAATTAGTGTGATTTGATTAAATTCGGCGAATCGACTCGAAAATGGCGATAGGAAAACGGCTTTTCTGCAGGTTCTGGGCGTCACAATCAGCTGGCCAATTCAATAAATGGATTGGTTTTATGAAAGAAAATTGTTAAAAGATTTAATTTAATTACAATAAACAAAAATATTAAATTCTAAAATAATAAATTAACTACAATTAGAAAAACCATAAACAAAATAATAAAAATAATGACATTTTTAAACCACGGTACTGCTTACATTTTTTGACGCGTCTGTTTCAATCCGCCATATTTGCCAATCACGGTTTGACCTTGCGTTGTAACTCTGCGATTTAGAGCCGCCAGTTAATTATGCACCGGGTGAGTGTAGGCCTTGTGTGGTTAAAAAACATTCTTATGCCTTATTTTTTCATTTGAATGCTAAAATTCATTGAAAAGATGAAGTTGTCTGATTTTATGACCATATATGGTCATCGCCCCGCCCACTCCAGCCGCTGATTGGCTAATCCAATTTTTGCTTGGCTCCTCGTAGTTTCCCCAACTGAAAAGCACCACTTCACTGCTCAGTTTACCAAGATGCTTGATTGCTGTAATGCAGCTTGTTTAAGCATAATTTTCATTTAACAATGAATGTGTAAATTCATCATAAGTAGATTAAAACCATAACTTAAAACCATGAATAACCAAGAGTTTCAGAAACACACAAAATATCAAATTTAAGAGGCTAAAAGTGAGACTACTGCTATGAACGAAGCTGAAACATCCAAGAAAATATTTTACGTACTTACTAAATTGCTTGTTTCACCCAAACCAGCATTATCGTCAAAATTATCACGCCCCCACCCTCCCCATCACAACGGTTGCGTTTGCGGGAGAGAGAGCGCTCGCCGCTGTTGCTGTGGGAAAATCGGACACCAACTCCAGCCTCATCAAGGATGGAAGAAAACACTTTTTGGATTTTGAGGCGAAATCTAGTGACGTCATAAGCTGGCCGCTTCCAAAACAAAACACAGCAGTGATGTTTGGGTTCGTAAACGACATTCAGGGAGGCAGTTGATTTTTTTTTAATATTTGTGGCAAAGCAAGTTGGACCCTACATTCTATCCCTTCTTCCGCGGTCAGCTAAGACCTGTCAGCAGCCAATATATTTTTAACGGGTTATAACGGATACCACACAAATCGGCATGTTTGTCCCTTGGTTTGTCTCACGCCCTTTCAAAGTTATGTAGCAAGGGGCCGCCGCTGTACGCCGAGGTTCAGAAGTTCTTCGCGCCCACTCAACCTCTAGGCTTCAGATCGCATATCACCAAACGACCGTGGGCTAAAATAAACATGTATTTATTGGCGACCGACAACAACATATTGTGATGGACCTGCACACGTAAAACCAAGGTGTGATAAAGAAAACAGGAATTCTTCTGGTACTTACTTTAATATGCATACTACCGCAAAACACGATAGTTAAGAGGACTGCCTAGTGCCTAGTCAATGAACCCTCCGCAAATCATTACCTGAAAGGGCTAGAAAACCAGATGCCTACCGAGCAAAAATACTAGCGCACAAAAGTCGCAAATCACCAGGGTTATCGACAAAACAATTTAAGAAAGTATCGTAATCACACCATTCAGCAAACACTAACCGTCACTATCAGTCCACAGCCGCTTTCAGAAAAGTAAGCGCGACTACAAGGCACGACCGAATTTGCACACACATGTCTGTGATGACGTGCTAAAGCCGAACGGCGATTCGCAGAATAAATATGATTCGCTATCCGGCATTCGAACGAAAGAGGTAACGTCGCCAATTTTTTTTAGTATTGGTAGAATTGAAGGAATGGCAGTTATCAGAGGCACGACGAAATTAGCGTGAGAAAACGAGCATGGTCGTTTGAAAACATGACGGAAAATATGGTGGAAGGTAACAGTTCAGCTGAGTACCGAAGTCAGCATCACTTTAAAATCTCCATTTACACTGCCAACGCGCTCTCCTACCCCGATGCCACGAACAGGTCGAGTCACATGTCACAGACTAGGCCGACATAACATGAACACACATACACTCATCCCCATTCAATGTTAGAAGCTATGAATCAAGAGTCCAAATTATACCGCACCCCGGGTCTACCACAGCAGCATCGGACTTGGCTCGCTAGCAACTCTGCGTCCTATATACGAAAGTGGAGCTCAACAGACAGCCAGCTGGGGCCAGGGTTATCATAGTAATAGAGAAGTAGCTTTCTGCGTGTCTTCCAGATCTCCCGTCTGTCGAGCTATATCGCTGTGTCGCCGCCGCACGCCAGTGTACAACGAACCTACGGCATCTAACGGTATCCATGTTTCTTATTTCTGCACCTGTCCAGTAACAAGTGAGCGACGACGACGAGCTACTATTTCAGGCCGGTGACGACGCTCCTGCAGTCCAGAAGCCTCACATGCCGATGGTTCTGTGTCGGTTCAACACGCGGCCGACCGGAGCTCGGGGAAGGTGGGAGCCCCTGACGCCGGTATGGACGGCACGGAAGAGTCTCAAAACGGTGCAACGGATCAAAGACCACCCGGGCGCCTCGGGTAGCCCACTAGCGCCACCTACATCCGCCGGAACCGGTCCTCTCCATCCCAGCCATACGGTTTACCATTCCGCCGGCGGCCGGGAGCACTCCAGGACCCCAACCGGTCCTCTTCCTTTCCCTGTCTTCTGTCCATCCCTGCATACCAGCAGCACATCTCTCCGACTCCCGTCCCAAAACTTCTGGACCCAAACCGGTCCTCTTCCTTTCCCTGTCCTCCATCCTTATACCTAGCATACCGGCAGCACCATCTCTCCGAACACCGTCCGTTCCTCCCACCCTCTCTCCCCACCACATCACATCTCCCCCCTCTCTCTCCCCGCTCATTGACGCCGCAGACTGTCGAGCCGGGCGGCCAGGTCAGCGTCGGCGTCCAGCACGGGCGTCTTGGCGGCAGCTCCCGCGGCCGGATTCAGCGAGCCGGTGGCGGTCGGCAGGTCTGTCAGCTTGCCGGCCAGCTCGATACCGAGCTCGTCCAGCACCTGGTTCACCACCGCCTCGCTGGAAGGACGACAGAGAGATCAGTTAGGTGGTGTACGCTAAAAGAGACAAAGGCTAGATGCCGGATACGCTGTGGTAGGCACATGACTGCGCTTAGTTATGAAGCTTGATTCTGTGGTGTGAATTGTGTATGTCCGTCCAAAGTGATTCACGGCATATGGAATGGAACAGCTTAGCCAAGTGCAACGCAGCAGTCTGAGCCGTTAACGACAGTGGCTGCATAGAAAGCGAAAAGTAAACTTGACATGCCTTAGTGTAATGCAGCTATCTTATCTAACAAACAGCCCTAAGTGCCAGCAAATACGAAAACTACGTGGCAATGCTGATAAACGGCGTTTATCAGTTCCCGATAACGGCACGGGCCGCCCGCCCGCTGACGTCACCTCTGTCACACTAATGACGTCATAGGTTCACGATGACTCACCTCTCCTCCTCATCCTCGTCATCACCCAGAGCGTCATCGATGGCGTCATCCATCATCTCCTCCTTCATGTCCATGATCTCGCTCTGCTTCTCAAACTCCATCATTATCTTTTGGATCTCGGGCAGCCGTAACTGCCTGAACGCGGGAAGGGCATCACAACAATCAGGTCACCAGGGTTCCGACGACAAACCAGTGCAATTTGTTACGAGCCTTTTTACATGAGCCCTATGTTCTAAAATGGACCAATAAATCTCAGAATTACTGTGGAGTGTTCTTTTGACGTCAATTTAGATCCAGACTTGCATGCCGTCATATAAGTCGACAAAAAAAAACTATAAATCGACCACATAAGTATATAACAGATTACTGAATAGTGGATAAGCATCAATTCGCTAGCTGCATCGACAATCGACACAATGCTGCAATACGAAGTGCATGTTCACAATTTCCCGCGCCTTGCACTAGCTCTTGCCGCTCGGTACCGTACCTGTTCATCGTCGACATGGCCTTGGTGACGCCCTTCATTGCCTGCGCCATCGAGTTCTGCGACTTGAGCGTGGTGATCTTCAGGCTGACCGCCTGGATGTTGGCCTTCATCAGCATGAACTTGCGGACGGTCCGACGGGTCCGCACCAGGTCCTTGGCCATCACCTTCACGGCATCCTGCCGTGGCACGAGAAATAACAGGTGAGTCCCATTAACAGGATGTCCGATTGTAGTGTAATACGAAACAGCTGAGGTTGAGATCATTGATCGGTGACAACGTTCGTCATCGATAGTTTGCATAGACCCTTACATGCATCACCAAGATATTCAAGCCTCGGAATCGTATTTCTCGGCGATTTCCATAATGACGAATCGCATTATCTACAAGAACCACGAATAAGCTCACAAAATTTCACTGACAGAGCAGTACCGGCCGAAAAATTTTACCGCTGAACCGGGCGGAAGGGTCGCGAAATAAGCTACGCTCAGCAGGCACTCTATCCCAAAGCCACCCATTCAACCACCAGAGAAAAACGTAAAAACAAGAGAGCGAGTCATACCATTTGTCCGTCCTTGGCGAGCTTCTTGATGTCAGCGATCACCTTCTTCTCCTGCTGCTCCATGCGGGCCCGCTCGCGGTCGAGGTCGCGGACGGCCCGGTTGAGCGCCCGCTGGTTCTTCCGCAGCATCTCCTCCGGCGTGACACGCTTGCCGAACAGCCACTCCATGATGACAGCTGTTCTGTGGTACATGATATGGTTAACGTCACGTAATAGTGCTGCTTAGACGACAAAAACCAGTAAAACGCCTTTTGGGCGACCAACGGAGCGAGCGAGAGGATGGGCCTTGCACGTGCGAAATTGCGAGGGGGTACCTCCAACTAGCTTGTGCACTGCATCCTACTAACCGGTCTTAAGCGATGTGCCAAATTTCAGCGCAATCGGCCTAGCCGTTCTCGAGATCTGGAAGCGGCACACTGCACGTGCGCACGTGCAAGCGGGGTCCAGACTGACTTTTGCACGGCACCCTACTAACTGGTCCCCAACCGTGTACCAAATTTGAGCGCAATCGGCCCAGCCGTTCTCGAGATCTGGGAGCGCCCCCTGCACGTGCGCACGTGCTGTAGCACCCCAACCTTAACACATGCAGTTGAATTATCTGATGTAGACCTAACTGTGTACCGAGTTTCAATTCAATCGGCCCAACCGTTGTGCCGTTATTGAGGTTGCAATTTGGGGGTTCTTAAAAAATGTCCAACTTTACCACGCGCCACGTGCGGTGGTTGGCAAGAACGCATGGTGGCCATCACACCACAGAACTTTTACGTCCAAGTGACATTCAGTTAAGAAGACCGCTTGTCAATCGGATGTCCCGTTCCTAAGATATTAGCTTTTGAAGAGCGTCCCCACGGCCGGCCGGCCGGCCGGCCGCTCATACTCAGGAGTTTCCCTTAATCCAGTATGAGACTCCGCTCGCTTCGCTCGCTCCGTAACCAGTATAGCGCCTTATGGGGCGACTAACGGAGCGAGCGAGAGGGTGGGCCTTGCACGTGCGAAATTGCGAGGGGGTACCTCCAACTGACTTGTGCACGGCACCCTACTAACCGGTCTCTAGCGATGTGCCGAATTTGAGCACAATCGGCCCAGCCGTTCTCGAGATCTGGAAGCGGCACCCTGCACGTGCGCACGTGCAAAATGGGTCCCAACTGACTTGTGCACGGCACCCTACTAACTGCTCCGTAACCGTGTACCAAATTTGAGCGCAATCGGTCCAGCCGTTCTCGAGATCTGGAATCGACCCCTGCACGTGCGCACGTGCAGCAGCACCCCAACTCTGGCACATGGATATGCATTGCCTAGTGGGTGCCTACCTACATGCCAACTTTCAGCGCAATCGGCCAAGTAGTTACCGAGATATTGCAACAATTACAAAAGTGACACCTCTTCGTTTTGCACGTGGCACGTGCATAAGGGGTCACCTACATGCATCGGGAATAGTCCAATACTTGGTAGAAGGAATGAAGCTACCCTACAAAAATTACCGCGTGTAAATCGGTCAAGTGGTTGCTGAGATATAAGCGTCGCAAAACCGTGACCACGGCCGGCCGGCCGGCCGGCCGCTCATACTCAGAAATTTCCGTTAATCTAAGGAAAGACTCCGCTCGCTTCGCTCGCTCCGTAATAATTTGGGGTTTTCCCGCACCAAGCTAGACCTTCACAAAAAATACAAACGAGTGTGGTGCAAACACCAGATGGTGTGATGTCACCCCGCATGGAACTATCTGTTTGCTAGAGAATGTTGTCCTGTCCCAGGGCTGGGTTTATGGTCTGTTTTTTTTTTTTTTTTTTTTTTTTTGCTAGGTCTTTGGTCATTAGCTTCCTTAATCCATAGGCAGGCAGGTTAGGGCCTGTGCCTGTGATACAGGCAGGCACTGGCGGATCCTGGGGGGGGTCCACGGGGTCATGACCCCCCCCAAAAGGTCTGAGAGGGTCATTTGACCCCCCCCAAAAGCCGAAGACCTAAATGCGCTATAGACGCCGTCTTGCATGCTCAAAATCACCTGTCAAACACTTCTGAGCTAATACCTTTGTTTTTCTGGATCGTGTTGCGTGAAAAGGCGTATTGAAGACCAGAATCTTACTCGTTTTTGTCTCAACCGTGCGAGCACCAGGGGATGATCCAGGAAAACTCCAAGGGGATGGTCATGAATTTAATTCGTGGTGCCCCTACCTATACGCAAAATTAAAAACTCAACGGATTTCGGTCACTTAATTTTGGTGATGTCCTATTTTCATTTTTTATTTTGTTTGTTTTATTTTTAGTGCCCCTGGGCCCTGGCAGGTCAAAATCACGTCTGAGGCGAAAGAAATTCACGGGAATCCCAAAAATCACGTCAGGACATTCAGGGCCCTCTGACCAGCCTGACAGCTAGGGCCCTTCTTACTTCCTGGGGCCTCCAGTGAATAACCGCTAGTGTCTGTGTCTGACCGCTAGGGCCCCTCTGACTCCTCAGTAGGTAGGAGGCCCTCTGTAGAGGAGGTCCTCTGTAGAAAGGAGGCCCTCAGTAGAGAGGAGGCCCCCTGTAGAGAGGAGACCCCTTTAAAGAGGAGGCCCTCTGTAGAGAGGAGACCTGCTGTAGAGAGAAGGCTCTATGTAGAGAGGAGGCCCTGTGTAGAGAGGAGGCCCTCTGTGGAAAGGAGACCGCCTGAATGCAGAAGGCCCTCTGAAGAGTGGAGACCCGCTGTAGAGAAGAGGCCCTCTGAAGAAAGGAGGCCCTCTGTAGAGAAGAGGCCCTCTGAAGAGAGGAGGCCCTTTGCAGAGATGAGGTCCTCTGGCTCTTTGAAGAGAGGAGGCCCTCTGTAAAGGAGGCCCTCTTAAAGGGAGAGACCCTCAGTAGAGAGGAAGCCCTCTGTAGAGAGGAGGCCCTGTAGCTTCTGTAGTTAAGAGGCCCTGTGAAAAGAGGAGGCCCGCAGTAGAGATCGGTGGTCCTCTGTAGAGAGGAGGCCCCCTCTGTGTTTTGACAAATGTTTTTGCAAATTTTTCGCGGCGCTTCGCGCCGCCGATTTATGTACATACGTACAGGTCAATACGAAATCTTGACTGTAATTACATAAACCAACCGTGTCAAATTGAATCAGAATTCATATGTGTGCTGTAAAGGAACTCCGGCTTGTACTGCAATGCTAAAAGGGTGGTAAAATTTGTGTTTTGGAGCTGTGTTTCGACACATTCTTTTGCAAATTTTCTCGGCGCTTCGCGCCGCCGATTTATACACCAATCAATAAGAGAGAAATAACAGTGACTGTAATAACACCAACCGTGTCAAATTGAATCGGAATTCATATGTGTACTGTGAAGGAACTCCGGCTTGTACTAGCATGCTAAAAAGGTTGTAATATTTGTGTTTTAGAGCTGTGTTTTGACAACTTTTTTTGCAAATTTTTGCGGCGCTTCGCGCCGCCGATTCATACACAGGTCAATAAGAGAGATCGTGACTGTATGCTACTATTTACTAATGCATTAGGCTAAAAGTGAGGTAACTATATCTACTTCTGGGTTTTTAAGTCGGTCGACCCGCCTCCCCCCCCCCCCCAGTAAAAAATCCGTGGCGACGCTCCTATATAGGTGGGTTTCACTAACTAAAACTACTGAGCCGAGTGACTTACGATAAAACTTCATCTTATAAACGACGAAGATCAAATGTCATTTTTTGATCTCGACATACTCGCTCCCTACCCCCCCCCCCCCCCCCCCGGTCGTCAGAATTCATTCACCAGACCTGGTATGTCGGCCGACTGGTGACCCCCCCCAAAACGACCCCCTAGATCCGCCCTTGCAGGCAGGTTAGGGGATTGGCGAATCAGATGGTCACAATGGCACATTCAGGAAAAGGCTAGAGCGCAAACCAGCATAATCTCTACTAGCTCTTGATGGTGCAGAGCCACTCAGCCATTGGATGCTGCAGTAAGTTTCTCAGTAAGTGAGGATTTATTGAGAAAGGTTGGGTGCAACCGTGCAGATATTGCGCAGAGTGGTGTGGCCGTGTGGGCTTTTAAAAACTGCGCCAAACTGCTACGCTGGTGCAATTTGTCTGAAAAAAAATTATGCACTAAAGCCACAATGGAGTAGGCCTGGGAAGGATTGGAATCAGAAGGTCATCAACTTGTTCTGTGTGGGCTGGTACGGATTCCCAGCCAGGTTCGTGGTCACAGGACACATGCTGGCGCTGGCGGGTATCGGTAACCCTGGCGTCACCGGAGTCACCGGTAGTGTTTTCGTTCAAGGTTAAGGTTTCCTGCATTAGGCCGCCGTGCCAGGCCGAAGCATGCTGTGACGTCACTGGGTAAGAGAAGACGTACCACGCATCAGTATCGACCAAGGCTATGTAAACCGTATCGACTGAGACTCAGATAGACTCAGACCGACTCAGGCAGACTCAAACTGACTCGATCGACTCAAACCGATTCAGATCGACTCAGAACGACTCGAACTGACTCAGACCGACTCACCGACTTAAATCTATTCTGATCGACTCGGGCAGACTCAGAACGACTCAGCCAGACTCAAACCGACTCAGGCAGACTCAAGCTCACTCGACCGACTCAAACCGATTCAGATCGACTCTGACCGACTCAAACTAACTCAGACCGACTCAAACTAACTCAGACCGACTCAACCGACTCAAATCGATTCCGATCGACTCAAATCGATTCCGATCGACTCAGACAGACTCAGAACCACTCAGAGAGACTCAGGTAGACTCAAACCGACTCAGGCAGACTCATACCGATTCAGATCGACTCAAACTGACTCAGACCGAATCAACCGACTCAAATCGATTTCGATCGACTCACACAGACTCAGGCAGACTCAAACCGACTCAACCGACTCAAACCGATTTAGACCGACTCAGACAGACCCATCAGTTTGATCTGAATCATTAGACCTGAATCGTTTGAGTCAGTTGAGTCAGTTTGAGTGTGCCTGAGTCGGTTTAAGTCTGTCTGAGTCGTTGAGTTTGTCTGAGTCGATCGGAATCGATTTGAGTCAGTTTGAGTCGTTCTGAGTCTATCTGAGTCAGTCTGAGTCTGCCTGAGTCGGTTCAAGTCTGCATGAATCGGTTTGAGTCTGTCTGAGTCGTTCTGAGTCTGTCTGAGTCGATCATAATGATTCAAGTCGGTTGAGTCGTTCTGGGTCAGTTTGAGTCATTCTGAGCCTATCTGAGTCGGTCTGAGTCGATCTGAATCAGTCTGAGTCTGTCTGAGTCTATCGGAATCAATTAGAGTCGTTCGGAATCAATTTGAGTCGGTCTGAGTTAGTTTGAGTCAGTCTGAGTCGATCTGAAACGGTTTGAGTCAGTCGGGTCAATTTGAGTCTGCCTGAGTCAGTTTGAGTCTGCCTGAGTCGTTCTTTACGTTATTTTCTCCTACCCAGTGACATCACAGCATGCTTCGGCCTGGCACGCTGGCCTAATACAGGAAACCTTAACCTAGAACGAAAACGCTACCGGTGACGCCAGGGTTACCGATACCGGCTGGTGTGGGCTTATGCAAATTTGTAGCACTAACTGAAGCGTCTCATCGACCCTGCAGCTCTCCTTTGCAGTATGGAAGCAATCATGTTCTACTAAGGCGCGCCCATACCACACATGCACTTAGTAGCCAAAAGGCATCACGCACACCACAACGCTAACATAACAAAAACGACCCCACAGTCAACACATGCACAACTGGGAAGATTCAGAAACATGACACTTTGCAAAGAATCTCGATCTTCAGTTATTCCAAGGGACTCATGAGACTTGGACTGTAACAGTAAACACAAGTGATGTATATATAACCAATGATGACAGTACATACATAAGCGGACATTAAATATAAATGAAACGACAGAAAACTTTATTAAAGCCACAAAAGCCTGCAAATGTGACACATACCTTCGAAAAACAAAAATATAAGAAGTTAAGAACCCAACAATGATAATAACAGCAAATGTCTCTTGGATGATTCACAACATTATCCAGGGAGACACCGGTTGGTCACGTGACTCGGAAACAAAAATCAGCTGATAGAGTGGCGGAATCGCCGTAATCAAACACGAATAATTCCGGACGATAGAGCGGCAGTATATGAGTTTTCTTCACGATAGGCAAACATTGCAATGTTTTATCATTTTATGATCAAGAAACGTTCATAAACCATATATTTCTTCGATGATTACTGCCGCAACCGACGCGCTCATATCGTAGCCAGCGCATAAAGCTGTGCTTTGCGTTATTAAATGTAAAGAAAAACATTCTATATCTTGCTTCAACCTTCTACTTACGCTTTTATATATTACGACAGCGACACCATACGGCCTCACCGTTCCGTGCTTCTATCCTCAGGATACTGAAATCCTTCTCCTCCACGCCGCAACCCCCCTCCGGGCTGGACAGGCAACTTTATCTCATGCGGGCTGTTCCCTTGGAGCGGCACCGCTGCTCCCGAGGGAGCGTACCCCGTAGCCGGGTGCAGTGTGTGCCTTGGGGCTGGGTGGCCTGTCCTCTGGACGGGCTCAGCCCCGGCGACTCACTTGGGTGCCTGCCCAGACCAATGTCTCCCCCTATATCCTATTATCCTCCCGGCTCTGAAATGGTCGCATTGGACCGAAAGGGCCTAACCCAACAAAACAAAAACAAAAACATACGGCCTATCGACGCTATGCAACTCCATGGAGTGTCCGGCCGCACTCTTCCGAGTGTGCCGAGATCAGAGGCGGACCATCCGCGGCACGTCCAGCTGCACTGCCCGGTCGCTGGGAGGGCGACACCTAGCGCCGCTCTGGCCGCTCGCTTCCGCGCACAACTAAGCTACCTGGCTACGCCTGTGGGAGGGGAGGAGCAAAACCAACAACAGTCTGATGAGCCAATGGAGTCTGCGAGCCGCGCCAATCAGCGCCCTTCCGCGCGCAGACGGGAGCTAGAGCTATTCATCTCCTTTCCTGTTTTCGCTGGTCCGCCAGTCACCAGCACCGTTCCGTACTCTCGATCGTAGCCATTCAGCCGTGTTGTCCTATACAACAACAGTCAGCAGCCTCGGATCGCGCCAGTCGGCCGCCAGAGAATCTATATTATTTATTTGCCGTACAGCATTGCAAGCGTTACAGTGTTTGCAGCCGGGTGTAATCAGTAGTTGACACATTTATGTTTTGTATCACAAAATTTAAAAATTCATTGAAATATATTCACTTTAATTTGCATACAGCTTTTGATTCTTGACGCAGATTGTTAGCCCTTGCTACATCAAACAGCCAACATCCATATTTCTATTTCCAGAGCTGCAGTGCTGGACACCGAAAGTACATTATGTTCTAATAATTCAATCCAAAGGCACATAGATTTCACGACAAACTTCTAGGTTCCAGAGCAAGTCTTTTCTCGCCAGAAGCGCGCGATTTAATGCAGCTGGCGCGCTCACAATAACTAATATCGCGCTCGCCAAAACCTGCCGGTTACAGCCACTCACACCTTACTTCCAACCTCCGTCCCATTTATCATTTATTAGCATATCGAGACAGAATGAGACTACGACATAATTGTCAAATTACATAACACAAATTGCGGGACGTCATCGGAGAGCCCGTTAAAATACCAACCCCAATCTCGGCCAACACCGTTGGGACGGGGCGGGGGGGGGGGGGGCGGGAAGGGCTTGAAGCTGGAAGACGTATCGGCGTATCCTTCATAGACACGGGTGTTTCGCAACGCTGGAGCGTCGAGCCGAATTCGTCTCAATCGCCGCACTAACACAGCAGCGCTGCGTAGCGCGCTGCAGTACGCTGCCGTGAAACAGGGCCCAGGAGTCGGATGGTCTCGGCGGCGGCGGCAGCGGTGACGGCGCTTGTCACCGTGGAGCCCTTGAACGACGCCGTCAGCTCGAGCACCGGCGACTAGTGACCTGTAACAGAGCGAGTCGCGTCTCGTCACGTCGTCACCTTTCAGTCGCGACGGCCGTTATATAAACAGTTACTGAGAACATCACGTACCAGCCACGGCGACCGTCACATTACAGTCACGGTGATCGTCACACAGCAGTCACGGCGACCATCACAGGTCACGACGGTCATCAAATACCAGCCACGGCGAGTATGACTCATAGTCACAACGTCTTCTGTCGCACACTCAGTCATAATTACAGTACATTAGCCTGTGCATAAACATCTCATCCAAGAAGTCCAAGCCCGATTATTACCCGCGTGGGGCTGCGGTTTGGTGGCGTGCGGCGACCGGCCCGACGGTTCAACGCCGGTGCTTACAGCGGGTCGATCCTGAAAAGTTCAACTGGCAGCTCACCGACACGGACTGGACACCTGTGTTAAAGCAGCAGAGACCTACGGAGAAGTGGGAGGAATTTCGCAGGATTTTCCTATCACAACTCGACACAGTGGCCCAGGCGTCCACAACTCGACACAGTGGTGACCAAGGCGCAGCTGCGCCCCCCCCCCCCCCCCCCGGTTCACACAATTACTGACCTGGAGATAATGTGATGGTTTCTGGACAATGTGGCTTGATACTGGCCACCACACTCTACAACTTCCTGCCAGGTGACGTCAGTGTCCCAAAATTGCATTCTGGCTTGGGTGCCGGAGGGGAAAATTTATCAGCAAAAAGGGGGATGTGAGTGGAAAATTGCTGGTCAGATAAGGCCCAAAAAGAGTGATAAAAGGATAGGTAGGTAACATAAATTTCTATATACGAGTGTGGTAAAATGTGCGATGCAAAATGGCCATCCTCACAATGCTTTTCTCGGTAAAGTTGAGAGTAGAAAATTGTTCTGAAAAGTTGGAGGTGAGAGTGGAAAATGACTTTCAGCTGGATGTCATTTCGCATCCAAATCAACAAATTTTGGGACGCTGGGTGACGTCCTTCAGCTGGATCGAACCGCTGTCTTCAGAACCGCCGACAGCAACGAGCCTGTTGGAAGATAACATGCTCAGAACTAAAAAACCACAAAGCATACAATGGAAACGACTAAGCTGGCCACAGGCACGGTACACAACGGCGGTCTTTTATGCTAAGAAAGTTCCATCGCCACAAAAGATTGCAAATGGCTATGTTATAAAAAAACTCAGATATCACATATCTAGCCTGATAATGGATACCTGGCCGCACGTCATGTGGATGGCAGCATGGCTTGAGCTGTGTGCTTTGGCATTTCCATGGTGAGATTGGACCCCATGCATGGCGCTGGTGTTTCGTCTGCACGTGCATGTCTGCATCTACTGATCTGGGGTGGTCCAGTTTCCAAGATCTCTTGAGCGTGCTGGGCTACTAAGTTAATAGGTATATTACACTACGCATTCGCGATGGTCCACAGTGATAAAATTGTGGTAAATGGATTTTCTCCTCAGTCCTCTTCTTTTATTCCAACCCTTATTTCTCACTGCCGTTTGGCTGAGGCACCTTGAGGCTTGATGCAGAACGAGAATGCCCATGTCGTGTGGCACACCTTTGATGAGCGTCTGTCCCAGCCAGCATCTGTTAGCAGTGGCTAGGTGGCTGTGCATTAGCAGACCCCTCTGTCAAGCTGACTTGGCTCAGAAACTAGCAGGAGGTTGAGTGTGCATCCTACGATGGGTAGCTGCTCATCTATGTGGCTCTGTGACACAGGATCAGCCTGAGAGAGAAGAAAGCCAGTCAAGGCAGTAATGGGATGTTGTCAGACTGGCAAAATAGTAAGTACTATGCCACAAGTTAAAAATCAATTTAAAGTTTTGTTGGGTTGCCTTTCAAGTTTTGGCCCAAAAAGACTACAGAGTTGGAGGAATGATAGGAATTAGGGGGAGCTATTGGTATGGGCAAACACCCTGGTACAAGTCATTGGGGCTGAGCCCATCCAGTGAACAGGGCACCCTGTCCCTGACACTGCACCTGGCTCCGTGTATGCTCCTAGGGGAGCTTCCCACATGGGATGAAAGTGTCCGCCCAGCCCAGAACAGGGGGTTGAGGCATAGAGAAGGATTTCTGGTATTCATATAGCAGGCATCTCACATGCTGCCACCCATTTGTGAAGTCGCTAGACTCTCCAGTTCTTGAGACATTTACACAAAATTCGCTTTTAAATCTAATCAAATACCCACCTAGTCTAACAGAACAAAACATTATCTAACCTGACCTAACCTTACCTACTAAACTACAACCTACGGTTTATGGTAAAGCTGGCATCACCGTCAGTTGGTAGGGTGTAGGGTATAGGTTAGTATGTTAATAGCCAATAGGTAAGGTTAGGTAAGGTTAGATTGTTTTTAAATTTCAGCTTCCTTTTATCTACACATTTACTGGCTAGCGCTGAAGGTGACTCCAGCTTTATTGACACCCCGTCAAGTTCGTCACCAGGGTGGTGTTTCACCGGTGATAGCAGCACGCTGCTATTCTGCTGACGTCACACTTGTGGTTGTGTTGGAGCAATGTGAGTGGGGCTTGTTGATGTCTCCATGGAAACCTAATTTGACACATGAAATAGCAGCGTGCTGCTATCACTATCACCAGTGAAACACCACCCAGGCCAAACTCGCACCACGCTACACTAAATCTGCGCTGCACGAAGCCAAATCCGCAACGCACCAAACCCACACCAGCTGAACAGCCCCACGAGCCACAATGACAACATCTCGTCGAAATTGCCATGCTTCGTCAACTGGCCGTTGGGGTAGAGCATACTTGGTAGGATAATTACCACAACTACAAGACAAATCAATCAAAACATCAACTACCTTTGGCCTTGGCCTAGTTACCTTTTACCTATTTTGATTTGAATCTCAACTGAACCACAGAATTCAGAAAAGGATCTAAAACACAAAATCACCCAGCTTGACAGGCAAAATCTCAGGGAAAAAAATAAGTTTTAAAAAGAAGGTACCAAACCAACACCTACCTTCCATTATTTATAGTCACAGTGCCTTCCATCTTTACCTAACAAAATCAAATCAAATAACAGACCCCAATAGAGTTCAGTGTAACAGACAAAACAAATAACATAAACGATGACAAAATACAAATTAAAACAAAGGTGTTCTCCATCAGCAAACGAAATGCCGTTCAACCAATCAAATGCAAAGACATGCGTCTGCTAGCGACAGAGGTATATTAGCAGCATTTACAGTACAGTGGACAAAGCACAACTGAGGGTGGTCTGCGGTTTTCAATACCGAAATTCGTAAATTTCCCAAGTTCATCTTGTTTTATGACTCATATCAAAAGATAGAGAATTCTTTTATGTTAATTATTAAGCTTGAACTAGACACCGACATTGTCTTGTTTTTTAGAAATATTCCATTAATTGTCATAGTGTTACCTTCAGCAGAATGGAAGATCATTCATTCTAGACCAAAAAATACACCTTACATCTTCGAAACTGCAATGAGATATGCAGACTTTTAAAGAAAATTGAATTCTCATTTTGATATAGACGTTTTAAGAGCATATGCCTAACAAGTTTACCAAATACAGATGTTTTTGCTCAGGAGTAATCGGTTCCAAAAAATATAAGTTCGAGATTCATAAATACATTTCTAAAATTTCCCAAGATCATAGCGCTTCAACATTTTGATAGGTAGTAGCGTTAATAATTTTGTAATTTTTGGTAAATGTTTTAGACACCGACATAGTCTAGTTTTAGAAAAATATTACATTTAGTGGAACAGGGTGACCAAGGACACCAATGGCGGTGGTGCATTCAACATCAACTAAATGCAGTTTCCAATGCTTAAAAAGCAACAAAACTGACATAATCTGAAAGAAAATTTAATTTTGATATTTATTGACCATGATTGAAGCCCCACATCACTGAAATTACTCGACAATTCAGGGTAGAGCATTGGCAGGTCCGGTAGGCTGAACAGCTCAGAACCATGATAATTTCGAAATTGAATGAAAGAGTGTCGGCCTTTGATATTACTTTTTGTCCTTCAATTTTAATTTTTGATTGTGAAAAATTAATTTTGTCCATGAGTAAGCTTTGCGTTTTAAGATATATAATTTTTTAAATGGCGGAGATAGCCAACAATTTATTTTCGTTAATGCTTCACAGGTTCATACATGACGTGCTCTGTGATCATAAATCAAAAATATATATACAAATCGTAAAACTCATCGAAATTTGTTGCTTAGTTCTCTTTTTTAGACTTAAAAGGTCAGCTGAAAATAGTGGTCAAAATACCTTAGTGTTGTAATTTCGAACCGGTTTTACCTAGTTCTCTATATACCGTGACATTATCCAAGCGATCCAAGCATATAAATTTCAAAAACAAAACTCATATATTCCAACTTTATTACGTCATAGGTTGACCTCTCAAAATTCTGCTTACCCCGTTGGTTTGAGCTATTTTATTGTTTTTACTCATTTCTCATGCAAAAATCGGAAGTTCAAAAGCTAAGAGACATTTCGCTTTGTTTTTCAAAGATTCTTAAGAAGGCCAAAGGAAAGATATTTAGCAAATTTACGTAGAAACTTTGAACAGTCTGAATACGTCATCAAAGAAATATCTGCAGACGATAAACCGAGTGCATAAGCCGTTTTTGTCGACTGCGGCAAAACTCAGCGTAAGGTCCTAACACCGATAAACGCTGTTAGATTATTTTATATCGATGTGTGTTTTGAGTCATTGTTTCGGCTTGAAATAAGATTTTAATAGCGCATCAGATAATCAGCGAAAGCGTTTCATTAAAGTATCTGATTAATTTGAAACATTATAGTTGGTATAAAAGAAGCAAATATATATTCTAAATACTGAAACTCCCATGAAACTCCGCTTGAAACGTCATTTGTGGATAGAAATTTATTTCCAGTATCGATAGAATGAATCGGAGTGGAAATGGACTTCGGTGCCTCAATCGGCAATACGAATTTGGTCACACGCGCGCGGTTATTTACTACCGACACCGGCTACTTAGAATATTATCGTAGGTTTGAATCGGTTATAAATGCATGTTTGTATTTATTCCTTTTTATAGTATGACCTTTTTCATTCATATATCATATGATATGTTCATGAACTGTCAGAAAAGGATTATGGAGTATGTTGGCAATAAAGCCAATTTTTGTTACGATTCTTACAGATAGGTGATCACACAGTTTGAAACCAGTGTTAGATGCCTACTTCCAGAAATATATTTGTCTTAATAAGTTGCTAATTTTTTAAGTAATTTTGTGGACTTCTAGTTGAAGACAAACCATTATGCAGAATCTTAATGCTGTTTGTTTTAAATTGGAACGTCAGTTATGACTTACCTACCGATGTTTCAATTCAAATTAAGGATTCCTTAGTGGTTAACACAGCATTGTGATGCCTGCTCTCTGGCTTATGACATTATGATAGACTTAAAATAAGTATTTCATTTTGCATTTTATTTTGTTGCACTCTTAGTTTTGTACCTACAATCGTACCCCTCAGGATAGTGTAACTATTCTATTTTAAAACCTATATGTCAATCTCTTATTCATTGTCTACAGAAATCCCCTGCATATATCCCAGACCTTCTGAATCCTGAAATCTAGATTAGTTGAGGCTGAGGCACTCTCAGTGAGTTAGGTACCTAGGTACATACGTAGAGTATCGGTTCAAAAGAGCCAGGCAGTGCCCCCGTATTTGTCAGTTTGGGTGGAAAATGGCATCGAAGTGAGAATCATTTTTGACTCATCTCCAGTCTTTTGAGACCATTTTCCTTTTCAAATTCTACTAAGAATAGGGTGAGGAATGGATGGTTACTTTACATCCTACATCCAGCCACAAATGTATAGAAATTTACATTTCCACTGTTTTTGAGCCTTCTCTGACCATAAATTTTCCAATCTCATCCATGTTTTTGTGAGGAAGTTTCTCCTCCAAGCCACACCCCAGCCTGAACCCCCAAGGAATAATTTTGGGACACTGGAGCCAGGAGGGTGGAGAGTGGAAACATCCCAGATGGATGTCAGGGGTAAAAAAGATGCAAGCATTAATCATTTTGACTTGACCTTGGCTCTTGATATTCATGTTATTTTCCCTGAAGTGTGATAAAGCAAATATTTTGTGTTAGTGCCATCATTTTGCCATTTTCCTATGTAAGAGTCCTGAACCAGCAATGAAGTCAACACCTAAAAAGTCTTGCCCAAAATCAACCACATAATGATACTGGTCCTGAAACTTGAAAGGATACTTGCAAGCTGCATCATCATGTTACTGCTCAGTAGTAGCTTTGATTTAGAGTCACTCACTTGAGCCTTATTTCAACTACAGCTGTTTGGCTGGTATGTCTTGTGATAACTTGTACGTCATAGACTGATTTTAAAGTCCTATGATATTTTGAAAGGCTTAATTGGAAACCTGACACAGCAATGCACAAGGCCAACTCACCTAGTGTGTAGGTGTGTAGGTGCAGATAATTTAGCCATGCCATGAGGATGAGTATTCTGGGCAATGGTTGGATCTAAAAGCTCCAGCCTCTTATGTTTCCCTACCTCCATGTTAGTCTTCCTGTACCAGTCCTGGCTTTTGACATTAGCATCTTGATTGTTAATTTATACTCGATTTGTCACCCCTTTATAGATACCTCCTGGCAAAGTTTAAATCAAATCATTTTCCAAACTGAACAGATCTTTAGTGTCCACTTGGGTCACACTTGTGGTCTGCTGGTACTTGGAGTATCATACCTGCATCATATTCTGTGCTTGAGACATCAGGAAGCAAAGTGGAAAAAGAAAGTTTGTATATTGACCTTACCAGCACCAAGATATTCTACAGCTGTAGGCTGTAGCCTGACTGAAGGAGGGGCGAAAAACTTATGCCATTTGAGGAGAATAAATAAGCTCTAATGACTTATAACATCACTATCCGTCCCTTTTCCCATCTGCCCCTTCTGCCATTTCACCCCTTATTCTCTCTGCAGAGCTAGCAGCTGCGTGACTCAGTGAGCGGCGCTGGACAATGGCGGCCGCCAGCGAAGGTGTCTGGTCGCCGTTTGTCGAGCTGCTGAGGCTCGTCAATGCCGTGCTCGTCCACAAAGATGTCGGCCAGCTACCTGAGCTCGAAACGGCGCTACGCCGGCACAAGACCAACTTCATCAACCTACTCAAGAATCCGGTCAGTTATGAGGCGTGTGGCGAGTGAAGGGTCGAATTTCGCGAATTTGAAGTGTGGATGAGAGAACCACGGCACAGCGGAGTCGATATATGCCAGTCCATGGGTGTGTTGAATGGTTTGTTAATGCATGGCTCGTCAAATAAAGTTTTCTCATCGATAAATCGTTCAGCTTTGTTGCGGCTTGCACTTTTTCACGATCTCCGTGTCTCCGGCAGGCGCCGAGTGCCAAGGACCGCGCCGAGCTGCAGCAGGCCACCAAGGAGGGTATCAGCGTGGGCGGCGAGCCGCCGCAGCTGCTGCCCCAGCTGGCCGTCGACGAGGCCATCATCATCTCGGACCTGTTCCAGCTCAATGAGCGCGCCGCGCTGCACCTCCTGCAGACCGGTGGGTGGCGCTGGGGTTTCGGAAAATAGCGTGGTGGTCGTTGGGGTTCGTATTTGGGGAATTAATGCAGGTTCGGAAAATATGCTGGTTCACAGCAGAACGGATTCTTTGCTCAGTGTACAGTGCAGACAATAGACATAAAACGCATATGACAAAGGGAAATGAGAATACCATACAGGCTTTCCTGAATGGGGGAGTTGACAGGATAGTAACGTCGTCACGGTTCTGCTGCATGTAGTTGGATGACTCGGGCATGACTCTCCATGTTTGTCCCCCACCAGGCGAGGCCCAGCGGCCGCACTACCCGGGCCTGACGCGCGGACTGGTGGCCATCCTGCTGTACTACGACGGCCGGCGGGCGCTGGTCACCGCGCTCAAAACTCTGGTCCAGGTCAGTCCAGGGGACGGCGCCAGGCCCTCCTGGCGAGGGGTCGGTGGGGGGCGCCTTTCAGCATAAAGTGTGCTTTTGTGTCACAAGTGGACATTGTTTGAAAGTCATCCATTGTGTTGGTTGTTTGTTTGCACATGTGTTGACGTCTATCATCTTCCTGCAGGCGAGGAAGGGCATCAGCTGGACCACGGACCTGCCCGAAAACATATCCATCATGATCACCAAGTACACAGACGAAATTCTCGAGGAGAATATGCTCAACAAGCTGCTTGGTAAGAACTTGGCTCAGGAATTAGTGCTAACAATTTGTCATGAATTTTCATAAAAATGTTATTACGGAATGGATTGCTGTCAGATAGTAGGCTACAGAACAAGTACTGAGCCCATTTATATGTTCTGTCTCCCTCGCCATTCACCTCAGGCCTCAGCTCATGTTGTCCACTGAGTGTCTGCCCCTCCCTGCTCAGAGCTGCTGCCCACTGAGTGTCTGTCTCTCCCTGCACAGAGCTGCTGTCCGCTGAGTGTCTGTCCCTCCCTGCACAGAGCTGCTGCCGGTGCCCACTGAGTGTCTGCCCCTCCCTGCACAGCGCTGCTGCCCACTGAGTGTCTGTCTCTCCCTGCACAGAGGTGCTGACCACTGAGTGTCTGTCCCTCCCTGCACAGCGCTGCTGACTACTGAGTGTCTGCCCCTCCCTGCACAGAGCTGCTGCCCACTGAGTGTCTGTCCCTCCCTGCACAGAGCTGCTGTCCGCTGAGTGTCTGTCCCTCCCTCCACAGAGCTGCTTCCCACCCTGGACTGGGAGCGTGACCTGCAGCGACTGAACGCAGCGCGCGCTCTCGGCAGCGCGCGCTACCTGCGTCAGCTGAGCGAGCTGCACGAGCAGACGCGCCAGGCGCTGGCCGACACGGCGCTCTGCTGGGCGGCCCAGGTGCCCCTCTCGCTGCCACTCACCAAACGGCTGATGGAGCACGTCAGGAAGATGAAGGTGGGTTGGAGGGGACAGTACGTCCGGATAGGACCGTGTTTTGTGAGGGGAGGAGGTATAAATGGGAGGGTGATGGGTGAACAGCTGCCGCGTCCCTGAGGCCGTGGATGACGTGATATGATCTGATAATGGTCGCTGAACTAAATATGTGTTCGGATCTTCAGGGATGTCAGGAGTGTCCACCTAGATATTGTTGGTTTATACGCTATGCTGAGACCTGGTGAATAAATTGCAGCCAGGTATCACGCATCAGCAGCTGATGCTGATACCTGGCTGCAATTAATTAATGACTGCTCATCAGGTGACCGCTGACTGGATCTATGTGTCTGACCTGCCGCGCTCCGCCGCGTGTGTCGCCAGGTGACGGGCTCGGCCGGGGAGCTGGGTAACGTGGAGCTGACGCTGCTGATGGCCCTGCTGTACAGCGTCAGCGCCGCCCGGGTGCTGCGCAGGCCCGACGCCGACGGTATGTGCCCCGTCCTTAACACTGTGCTCGGCTGCGGATATCGGTGTAGGAAGGGGCATCTGGCCCTGCCCGTCTCCCGCGATAGTGGACGCACGGTGTTGTGTCTTGTGTGTTAGGTATATGGTTATCATAATTGCGACGGCTGACTACATTGGTTGGGTGATCATTGACTTCCCTCCCCGTGCTGGATATTTTTGATAATGCTGTCGACTGAACGTCAAACTTTGAGCATGAGCACCAATTATTAATGTACATCGCTTTCGTATTACCATCCTTCCATCGTTTTCATATTTTATTGCACAACGCTGTTTGCCGTCTCCTATCGCTCGTTCTACAGGTCCGGTCTAACCGTCCCCTTCCGGCCTCTCTACGACTAATTACGAACTCTGCCGCCGCTGGTCAGTGCAAGTGGTCGGTGCTGTCTAAACCTGCCCCTCTCCCTTTCCAGAGCTGCTCGGCACTCTACCGCTGCTGGCCGATCCGGAGTTCGCCAGCTGGCTGCACCGCGAGCTGGCCGAGGGAGACGCCGCCGGCTGGCAGACGCCCGAGCTGAGAGCCGTGCTGCAGTTCGCCTGGGCCATGACGCTCAGCTCTCTGCGGCCCCTGCAGATTGACGGTAGGTGGGGCAGGTTCGACCTGAGAATCACGGGATGGGTGTTGATAAGGGAGTTGATGGATTTGTGCGTGTCAGTCCGGGAATGGTGTGGGATGGCTGGGGGGAGTTGAGGATGTGGGAGTGGGAATGGTGCGAGATGTTTGGATGCGACTGTACGAGCTACTTAAGCATGCTCAACTTTGCAGACGTGTGGTAGTTACACATGAAAATATGTGTAAGATCAGTCATCAGTTTGATGAGATCAGTCATCGTTTGCCAACGTTCTGAGTGCTTATCGCCCCATTTCGTCGTGTTTTTCAGCTCTTGCTGACTTCACCGAGCAGGACGAAAAGACGACAGAGCTGTCCATAAGGAATAAGGTGTTTTTGCATATTCGGGAGAAAATCATCGCCAATAAGATGTTCCATTCGGAGGTAAGAACGAAAGCTTCGTAGAAAATAAGCATGTTGTCCGTTTTTTCAATTACGACTTTTAAACCCATCAGCTGGACGTTAAAAAAAAATCATCTACGAAGATGCATTATGTCAGCATTCTTGTCGACGTTTTTGTCATAAAATGAGCTGTAAAAATCCGGCAGTTTATCTCCGAGTATGATCGTTGTTTCCTACCACTTTTCATCACAACCATACCTATTCCTACGTGCTCGCTCGTTCTCAGGAGTTTTTCGTGCGTCACGTTCACGATCTGATGTCGGAGATGCTGGTGGCCATGCCGCTCAAGGTCAAGGAGCTGCGGAACCGAGCTGACGAGGCGGCCCGCACCATCCAGATGAACCAAAAGGTCCGGCTCGAGGGAAATGGCAGAGTTTGAACTGCAAACCATTTTCAACTTTTGTTTAATTGTTTCAGTTTTACAATGATAAAAAATGCGATGAATTGGTGTATCACCCTTTTGTCTGGAATTTTCCTTTCCGTTTTTTTTTTACGTGATACATAGGTGTACTTTATCGGTGACGTGTCCCTTGGCCCTTTATTCGATATTCCACATATTTATATTTTAAACCTGACACTAACCGTGTTTTATGGCTGGTGCTGCAGGAGGGTCTGCAGCCGCCGGCGGACCTGCCGCAGGACTTTGAGCACCTGCTGCGGCTGCTGACGGCGCTGTATGAGAAGGACCCGCTGGCGCTGGGCCTGTCTCAGGATTACTGGGCCTCAGAGGGCGCTACGCAGAGACAGGTGAGGATTGCTAGCGGGGATGTGGAGCTGATTAGGGCTGATGTGGAGGATAGGGCACTGGCGAGGCTAGGTAATCAGATTTCGCATCTTATGCTGTCGATTGTATGCAAAGATTAGTTAAGATATTGATTCGGAGTGTCCATTTTTTTCGTTGTGTGTCGTTTATTATAGTCGTCATAATTGTTTTTTTTTTTGTTTTTTTGCTGTAGAGTCACCTTCACCCATTCTTGGTCCCTTAATTTTGTTAGGGAATTGTTGATATCACTCTGCCTAACCCTCTGTCGCCGTCTCTCCGCTCAGGTGTACCTGCATAAGTTTGTGCGCGTGGCCGGTGACCTGTTGCCTCCGCCGCTGTACGTGCCGTACGCAGACCTCCTGGCGGCCCTGGCGTCCAGCCCCGCCACCGCGCCGCATTGCTACAGCCTGCTGAGTGCCACCGGCTCCGGCTCACCGCTCAGCATCACTCAGATATTCAGCTCGCTGCACCAGTACTACAGCCGGCTGATGCACGAGGTGGGAGCCGTGGGGTATGGGGAGGAGGGTGGGTACTAAATGTGGGGTAGGATGGGTGTCAGATATGCACATTGCACAGTCCCAAACTGGTCTGATAACAGCCTAAATCACGCAGTGGTTTGTAATTCTGTTTAGGGTCAAATTGGCTAAACGGGAAATCATTTCTCTTTGGCAGTGGACTTTGTTTTACCTGAAACTACGTTATTTTTATTTGTGAATTTTGCGAGATTTCCCATTGGTGTGTTCTGGATGTTATATTCTTAGTTGAAATGCCACTTTCCTCTCAACAACAGCACTTTCACGGCGTCGACTCCTCCGCAGTTCACGCCGCCCTCCGCTTCCCAGTGTCCGAATCGTTCGGTGACGGTGTCCTTTTCTCTGTGTCAGACTCCGTCCGTGTCGCGGGCGGACGCCTACTCGGGCATGCCGGTGACCGCCTCCAAGGGAATCACCGCCCAGGAGCTGAAGAGCATGCTGGCAGGGCTGCGGCTCATCCGAGTCATTGCAGGTATGATTGATCGGGCAGAAAATATGGCGAGCGAGTGTTGATTTGCACTCTTCGTCTACTTTTAGGCACCTTTTTTATATGCGGTTCGGGCGCTCTGAAACTGAAAAAGCCAGGAATCCTCTATCTCTCCCGATTCGCTCACTAACTCAGCGTTTTCGCCCAGTTGCGTTCGTTTTATCGTCGCTGTCTGAAAAAGGCGTCCGTCAGTTTTCCTCTCAGCCCCCCCCCCTCCCCCGTCACCTACCCTGGTGACAGACTTATCACACTTGCAGCTCCATCCTCTCTCACTTCCCCTCTCACCCTCCAGAGAACGACGCCTCGTCCCGGCTGGTGATGTGCGAGACGCCCAGCTGGCCGCCGCTGGTCGTCATGCTGCGGCTGCAGACGTGCGCCGCGCCCGGCACTCTCAAGGCGCAGCTGCTGCGCACCCTGGCGGCGCTGGCGCGCGCACCGGAGGTGGCCCAAGCACTGTGGCAGGGCCTGGAACAGGCGCAGATTCTGCAGACCACACAGGTCATGCCCGGTCAGCAGGCGCGTGGTATCAAGGTGAGAATTAGTGCGGGGATGGGAGCGGGGCTTTGCGATGGTGTCATGGGGGATAGACTGAGGGGAAGTTGTGTCAGGGGAAGGTGTTCAAGATTCATAAAAGCTTTAGCAGGAGTCGTAGAGAATCTCATTGCCTAAAAGCTAGCGGATTGTCTGTCGGCACTCGGCACACACTTAGGTGTTCACTAATCGCACATTGTATCATACTCAGGTATGTGTCATTCAGTGAGACATCTCATATTGCTAGAAGTCTCATCGTCGCGACTCTGCAGCAGGCCACTGCCGCCGGTGCCGAGCCTAGCCGGCGGGCGGTGGCCGTTATGGCTGCTACAGCATGCCGCGGGGTTCTCTGAGTGACCGTCACCCCAGGACGGTCAGCTCGTTCCACTCTGGACACTGCGCCGCCGTGATTTGTGCTAGACGCTGATACTGTGTGCAGTGTGGATTACCTGACCGCGTGTGTTGCATGTCTCATTGACAGAGTCACTAGTCACCCGGTCTTGGCTCTTGGCGATCCCGGTGGTGTCTGTATCTCACGATTCTGTGTCGCTCTGTCGCCTCATCTCGCATGTAATTTGTCATGGTGGAGCAGGCTGCTATCCCCAACCCTTGACGAAGCAGCCTTCTTGACTCCATCTGACCATGATTCCCCTTATTTTGTCTCATTGTATCTCCCTTGATTTTGTCTCGCAGTTGCCCTCTGGATTGTGTCTCACCATGCCTCTCCCCCCGTCAGATGGAACTAGAGGAGGTGGAGGCGCGCGCCGAGCAGTTCCCGCAGACCCGCGCCTTCCTCGGCCTCCTCTCCGTGCTGGTGGAGGCCGGCGTACCGGCCAGCCTCGGCGCCGGACTGCGCGCGCCCGGCATCCACCCGTACGTGGCCTTCGTCATACACGACGTGCTGCTCAACTTCGACAGTCGCGCCTACAAGGACCCGACTGAAAAGGTGAGGGGGGAGAGAATTGGGAACTTTTGGCAATGGAAGTGAACAGTGAAAGGTGGTGTACTGAGAGTTGAGTAAGGTGGTTTGCTTTTTCTAGCCGGCGATCGACTGGGATGAGCTTCATCAGCTCTTGTGTCTGCCGTTTTTCACATCTCACCATAATGGGCGCGCAATGACCTCGCTTTCATCGCGCTCGGTAACCTCACGTTCTCAGCTTATCACCCACCAAAGTGTATCAGCTAACCAGCCGACCTTCCCGTTCTCAGTACGTGGTGGCTGGCGACTGTCTGGAGATCCTCCTGAAGCTGGTGGACGCGTACGACCCGACGGCCAGTGAGCTGGGACTCACCATCACTGGAGAGCTGACCTCGGGTCAGACGGCGCCCGGCGCCAGCATCGTACTGCAACTGATGCAGCGCTCCAAACTGCTCAAACAGGTCAGCGGAGAGGGACATGTCAGGCGGGCAAGTAACTACTCGACAGTGACGAGGCATTCAAATATTCGTATACTTTTCTGCTTATTGTTCGTAAGAATTGCTTAGACAAGACAGCTGGGTAGGAATTTCTTTGAATGGCAAGCATTTCCGGCAACCCCCGGGCTTCCCTCTAGGTGTGTGTCTACGGAATGCTTCCACCCCCGGTCTCACCTCCCCGCCTCCCGCAGGTACTGTTTGTTCTGGACGAGGCGTGCCGTCGTCTGGGCGAGTACCGCGACTCGCCGGGCCGCTCGGGCCTGGAGCGCAGCTCGCTGCTGGCGCTGCGCCTGCTGGAGGCGGTGCTGCGCCAGCAGCCGGCCGTGCTGACGGCGCTGCGCCAGCCGCAGCTGCCGCAGCAGCCCGAGGCGCCGCTGCTGCCCGGCCTCGAGCTGCAGCTGCTGGCGGCCAACCCGCGCACCGGCGCCAGCGACCTCATGGTCATGTTCGCCAGGTACGCAGTGCTGCGATATCATATTATTGGACACAGTAAACGGACTCTGTGCTGTGCCACGAACGGTCATGTATTTATTTGTATCCATGATGCTTTTTACTGAACGTAAATACGAACCACTTTTTGATGTATAGTTGTCTAATAACGTGAGTGCCACGTGACACCAATTGACACCGTCACAGCTTCACAGGGCCAACAGCCATCAGAGCTTCATAATGTCCACCCTGACTGCCCCGTCTCCCCCCCCCCCCCTCAGGTACCTGGGTTTCTCTGCGTGGCTGCCCGAGCAGGCGGCCAGCGCGGCCGGCGTGCTATCCCAGGTCTGCCGCCGAGCCACCGCTCAGGAGCAGCTGGTAGCTCTGTTCTCCGGCGACCCCGACACCCAAGCCGAGGTCACCTACGCGTTCGTCGAGTGTCTTGATGCCGACGCGGTGAGTTTCCGTAAAGGGTCTTGGCTCCGGTTTTGAGGGGAAGCATCCGCGGCGGGAAGGGGGTCTTTTTTCGTAGTCCTTCGACCTTCGACCAAAGAGCGAGGTATGTCGTCAATAGGATTTGCGCATGAACCCTGATTGTGATTAGCTGAGCTGAGATTAGTGAACCTTGAGTTCGTGATTGTTTTGGAGTTCAACTAGCATCACCCATGTATCTATTCAAGTCCAGGCCGAATGCCGCTATTTTTTATTTGCAAGTGGTGAAAGATATGTATGCGACAGACGTGACTTAAATTAACTCTGTCTAGACTAGAGTGAGCGCACAGACGTCCCCGCAGCCCGCACTGACATCCCCCTGTTCCCCGGCAGCCGGAGGAGGCCGAGTGCGCCGCTCACGTGGCGCGCTGTCACGTGCTGGACCTGCTGACGGCCTGTCTGCGGCTGCCGGCCGGCCCGACCGTGGCCCACCTCCTGCTGGGCCTGGCCGGCGGCGTGGGTCTCCAGGCGCCCGGCGTGCTGGGCACGGCCCGTACCTGTCTGCACGCGGTGCTGGCGCAGCTGACCGCCGGGCTGACCGCCACCGTGCCGCCCAGCATCGGGGAGCGGTGTCCGGCAGTGGCCGATAAGGCCTATGAGGTACGGAGGGGAAAGAGGGACGTCTGGGGCGGGAGAGATAGGTGGGATACGTTCTGGAAGAGGACGTTTTTAGAGCTTGGCTCTGATTGATTTATAGTCATTTTGGTGCGCACAGAAATTTCACCATCGTTCGAGTTTCTGATCAATGATTAGTAATTCCTCTTGACTGTGTTGCATACCATAGGTAATATTTTTGTTCCGATAAAAGTCTGTCCCGTGTCTTGACTAGGCGCTGGGTGTTCGCATCTAACCCCCTCACCCCGTGTCCAGGTGATCTACCTGCTGTGCGCGGCGCCGAGCACCTCGGAGCAGACGCTGCGCTACCTGCGCTCCACCTACGACTTCATCTACGGCCAGCTGCGTCCGCTGCCGACGGCGGCCAGCGCGGAGCTACCGCGGCTCCGACACCTCACCTGGCTACTCCGGCTGCTGGCGCTCGAACTCAAGGTGGGGGAGTAGGAGGATTACTGTACTGAGTGGTATCAGGATGGGACACATTGGAAGAAGCTGGGAAGCTGACGTGTTTTGGGATAGTCACTGGCCGGCATAACGTTTGTCTGTGATTGTTTTTTTTTTACCGACGCTGAATTTAAGATATGGATCTATAATTCCAGGCTACCGGCTAGTTGTTGCTCAATATTTGTCCTTACCTTGAAAACATATTTGTCCTTACCTTGAAAACACATAGCATTGATTTATGGATTGGCTGTTCGACGTTGACGGACCGTCTGTGTTCCCCGCAGGTTCTGGCGGCCGGTCAGCAGCGCTCTCCCCTGGCCCGTCTCACGGGCCTCCTGCTCAGCTCCACGCCCGCCGCGGGGCCGCAGATGGACCTGACTGGACTGGATATATCACTGACACTGAGCCAGACCCTGACCGGGGCCGCCGCCAGGCAGGGTGAGTTTATCAATTTTAAATGCAGACTAGCTTTGTGGTCTTCAAAATGCCGAATCAATTTCCCGTACGTGTGCCATTCAGTTTTAGATAATTGGCGTGTTGACAATGCCGCTGTTCTGAAGACGATGAACAAACGTTCTCCCTGGCGACCTAGTCTGTAACTGACCTGATCACCCTATGTCGGCAGCCTCGTCGACGCAGCGCCGTAAGATGCTGGCGCTACTGGACCAGGTCAGCTTCAGCCACGAGCCGGTCCAGCCGCCCGATTGGGAGTACTTCAACCCGGCCCAGGTGGAACAGGTGAGACCGGGGTCCGTCCTGAGGACGGTGTCACCATGGGGTATAATTGTGTGAAGTAGATGAGCCCTTCCCACCTCGAGGCAGCGGTCCAATCCATTGGTGCACCTGCCGCGTTGGGACAGACGTTTACCCGGCTTTTTCATGATTTGCATCTGATACCGTGTTATTACGACCAAGGTGTTCGCATCCTTCGCTCCATGCGCTCTCATAGCGTTGAACCGTGACTGTGCCGTGATCTCTGCTCTCAAAGTGAGCTGAGAACACCTCCTACTCTCACAGGTGATCAAGTCGTGTGAGGAGCCGGGCCCGGCTCGCCAGGTGGACATTAAGCGTCTGAACGCGGTACTGAACGCCGAGCTGGCCGCCCTACAGGGCACGGCCGCGCTCAGTCAGAGACACTACATCGTACAGGAGATCAAGGTCGGTCCGCGGTTGGGTTCACCCTGGCAGCTGCTGTACTGATACCTCTGATTTTGGAACTTGAAGAGTTTTGAGTGTTATGTGTGCCGGTCACCGTGTTGAAAAGATTTTGTGATAGGGTGTCAACAATCAACATTGCTTTGAAAAGTGGAAGCCAGTGGAGTGACAGCGCTTTCAGGCTAGTGAGACGGGACTTTTAGGACGGATAAGGCGAGCTAACTTCGCGCTACTCATAATGCGCTGCTATAGCGATAACTTAGTTAAAACTGCTACGATCGTATTCCATAGCCGTCGCCACCGCGTGCTTCGGCCGGCTTCCTGATGCCCTGCCCTCCCCCGTTTCTAATCGCCTCCCCCCTCTACCAATCAGTCCGTGCTGGAGTACTGCGTGCGCCGGAACGAGCAGTCTCGGTGGCTGCAGGCCTCCGCCGACTGCGTCGAGTCGTGGCGCCAGGTGCTAGAGGTGCTGCTGACGGCCGTGCCGGCCAACCTGCTGTCCGATCAGCCCGACCAGGTCATCATGGACGTCTCCAGACACATCCTCAACAAGGTGACTGGGCGGGACGGGAACGGGCAGTATGGGCGGAGAGAGTGATGGGGTGGTACACGGAGAGAGAAGCCACTACATGACTGAATGACGGCGGCAGGTAGAGTGGCAGAACAGAGTTGATTGGGAATGTCGTTGGCAAGACGTCCTCTATTTCATGGCGTTGTGCGTAAGAAAGGGAGGAGGATCAATCACATGGGCGCATGGATTCGTCTTACAGCTGTCCTTTGGGTTGATTATCACTAAGCCAATGCATTGTTTCATTTCGAAGCTGTGAGCGCAATGTCGCCCCACTGACCCAGAGTTTACTCCCCCTGCAGACTCTGGACACGGAGTCGGTGCCGCAGCTGACGAGTCCCCTGGCGGGCACCCTGCTCCTGCTCATGACCTCGCTGAGGTCGGTGAGCTCCTCCACCGGCGGCAGCGGCGGACAGTCGCACCAGCCGGCCGGCAGACTGGTCACCCTCAGAGGCATCGTCGACAGTCTGCTGCGGCCAGGTCAGTTGGGCGGGACGGGTTAACCCGGCAGGCGGTGGGCCTACCAGCCACCTTCCGCGCGTGGGGGGGGGGGGCACTTTTTTGCCCCCCCCCCCCGTATCTCCGAAACTACTGGACGGATCCAAAAAATTCAAACGGCGTTCGATAGCCCTGTCAAATTTGTCGAGGGAAACCAAATTTCATTGACCTCGGGGTCACCGATGACGTCACAGGTCAGGTCAAAGATAAAATGTTTCACCGTTCACGGGGCTTCTAGGGAAAGCGCTATAACACCGAGTAAAACGCATTTTGTCGAAAATCAGCGATAAGGCGTTAGTTGTCTAGTACATATGTTGCTATTAGAGGTCACTGGTCATACCAGGTCAGGTCACAGGTCAGGTCACCAAAGGTCACCAAGGGTCACCACATGAGCCCAACTTTACTAAGGTTATGCGATGCATGTTTTATGGCCAGTTTTTCATTTCCAACTCAATGGTGTTGGTTATAAGACCATCAGGTACGGTTTAGGTCACTTTCTGGTGGAGGTCAGGTCAAGGTCAGGTCAAAATAGGCCAAATTTCAAAGTTGATATTTTTGCATAAACTGGGTATCGATTCGATGCAGCTCGTCACGGGAAATCTAATGGTGGTCTTTGTTTTGCGCTACGAGGTCTAGAATTGCTAAAAATTGAGTTTAAAAATTTGACGTCATCAATTTTGAACAGTTTCTTCGCTATAACTTGGCCAAAAAAAAGAGGTATCGACTTCTCTTCTCTATCTACTATCGACTCAGACTTCTCTCCCCCTTACAAATGTATGAGGTGTCGACTTTGACGGTAGCCCATAAGGCGATCACCAATGGCGAGCCTGTGGACATCTCTACTCTGTTCACTACGTTTCGTGACTCGCGCCAGCAGTCCGAGCGCAGTACGCGTCAGGATCGCCTTTTGAGGCCTCCTGCTATGCGAACGGCCGCCGGGCAGCGATCGTTTTTATATCGCGCAACATCACTTTTAAATGAACTGCCTGTGAGTGTCGTTGAGCTGGACCCCACTTCTTTCGAACGTGCCGTGAAGATAGCTAAGTGTAATAGGGATATGTAGTGGGAGGGGGAGGGGGCATAGGAGTGCAAGCTTTATGATGTGCACGTGTGCCAGATGTTTTGCCTGTTTTACCCATTCCGCCTTTTACCTGTTTTTATATTGTGACCATCGGCACAGAATAGCCACGCCGGTGTATGTGGAGTGCTGGCAAAAGTCAATAATATCGATCTCAAATTTGGTATGTAGATAGAAGGCTGTAGGGGCTATCACATATATTCCGGTTTTTCGAAATTCAAAAAACTTTTTGGATTTTTTGGCTATTATATTCAAAAAATCTATTTTTGGGGGGGGGGTCAAAATCCAAACAATTCGAAAAACCGAAATAGCAGTTTTGTAGCCCTTTTAATTCCACACCTTTTATGTCTGGGACATTTTTCTGTATCTCTAAAGCTGTAGGCCTGACAGCTCTTCCCGCGAAACCTTTTTTTGGGTCGAAAATGGCAAAAATGACGTCACTCTGACGTCAATAGCGGCCAACCTATCATAGCCTTTGGAAAAATTTTTGGTCACCATGTGTGCTAGCTGCTCCCGGGAGGGTACTGAATGTTTGGTGACGATCGGCGCAGCGGTTCTCGAGATATATCGAAAAAACTAAAGGGGGGGGGGGCAAAAAAATGCCCCCCCCCCATCGCCTGGAAGGTTAATGGACGGGCGGGCCAGGCTAGTGAGTGGTCGGATCAGAGCTTTTTTCGGAAGGTCGTAATGATACACACATTTTAAGCTGATCATAAATTATTTGGTGTGAAATATGGCATGATACCATTTTTACCGGAAATATGGCATGATGAATTAGGAATGGGTATCGATTTTTTTTTGTGCTGGTGAGTCGGTTTGGGCTTTATTTGCTTTTTGCTTTTTTGGATAGGCAATGCATCAATCGACGCTTCATCTGACACGCATGGCCTGTCTGAAGCCTAACGGCTGCCCGTCTCCCTGACAGACCCCGGCCGCCGGGCGCGCCAGCGGACGCGTGTGAACCTGTACGGCGCGCTGCTGCACCTACTGTCGGCGGCCGGAGCGGCCGGGCCCGGTCTCACCGAGGCGTGTCGGGAGTACGGCCGGGCTCTGGTGGAGACCGTGTGTAGGGACGCCTGCGGAGGACACGACGTCTGCAGGGTTAGTATGGGGGAATGTGACCTAGTGGTTGGGGCGAGGAGGGAGGGCGGTCGGTTAAGGTGATGGCAAAGTCAGTAACGGAGGGTCAGGGTGGAGTTACGGATCGGGGCGAGCGACGCTATGGGATTGAAGTGGCTGGCGGATCGAGGACGGGCGGTAACAGGAATCATTGATGGGTGGCGGCAATGAGCGGAGAGGTATTGGATTAAGAAAAGGGGAGGTGAATTCTTGACTGGCACAGCCCATTGTGAAGGGGTAGACAAGGAAGTTCCAACCTGAGCTGGGAACGTGGATACTCTTGCTGTTGTACTTTTCGCGCCAACCATGAAATTACCAAAGCTGTGTCTCTTATCTCCCACTGACTCTTACACTGACATCTCCCTCCCTTTGCCACCAGATGCTGGCCATGTGCAGTCTGGACGCGCTGCTGCGGATGGACTCGCTGTGGCTGGAGCACCTCTCGGGCCACGGCTACCTGGACGCACTGGCCGAGTCACTGCAGGCCGACGACGCGCCCCTGCGCGGCCTGCTCGTGCCGCAGCCGCAGGACCTCCGGCCGCTCTACCTCTACGAGTCGAAAATGGTCAGTGGGCGCGGCAGACCGGTTACGCTCGGAACGGGAGTCAACGTAGCCACGGTGCTAGCTCAGTAAAGGAGATGAGAGTTCGTCTTTTATTCCCTGTTTCAATGGATTCCTAGTTGACGCCCCATGTCTCTCAGACTACTCTGCTGTGTCGTCTCTGTTGGTTTACTGGCCGTCAGAGTTTCATGCTCTTTTTTCCCACAGAGCCTGCTGTGCCGAGTGGCTCTGGTGCCAGACGGTGCCCGTACCCTACTCCAGACCCGTCTGATGGTGCGTCTCTCGGACCTGACGGCGCTCGACTGCTGGCCCCACCGCTCAGCTCCCGCGGGCGTGGTGGAGCGGTACCGGCTGGTGGCGCGGCCCGCTCTCCGGCTCTGTCTCTGCGTACTGGCCGCCCTCGGCAGGGAGAACCAGTCGGCCGTCGCGCAGGTGGGCTGGGGGAGAGAGTGAGTGTGAGAGAGAGAGAGAGAGAGAGAGAGAGAGAGAGAGAGAGAGAGAGAGAGAGAGAGAGAGAGGAGAGAGAGAGGGGGAGAAAGAGAGAGAGAGGGAGGGAGGGAGGGAGAGAGACAGGCTGGAGGATGTTCTACTTCTGACCCGAGTCCATTACTGGATTACGATACGATGAATGATAAGTCGCCACTTAATTTTTGAGCTGGACCGGTGAGGGCAGCAGCGTCACGCACGATGCTGACATCGCCCCTCCCACAGGTGAACCACTTCCTGCTGTCGCACCTGGACATGGTGACGTCAGTGTTACGTCACCAGCCGGCTGAGCTGAGCGCCGACAGTCTGGAGGAGTTGGTGCTGCTGACCGGCGTGCTCTCCCAGACCAGCCACGAGGACCTGTCGGCGGACGTATCCGACTCGCAGCTGCCGGAGCGCCGCGGGCAGCTGTCTCGGCTGCAGCAGCTGACACTCGCCCAGCTGCCGCGCTTCGTGCTGAGCCGCGAGCGGCGCCGGCAGCTGCAGCAGCTGCCCGAGCGGCAGCTGGCGGCCAGCCCGCGGCACCAGGCCACCGTCGCCATGCTGCAGGTCAGGGCTTAGTTTGTGCGGGAGTCGGTGGTGTCTTGGTGACTAGATTATCCACTATCCAGTATATGTGTCTGTGCAGCTGTCTTGGTAGTGTAGATCAAGGACTTGCTGCCGCCTGTGGTGTGGAGTGTCTAATGTCTACCTGTCTGCTGTCATCAATATTCCTCTGCAGGTGCAGTTTCCATGTGTCTAACAATACTACCCTCTCCTCCCTCCTCCAGGTGCTCTCCCACCTGCTGCTGTACAGCCAGGGTCTGGCGGCGCCGGCCGGCGCGGCCCGCCGCTCGGTCCGCCCTCTGTTCTCGGCCTCGCTGCAGACGGACAAGCCGCCCGAGTCGGCGGACGCGGCACCGTCGCTCGGCTGCCTGCTGCACCTGCTGCGCTGCCACTCGGAGCTGCTGACCGACGGCTGCCACCAGCTGGAGCTGCTGCAGCGCCAGCTGGACGCGGCCGGGCAGCTGGACGGACAGCTGCTGGCCGAACTGGCCGGCGACGACCAGCTGCCGCTGGGCGAGCGCCGCCAGCGCGCCCACCAGCGGCTCGACGAGCTGCGCACGCTCGTACAGAGACAGGTACGGCGGCGGGCGCGAGAGGAGGACGGAAGACTGATGACCTTCAAATCGCAGTTATATAGAGCTTATCTTTTAATGTTCGCTTCTAGGGTGGCTTTATCATAGAACTGTCGTTCAAGCATCACGCTCTTCATCCTTCACACTTATTTTGCAGAAAATGGAGACGTACTCGAGTGGAAACCAGTCCATGCTCATCACGGGGCACATACCCCTGCACAGACTTCCACGATAGTGTACCCCCTCCCGAAGCTGACCTCACCCCCCCCCCCCCCGTTCAGGTGGAGCTGAGCCGGCACGTTCTGGAGCTGGCCCTCCACCTGCTGTGGACCCACCTGGACCTGTACCTGGTGCGCTCGGCGCCCGCCAACCAAACCTCGCCCGCTGGATGGCCGTATGATGGTGAGTGACGGACGATCAGACCGGGGCTAGATGGGACCGATGGATTCGAATAGGGCCTGACGGTGGAATGTGGACTTCTCCGGGTCCAATGGGACAGGCCGGGGCACGCTGAAGGGGCTGTGGCCGAACGTGGTGTGTACTGGGAGGGTGTTTGAGCTACGAGTCATGTTTATGTAGTTGCTGGTCTAGGATGAAGCGATGAGTTAGTTCATTGCTGACTGATTCCTGGGTCATACGTTCCCTGATGACTCCATCGACTCCCCCGCAGGGGGCTGACCGTGGTCAGAGCCGTTGCTTGGCCGGGACCATTGGGCTCTGGCCTCGCGGCGGCTGTGACTTCGGCCAGTAAGGGGAGTAGCGCCCCCTCGGCCCCAGCTTGACTTGCGTTTGACCTCGGCTCTGATTTGATTGTCGGATGGATTTTCTGCAAGATTGGCCCCGCAGGGGGCTGGCGGTGGCCTGGGTTCCTTGGGCCCGCGTCCTGCGGCGGCCCTGACCTCCGCCAGCAAGGGGAGTAGCGCCCCCTCGGCCCCAGCTTGACTCATGCTCGATTACAACCGGACTCGACCCTGGATTGATAGACGACAAGTCAGACCTTTCTTGGTTTCTTTTTTTCCCTTTGTGTCTGATGAGTGTCTTTTTTGCGCCCGGTTCCGCTCCTTCCGGGTGTTTCTCCTCACTGCCAGCTTATACTGCCTTGCCGTCTTCTCACGTGGTTTGCACTAAGTTTTTGCACTTGTCTGTTGCCCAGCTTTCTTGCGAGCATTTTCATTGGTTGCCTTTTCTGCATTCTCACGCACCGCACGGACACACTCGGGTGAAGTGGAATAGCGCCCCCCCCCCCCCCTCAGCCCTAGATACACATATGTGTAATCTTGACTTTGCCCACATTTGCTGGATTTGATGTTTGCACAATGCCACTGCCAGTCGGCCGCGTTGCCGTCTTCTCACGCGAATTTCTCCTGGCTGGTTTGCACTCATTTGGTTGCCTACCTCATCGGTTTCGCACGCTTCCCAGTTTTTTTTTTTTTTTTTTAACACTTGCTCATCTTCTCTGTGCACGATTCCATTGCATAATGCGATTCCAGTCTCTAATCGTGCCATCTTCTCACGTGAATTGCTCTTGGTCGTCTTGTACCCGTTTGTTGCCCATATTTCTTTTGCGGTCACTGGCATTGGCTGCGTTTTCAGTCTTCTTGCGCTGTACCGGTCTTGCAGGCTGCTTGCCTCACCGGTTCCGCACGCTTCCCCATTTTTTTTTTTTACACTTGCTTATTTTCCTTGTGCACGATTCCATTGCCAGTTTGCTGCATTGCACTCTTTTCACGTGAATTGCTCTTGGCTGTTTTGTACCTGTCTGTTGCCTTTTTTGCGGATACTCGCGTTGATTGCCATATGTGTGATCTTGACTTTGCCCACACTTGCTGGATTTGATGTTTGCCCAATGCCATTGCCAGTCGGCCTCGTTGCCGTCTTCTCACCTGGCTGGTTTGCACTCATTTGGTTGCTTACCTCATCGGTTTCGCACGCTTCCCAGTTTTTTTTTTTTAACACTTGCTCATCTTCTCTGTGCACGATTCCATTGCATAATGCGATTCCAGTCTCTAATCGTGCCATCTTCTCACGTGAATTGCTCTTGGTCGTCTTGTACCCGTTTGTTGCCCATATTTCTTTTGCGGTCACTGGCATTGGCTGCGTTTTCAGTCTTCTTGCGCTGTACCGGTCTTGCAGGCTGCTTGCCTCACCGGTTCCGCACGCTTCCCCAGTTTTTTTTGTTGTTGTTTTTTTACACTTGCTTATCTTCCTTGTGCACGATTCCATTGCCAGTTTGCTGCATTGCACTCTTTTCACGTGAATTGCTCTTGGTTGTTTTGTACCTGTCTGTTGCCTTTTTTGCGGATACTCGCGTTGATTGCGTTTTCAGTTTTCCTACGCTGTACCGGTCTTGCAGGCTGCTTGCCTCATCGGTTTCGCACGCTTCCCCCAGTTTTTTTTTTTTGCACTCGCTCATCTTCTTTGTTCTCTGGTTTCCCTGGTTTTATCGGTCTAGCCGTACCTTCGGCCCAAAGACCGGGGAGAGGATGTCTGGGCGTTGAGGGGGCTGCCCTGCGGGTTAGTCGGGGCAGCCTTCCAACACATGCCTTTGGCGCCAATCCCCGGATCTGCGGGATGCCCCATGTTGGCCTCGCATGAGGGAAATCGGCCGGTCAGGCGTCGCCCTGTGCAGCACTGGCTAATCGGGGTCAAGGGGGCTGGACGACGGGTATGCGGGGGGTTGCCGCCGGGTGCAGGGGCCGCCTGATTCCTTCAGCGCGGGGCTTAGCGCCACCGTATCCATGTCCGCGCGCGGGATCAGGTCCGGTCCCGTGCCGCATGGCTCTGCGGCGGCCGCGGCTCACGCGGCCCCGTACCCGGCGGCTTCGTCTTGCTGCTTTTGGCGTCCCGGCCCCCGTATAGTCCTGCAGTACTCCTGGCGGACCACCACCCTACGGGGGAGTGTGGCCGTCCCCCAGTTGGGCTCCGAGGTGGGTGGGAGGCTGCGGGACCGAAACAATTACACTTTCCATGGATTCTCACTTGGCACCCCCACGGACCACAGCCTCGGCTGAACCCCTTGCACCTAGTGCAGTCGGTGGAGCACGACCAAAAGTTCTTATATTCACATCCGACGAACGAAAACTCGCGTCGCTGTCTCCCTTTCAGAGACGAGAGGGCTGTGACAGATTTGGTAAGATTGCGAGGTGTGAAAAACTTAGAGACGGAGGCATCGAAGTAGAGTTTGTTGACGATAGAGAGGCGGAAAGGGCCCTGAAAGCTACTCACTTCACATACACAGTTAAGGATCAGCAGGGCAGGAAGGAAGTAAACCTTTCGGTCAGCGTTTCGCCGCATCGCACGAAAAATTCCAGCCGAGGGGTCATTTTTTGCGACGATCTGGAGGGCATGCAAAACGACGAGATCGCCGAAGGCCTGTCACAGTTTGGGGTCTCCGCCGCCCGCCGCATCTACACCAAGCGAAGTGGCGCTCTCGCACCCACGCACAGTATCATTTTGACTTTCAACTCGCTGGAACTGCCGAGGGAGGTGATGATAGGATATATGTCCGTGAAAGTTCGACCATATGTCCCGAGTCCCATGCGTTGTTTTCAGTGTCTCCGATTCGGTCACACTCGAGACAGCTGTCGGAACAGACCAGCATGCGGGAGCTGTGCGGCAAATGACCATAGCAGTGCCGAATGTTCGTCGTCCGAGTTGAGATGCGTCAATTGTGACGACTCTCAGACTCCACATTCCTCGTTTGATGGGCGATGCCCGGCCCTCCAGAGAGAAAAAGAAATAATGTCCCTGAAGGTCACCGAAAGGCTGTCATTTCGTCAGGCCCGAGACCGCTTTGCTGCCCTCCATCCCAAGCGGTCTTATGCTAGTGTGGCCAACGGTTCTAGACAGCGCTGCCCCACTGAAACTGATACCAACAACAGCATCGGTCAGTTAATAGCGATTCTGAAGTCATTCGGCTTCTGCTTTGTCCCAGATGCCAACAGTCACAGCAACTCATCAGTTCAACAGGAGCCCCCTAAAGCGTTGTCGTGCTCCGCCACGCAGACGTCGCCAAGCAGGAGGCGAGGAGTCTCGTCCCCCTCCCGTGGGGGAGGAAGAGAGGATGAGACTGGGGCGGTGGTGGAGGCTTCAGCCGCCCCCGAGGATACGGCCACGCCGCGGGGTGGTGAGTGGACCCTCGCCCGGGGTCGTCGCCAGGGCCCGCCCCCACCGCCGCGCTCTGTCGAACGGGCCCCGTTCACGTCTCCGGAGATCCGTCGACCCCCGCCCAGGGAGACTGCAGTCATGGCGGCTCTGCGCCGCGGTCGGGAGGAGCGGCTTGAGCAGGACGCCAGACTAGGGCGGAGGATGGCCCAGGCTCTTGAGGAGCGTCGAGCGTCCTCTGTCCGTGGAGGTCCTGGTGGGCCGGGGGCGGCCCCGTCACCTCTGATGGGACCTCCCCCTACCCCTCCACCCCCTCCTCCACCTCCGCCCCCTCCACCTCCTCCGCCCCCTCCACCTCCTCCGCCCCCTCCACCTTCTCCCCCACCCCCGCTCCCACCGCCACCACCACCCCCTCCACCCCCTCCACTTCCTCCACTCCCTCCAACCCATTCACAGCGTCCTTCTGGTGCCCCTCCGGTGCCCGCCTCGGGCGAGGGGTCGGGACCCCGACCCCCGCCATGCACACCACCATCGGAGCCGAGACCGGCGGGGCCGCCGCCCGCCCCGGGCCGCCCCACGAAGCGCACACTTCCGTGGGAGTTATCTCCGTCAAACGATGGTAGCCCCCGCTCGCGGCTGAAGTTTCAACCGGGAGCTACGGGCCGGCCTAGGTCGGCCGATGGACGGCTCCGCGAGGGCCATCCAAAGGTAGCCTTTGGCGGTGGCCCGGGCCCCGGTGGCGAGGAGCATTTTTAAGTCCCCGCCTTTTTTTTTAACTCAAGTCAAAGTCGCCAGTTTTAGACACCTTTCGCTTACCCCAAGCGCTCAAAACTACAGCAATAACACGTTTTATCCTGCAGTGGAACTGCAAAGGCTTGCGTTCTAGCACTCCAGAACTGCAAGCACTAATCCGCTCTCAGCGACCTTTGGTTGCTTGCATCCAAGAAACCAAACTCAGATCTGAGTCCAGGTTCCCCATGAAAGGATTTTCGGTTTTTCGCAGGGACCTTGCTACTGAAACCGTCGCGCACGGAGGTGTTATGGTTCTGGTCCATAACGCCGTGCCTGCGAGATGTATTGATTTAAGCTCGCCCCTTCAGGCGGTAGCGGTCCGCATTCATCTAGGCCAGCGTGACATCACTGTGTGCTCACTTTACTGTCCCCCTGGCGCAGCTCTTCCTCTTCTGGAACTACGCCGGCTAATTGCCGAGCTCCCTCCACCTGTGATGCTTCTGGGTGATTTTAACTCTCACCACTCTGCATGGGGATGTGATTCTGTGTGTACACGCGGTCGACTTTTAGCGTCCTTGATAGACGAGGAGGGCCTTTGTGTTTTAAACACTGGTGCTGCTACCCATTTCACCATGCCGTCGGGACATTCATCAGTTCTAGATCTCAGCCTTGTCAGTCCACACCTTGTGCCGCTTTTTACGTGGCGAGTGGACGCGGACTCTTTTGGTAGTGACCATTTCCCCATATGGCTTGAACTGCGTGAGCGGCCCTCGGTTGGCTGCCGGCCACCGAGATGGAACCTGCGGAGGGCAGACTGGGAGAAATTTCAAACGTGCTTGGAGGATGCTCTCTCATCTGACCCTACAGATGATCTGTCAGTAACCGATTTCACCTCCTTACTCATTGAAGCAGCCAAGGCATCCATTCCTCGTACATCGGGGGCGCCTTCTCGCCGGCCGGTCCCATGGTGGTCCGATGCGTGTCGAGACGCCATCAGAGCGCGGAAACGAGCGCTGCGCGCTTTCAGGCATAACTGCACCACCGCAAACATGATCGCGTTTAGAAAAGCCAGAGCGTTCGCTAGGTGGACGGTCAAGAAAGCTAAACACGAATCCTGGGTGGAATACATCAGCCAGCTTAACAGATTCACGCCAATCTCCGAGGTTTGGTCCCGTATAAAACGTATATCAGGTCGTTTCTCCTCATCCCCTCTTCCTGTTCTGAGTGTGTTTGGCAGAAATGTGTCGAACCCAGCTGATGTAGCGTACGAAATAGGCCGTGCGTTACATGACCGCTGTGTCGGTGACTGTTCTGACCCCGACTTCGCCCGCCATCGTGCTCGGTGCGAATCGACTGGCGTCAATTTTAACACATCACAACATTTTAGCTACAATGATCCCTTTACTATGGAAGAGTTAAAGTCCGCTATAGGTGGCCTGAAGTGTGTCGCAGAAGGCCCTGATCTTGTACACAATGAGATGCTTCGGCGTCTCCCGTCACCGGGACTTGAAGCATTGCTCCATCTTTTCAATGCGCTCTGGGAAAGAGGGCTGTACCCCGAAACATGGCGGACGGCCATCATTATCCCGGTGCTGAAGGCTGGTAAAAGCGGGCTTGATCCGCTTCACTACCGCCCTATTGCGTTGACATCTGCCCTGGGCAAGCTGCTTGAGCGAGTTGTAAACGCGCGTCTCGTCTGGTTTCTGGAGGAACAAGGTGTTTTATCTAACTCGCAGTGCGGTTTCAGAAAGTATCGGAGCACAGTAGACCACATTTTAGCCCTTGATACCGAGGTTCGTTGCGCATTTAGGCGGAAGCGACACATTGGTGCATTGTTTTTCGACATTGAGGCTGCGTATGATACCACTTGGCGTTTCGGTATTTTACAAAAGCTTTTCAAGTACGGTATACGCGGTACAATGGGCCATTTCCTCGCCAGCTTTTTATCTAACCGGTCTTTCAGAGTCCGTGTCGGTGGCAACCTCTCAGAGCAGTTCCCCCAGGTCAACGGTGTCCCCCAAGGAGGAGTCCTAAGTGTTGTGCTGTTCGGGGTAATGATTAACGATATTGCCGATCACCTGCCCCCTTCCATTGGCCGTGCCCTTTTTGTGGATGACTTCTCTATCTGGGCCAGTGGTGCAACCACACGTATAGTAGAGAGACAGCTCCAGTTGGCAATTAAAAGATTAGAAAACTGGAGTGCTGTTAACGGACTACGATTCTCGACAGCCAAAACTGTAGGTGTCCACTTTTGCCGTTTTCGCCGTAATTGCCCTGACTTCTCTGTCAGGCTAAGGGGTGCAGTGATCCCTGTGAAGTCGGAGGTGAAGTTTCTTGGGATGGTAATAGACAGCCGTCTTACCTACCGCACTCACCTGAAAGAGCTCCGCGACCGATGTTTTCGAGCTATGAATGTTTTGAAATGTGTTGCGCGTACCTGCTATGGGGCGGATCGTAAGACACTGCTCTTGCTTTATCGTGCTCTTGTCCGTTCTAGACTAGACTACGGCTGTTTTATATACGATAACGCCACGGAGACCTCGAAACGTATTCTGGACTCTGTGCACCATACTGCTCTTCGTATTGCCACTGGTGCGTTCCGGACCACCCCAGTAGCCAGCCTCCTTGTAGAGGCCCACGAGCCACCTCTTGCCTTGCGTCGCCAGCTACTGGGCATGAGATATACCATAAAACTCCGCCAGTTGCCTTCCCACCCTGCCTATGATGCAGTTTTCTCACGTGCCAACCTGGCGCTTTTCAGAACCGGAGAAGGCGCACGTACTGTCCGCTACCCCCCTTTCTGCTCTCGTATGCAATCGCTGCTCTCGGAAGCTCAAATTAAACTTCGGGGGGTCATGCGTAAGGAGTGGCCATCTGTCCCACCGTGGAGACAAGTCCCGCCAAAGGTGGACCTTTCCCTCACCGATGTGAGAAAAGGCGACATCCCTCCAGCTGTTTTAAAGGCTCGTGCGCTGGAACATATTTCAAGGTACTCTGACTACATAGCCTGTTATACTGACGGCTCAAAGACTGATGACGGTGCCGGGTGTGCTTTCGTCTGCGGCGACGCTGTGCGGTGTTTTACCTTACCTAAACATGCATCCGTTTTTTTCCTGCGAATTGGTCGCTATCCTCAAACTCCTGTGTTTTATCGAGATTAATCCCGCTCGGTCATATGTTATTCTTTCTGACTCATTGAGTGGTCTCCAGTCCTTGTCACAATTCTATCCTTCTGACCCCCTCGCACAGGAGATTCTTCTTCGTGTGACAGCCCTCGACCGAGAGGGTACGTCGGTGTCTTTTTGCTGGATCCCTAGCCACGTCGGTATTCACGGCAACGAACGGGCGGACCGAGCTGCGAACCATGCTGCGCAGTATCCGTGCTCCCGCCGATTCCCTCTACCCGCCAGGGACTTTGTACCGGCGGTGGGCTCTTTCCTCCTCGGAAAGTGGCAGGAGGCCTGGAGCCAATCCCACGGTAACAAACTTTTACGTATCAAGCCAGGTTTAGCTACCTGGTTGTCGGCCTCACGCAGATCGCGACGCGAGGAGGTGGTCCTCTGCCGGCTTCGTACCGGGCACACTTATAGCACCCATGGGTTCCTTATCGGCGTTGGCTCCAGGCCTATTTGTACCAGATGTGGTGACCGACTTTCGGTCCGACACGTCTTGGTCGAGTGCCCGAGACTGGACGCTGAGCGATTGCGGTTTTTTGGATTGCGTGGCCCCCAGCTCTCTTTGAGAACACTTCTCCGCGACGACTCCCCTTTTCTCGATTCCTTTCGCCTCTTTTCGTTCATCACGGCCTCCGGGCTTCAGGTGATTTTTAACCCCCGACTTTGAGGAAGATTGGTTAGATATGGGCGCCATATAGCCTCGTTGCTGGTGCGCCCTAAAACACCAAATCATCATCAGACTCCATCGACTCACTGCTGAGTGTACCATGACTGCAGGCTAACCCCGAGTGTCTCTATCCCAGCCACCTAACCCCGCCCTGTGACCCACAGACTCGATGGTGGGCGGCGACGGGGACACTGCCGGCGCGCTACTCTCGCCCCAGCTGCTCACCCAGCTGAAGAGGGACCTGCCGCTCAGCGTCACCGACGCCCTGCTCAGTCAGGTCCAGGACGCGCTCAAGGTGAGCAGGGAGAGAGAGAGAGAGAGAGAGAGAGAGAGAGAGAGAGAGAGAGAGAGAGAGAGAGAGAGAGAGAGAGAGAGAGAGAGAGACGCATTGCGTAGCCCAAATGGCGTCGTCTTACGTTATACATACATCCGCGGAATGTTCTTTTGTGACAAAAGTTGAGCATAAGGCGTTATGTGATGCGTTGTAGCCATCTCTTCTCGACCAGCCCGAGAAATAAAAAAGCATTCGGTTTTCGCTCACGATCTCTAAAGCCACGGTGCAGTTGTGGGCTCAGATTTCTTTGATTCTCCACTGACACCCCTCGTCCCGTGTGCCTACAGCACCCACTGGTGGGTCGCGGCCACTACAGTTTCTCGGAGGCGATGGTACGGCGCATTCAGCGAGTGACGCGGCTCCACTGTACCACTGGATGAGGGGACTGGCTCACTCCCGACCGCCGCCGCCACAGTCAGAACTGACAGTGGAGCGGGCGTCGGTGACACCGCGGTGTCTTGTCAGTGTCAGTGACTCGCACTGTGTCATTGATTGTCAGACGGAGACGTGTCTGATGACGTCAGGTGTATCTGGTGACGTTAGACGCTTGAGGACGTCGGTCATTTTAACACAGTGGGAGCGTCGGCGGGTCAGCGTGATAGGATGTGGCGAGATGAGACGTTGTTGGCGCATTTTGGTGGCTTCTGCAGATGCCGTTTTCCACGAAATAAAGATTTGCGATGATTCCAGTTTGTCACTGAAGGCTTGCCAGAAAACTTGTGATACTTTTCCAAACAATTGCCTGCTTCTTAGCCTACTTCGCAAAACTTCGAACTATCAGTGGTGAAAGCCGGGGACAGTCTCTTTAGAAGTATGCTCATAAAAAAATGGTCGAAAGAAATGGAGAGGAGGTATTGCAGGCAGTTTCAGGTTCAGATGCAAAATTCACCATCGACCATGTCCAGCATGCGGGCACGCTATAATACGGCTGGACTAGTTTGGACTTTGAATTTTGTTGACTCTGGAATATATCTCGATCAAAGAACATTGTTCAAGATTTACGCAACGGGATGTCCTCGGAGCGAACTTCGGCCTCGTCAATCGATCACTAGCATAACCTTCTATCAAAGCTTGTAAATCATTGCACAATGCGTCGATCGTCCAGCCCTGTATTGTGCCTCGCTGGAGACAGCACAAAACATAGTATCGTCTATCTATTGAACAGCTAAGAATGATTTTTATATGCGACATAATGTGGACGCATTTCGGATCATCGGTGCGTCGCCAACTACTACTCAGCTGCACTTTTCCCACGGCCGTCGCGAACCCGCCCCCCCCCCTCCCCGCCACCCCTAGACGATAACCACGGTCCGGTCAGAACTGGTTCGACTGGGGCGTGGCGCCGAGCGGGACTGCAGCTCACGACTGTCGCCCGGGAGGCCCAGTGAGGCGAATAGCTGGGGAAGGAAAGCGGGGGACGGGGGAGAATCAATCACTGGCTATCAGTGGCGTGGGCACGAAACGGCGTGCTGTCTGCTGGAGCGGCCTCACGCTGCAGCGACTGAGCCCAAATAAGGCTACGATGGTCGGGTATCCACTTCCAGTGTGCACGGGTTTTATGGCACTGCAGAGCGCAGACTTGGGAAAGGTGGGGTTCCAGTCGCTCCGGAATTTGATGCAAGAGATGGGTGGGGGGAGTAATTTCGGTGGTTAATTTTGACCCTGAGGAGTGCCGTTGTTTAGTAGCCGGGACAAGACGTGACATATATTTCAGACTACACCTCGACGTCTCCTAAAGATCCAACCAATAACTAGTTTTTTGATAGGTACTGCTGGTCAAATGACCGATCTAGCCGATGCAGTTAACCGCTACACAGGTGTGGTAAACTAAAAACCTGCCGTGACCGCGCTGGCGACCTCATAACGAACTCTTTATTTAGCCTCATGATCCTGTATTGTTTCGAGCCTATTGTGTAAACCAAAAAGGAATAAATACTAAAAGCGTTGCCCAATCGCGAAACGCGAATACACACGATCGCTGGAATAATATCACAATATACCACGCGGCGGGATGGGAGGTTGTCTAGATGCGATCAGTCGACGCGCTGACACCGATAATCACTTTGTGATAAGGTCTCTATATGGGACACACGGGAAGTTCTAGATGCCAAACGGGTTGAACACACGGTCACCGGAGCCAACAGACGGTCGGGACGGCCGGAGCTCCGCTCTCGCCTCGCCCGGAGGCAAGGCGGAGGTCCGGCGCCGCGGCGAATTTCGACAAGACTAGTGACACTCTGTGTCAGCCGCCGGGGCTGACCGACTGCCCCGGGCCCCCGGGATCGGAGCCGGAACCGCACAGATCTGGCAAGAGACGCCGTCGGACACGCGCGTCGTATTTGTACACCGGCTCAGGCGCTGCCAGTGAGACCGGCCACCGCCTTTTTCACCTTCTCTACCGCCGCTGTGGCGTACACGGGTCCCTCAGTGCGCACATAGTCCCAGCTCTGCGCCAGCCACTTCCCGGCCGCCGAGGCGTACTTGGGGCCCTCGCGCTGCACCACCTCCCAGGCGTCTCCGGCGGCGCGCTGCGCGGCGGCCGCCCACTCGGCCACCACGGGACCGCCGTCCTGGCGGAGCCGCGCCGCCGCCGACAGCACCCCCGCCTTGACGGCCGTGCCCTGGGCGGCGGCCGCTTCCCAGAGCGGGCCGGCCGCCGTCGCCGTGGCGTTCCAGCCGCGCGCCGCCGCCGCGGCCGCCGTGTCCCAGTGTGGCCGTATCGCCACCACAGCAGAGTCCCAGTACGGCTTCACAGCGGCCAGCGCGGTGTCACAGTGCGGCTTGGCCACCGCCCAGCCGGCCGACGCCGCCTCGTACGTCTTCCTGATGGCCACCGAAGTAACAGCCAGCGCGCGCTCTCCGGCGATGGAGCCATAGTGTCGCGTCACGTTCCAGGCTCGACCGGCGCCCTCCTTGACGGGCACCCAGTAGGGCCGCTGGGTGTCCATCAGGTAGCGGTCCACGGTGTCGGCGCGCTCGGAGGCCCACTGGAGCGCGGCGCCGCCGTGCTCGCGCGACAGGGCGGCCACGGTGGCCCAGCTGGAAGCCAGCCGGGCGCGCGCCCGCTCCAGGCCCGGCTCAGACAGGTCACCGTCTGCATTCAGGAACAGCAGGCGGCCGGCCAGCACGGCGGCCGCCAGCAGCAGCAGCAGGTTCAGCTTCCCGAGACATGACCAGCCGCGGCATTCTGCAATGGGGAGAGTGCCGGTGACCAGTCAGCTGATACATGTCATCAACAAACAAGAGAGCTGGGTGTGTAGTCTAGCAGTCATGCTGTCGCATGGTCCAGAAAGATTGAAAGAAATAAGACAGCAAAGAATGAAATGCTGACTCTAATAGTAATAGACAAAAAGCAGCAAATTGAAATGGGGAGGTCAGTGTCAGTGGATCAATCAAGTCACTCAGCTCAGTCCATTCATTGAACTTAACAATTAAGGAGTTTGGATGAGGGTGTGGTATATTTTATAGCATTAGACATACATTTGGACATACAGAGTAAGAGTGCAGGTGCACCTTCCTATTGCACTTATCCTTGAAACATGGGCTTAAAGAAACATGCTTGGAGTGCATCAGCACAGCAATCTAAAAGTAGCATCAGTATCTTACCATTTTGTGATTTGTTAGATTGCTTATTCTTCTGTTTTGGGGATGACTTTGGTTTGTGGTTCACAGACTCAGGCTCAGCTTGCTTCTTCTGTTGCTCTTGCTTCTTCTTGTTTGCTTGCTTATTGCCACCCATGGCTTTCGGCTTTCTATTTCACTAATAATTTAATCTGCGGAAGATGAATCATGTGTCATCAAATGATGGACCATGCACAACTAATAAGCAGCAACTAATAATTCATACTGCAATTTCAATCACTTACAAACATCATCATAACAGTAAGCATGATAGAATAAATTATGTGGTCCACGGACTACTTCATTTTCCATTGTTTAATGATAGCATGAAGATGGCAGCAAAGCCCCAATTGAGCCCCTGAGTGAACCTTGAATTTATTGGCATGGCCAAGAATATTAATTTAATGAAAGTATTGAAGTAAGTTTGAAATTTACATGAACAATTAGTGAATAAGTGACTCACAGTAGAAAAAGAACTAAGGCATTAGGCATCAGACAGCTACTTGCTACTTACTAGGTGTAAAACCTGTACGACCTGTACCACTTTATAATAAAAAACATCACCCAAACTATGCTTTCAAGAATATGGGAATTCAAATTTAAAATTCAAAATAATTAAACCAAATCATCATGATTTGAGCGATAATTGATAGTGTACCATTACTTTGCATGTGTCCTATTTTGGCAGCTGAGTTAACGGCCACATAATTATTTCAAGCAAACGGTAATTTAAGTATGTTATTCTTAAATTTATGAAAAATGCACCCACCTCACAACGACTCCGGGCTCTCGTAAACTGAATGCAATGCGTCCTTCGCACTGTCCTTCGCATTTACGAATTTCTTTGTTTGTCACTGCTGCGCCACAAGCGTAGTTCAGCAAGTCAGCTGATCAATCACTCTTTCCTCGCACACGTAGCGTAAGCGGAGCACGTCACAAGCTCCACGCCAGTCTGTCCGCTCTGCTGGCCACCTGGCGGAGCCGGGGCACACCTCACCACAGCTGCACGGGAGCCGGCGGGTGCATCTGAACTGAACGGGTGAAGTGAATGCAGCATGCCTTTTATTGATAAACGGCAATGTCCTTTCTCTACATAGTTTATAGGAGCGCCGACGAAACTAACCGGGGCCTCGAAATGTTTACGATACCGGCAGCTGACAAAACGGCTTCTGAAACTTCTGTCGAACTCGAGTCAAACTTCTTTACCAGCCTATTATTCTTGATTACCGACCACACCTTTCCGTGCTTCTATCCTCAGGATACAGAAATCCTTCTCCTCCACGCCGCAACCCCCTTCCGGGCTGGACAGGCAACTTTATCTCATGCGGGCTGCTCCCTTGGAGCGGCACCGCTGCTCCCGAGGGAGCGCACCCCGTAGCCGGGTGCAGTGAGTGCCTTGGGGCTGGGTGGCCTGTCCTCTGGACGGGCTCAGCCCCGGCGACTCACTAGGGTGCCTGCCCAGACCAATGTCTCCCCCTATATCCTGTCATCCTCCCGGCTCTGAAATGGTCCCATTGGACCGAAAGGGCCTAACCCAACAAAACAACAAACAAACAAAACAAATTACCGACCTCTGCTCCAGCCTCCGGACCTCCGGCCGGTCGTCCGCCCCAGGCAACAGCTGATAGCAGCTCAATAGCATTCCCATTTCCATGGGACAGGCTAATGCGACTCCCATGGACAGACTCAGACCCGCGGCGCACTAGTCGACAGTCGCATCAGCCCGATCGGTCCCCACCTTATCGTAGCATCCCACGACCCTAATTCAGACCCAAAGGCCCCGACTCCAACGTAACAAAACTAAAGCAATAGACGTACTCTAACGCGGCGCATGACAGGCTGTGCATTACGTCAACAATTTATATTCGTCGTAAATGAACAGTCCATCGGTCGTTGCTATAAAAGGCTGCACAAAAGCCGTTCTATATAAAACATTCATAGGCAGTCAACAAGTGCTCTGTGCACCGCACGATCTGAGTTCTGTGGGGGTTAAACCATAACAAGCGTCTCACTGGCAACAATTATTGCACTTCCCTAGATAGCAATACGGACTAGAGTTCGGCAGATTGACGGAGTATCGGCACCTGAGATAAAATGGGAGGGGAGAAGTCGGAAGAATACTTGTATGTACGCGGCGATCGGTCGTTCCCTCGTTCCGGTGCAAACGTCGTTCTGTGCATAACTTCGCGTCAACAGCAGACACCACCACCGTTCTCGGCTACAAAACTCACTCGGCACCCTCCGCTGGGCTCTCTCTCCGACACCGGACCGCTATGTTCCGCAGTCGTGGTGTCACTCCACACACATCCTCCCCACGTCCCGGCACAGACCACATCGCGTCACAGGGGAAGCCAGACGACAGACGAGAGAAGCGAGATTGACATCAGATCATCATCCACTACACGGCGCTCTAACAGCAGAGTAAACCAGCGACACATCGTGTCCAGTCGCCGAGACACAGCCCGGGCCGTAGCCGACCCTCAGGGTAGCCGCAGTCTCGGGCCGAGTCCCGACCAGCATAAGATCTAGAGTCCGACCGGTGAGTCGATCGGACAGAGCACAGTCGGACAGCAAGCGACTACGCCGGCGGGCGGCGGGTCGACCGTCGCCCGCCGGGGCGGCGCGAGCGGCGCCGTCCGCGGCCGCTCAGGCTATCAGAAGGAAGAAGGTGAGCAGGGCCAGCGCCAGCGTGGCGGCGGCGCCGAGCGTGAAGCCTAGGTGCGGGACGCGGCGGCAGGGGGACGGCGGCGGCCGGCCGCCGGCGCCGGGACGTGGGGCGCGTCCTCACTCGGCCACCGTGGCCGGCGGCAGCACCTGCACCTTGCCCTTGTACTGCTCCTCCAGCTGTTTGATGTCGTACAGCACCTCGAGGATGCAGCCCATGCTCCAGGCCTGCGCCTGGCAGCTGAACCTGCAGTACTCCCCGTTGGCGTTGGTGAGCTCCGGCAGACTGCGCCACACAGAGTCGGACAGCTGGCGACACACGGGACGAAGGAACCAAGTCAGCAGAGTGAACATTAGATACAGCCCGACAAACACACATCTCAAGGTAGCCGCGGTTAGAGGTATAATCGTCCGCGTAAGCGATACATGGCGTCGATCGCTGACATGCAAACATGTACGCAACCCCCGACACCAATGTCAGTCGACATCCTTCGCCACCCTATAATCAACACGGACCGACCCAACATCCGCTCAGCGCTTCCACCGGCTTCGCACTAACTTCCCCCACCTCTCACCATGATAAGAGCGTCACTACCACATGGCTCCCCGGGCAGACCCACCTGGACATAGTGTTTGGAGATGATGTGTTTGACCTTGCTGATGGTGGCCTGCAGCAGCGCCGGGCCGCCGATGATGGGCGCAAAGTGGAGTCGCGCGCGCAGGTAGAAGCCCATCGGCCACACCCACTCCTGAAGGGTCAGAGGGGACAAATTGTTCAGACGGCCATCGGTCAGCAGTGGCGGGGACGGCCCGGGCTTGTGGCCGCCGCGGCTGTCATCGACACATGCCTCGTAGTTACTGCAAATTGGCTGGCAATGGGCTCAACTAGAGCCATGGGGCGACTCATAACCTTTTAAATGATTTCCAAGGTCGAAAACAGTCGCGACAAACAGTAGCAATCACGGCGGTCTCCTCTCCTTCCTCCATCTCTCTCCCTCTCCCCTCCTTCCCTCCTCTCCCTCTCACCGGTCCGTTGTGGTAGCTGAAGCCGTGCGCCTTCTTGGGGTCGGTGCCATCGTCGTCGACGTTGTAGACGCCGTCGTAGGCCCAGTCGCACTCTGCCAGCGTCCTCATGCCGAGCGGACCGACCAGCAGTCGGTCGGCCGTCTCCAGCGCCGTCCACACGTGGTGCGGGTTAAACATCTCCGGCGCCTGCACGAGAGGAAGGACGCGTGCTCAGATACTCTTCGTACTAACCAGTAGCAGACTAAAAGGCGGTTGGCTCGTGAGCGACGACAACCCGGACGTCAGGCTGCTCATCAACACACCGCAAGCTAGAAGCTTGAGGTGTGTGGACACACCTCATGGCATAATTCATGGCTGAATAAGCCCAGATAGGTCGGTCATACCACAAAATAAAATGACTCACGCTACACATCAGAAAACCGGAATATTATCTACCCTACCTTACATCGAACAGTGGACAGTCCAAATAAAGTCTGACAGAGCAGGATATTCCCGCCTCCCGCCTCCGTTCGTCGCTGACTCACGGCCACCATGGCGATGGGGAAGTTGCAGCGCAGCTGGTAGTCGGCCCAGAACTGCGAGGCGCAGTGCGAGTCCTTGTACATGCCGCGCACGTTGATCAGCTCCGGCACCGGCTCAAACTCCGGGTGCGGCACGTGGTGGATGTAAAACAGCTTCTCAAAGTTTTTGTCGATCCGCTCGGCCCATTCCTCCCATTTCCAGCCAACGTACGTGCCTGGGACGAGAGAAGAGACAATGGGTTAGCGGTGAACCATCCGAATGGCATACAACACAAACAACAGACGCAAACAAAAAGCATGCCCTCAGTTCAATCAGGACCATCATACCCACCTACCCCACTTAGCTAATTCCTCCTCAACATCTGTCCTTACCCTGTTCGTCGGTCTTGGTGACTCCCTCGTACGGGTACTTGCCGCCCTTGTGCAGCTTGGCCAGCCAGCCGACGGTGGCTCGGGACAGGCCGACCAGCTCCACGGCGCTACCGTCGCGCGGCGTGGCCGGCTTGCCCTTGTTGCCGGCGTGCTCGCTGGAGCCCATCTTGTCCATCCAGGTGCCGCAGTTGTGCACGTTACCGCCGAACACGAAACCTGCACACACAAAAAAAAAAAACAGATAGGACGTGAGAGATCTGCAGACATGGAGTTCGCATCTACGACATGTAGTTCAATAAATATTCCGCAATAACACTTAGCCAAGTGCAACGTTAAGTGAGCAGATAATGCATGAAGATAGACAACTAATAAATCAAGAACGGGCGATAATAAGCCGTCATAATTTCACTGTAACCATAATTTACCGTACACATTCGCCGTAACCAGCACCATCCGACCCGGCCAACGACTCCACCCACCCACCCACCGGTCTCCATGTTGACGCCGATCTGGTTGTTGAAGCCCTGGTCAGACATGTCACGGTCGATCTGGAAGCCGGCGTTACGCTCGCGGAAGCTGAGGCCCTCAAAGTGGCGCTGCAGCGCCTCCTGGATGACGTCATGGAGCGGATGTTCCTGGGGAGACGAGCGTGGGGAGGGTCACTAACGCAAACCGGCGGCATTTGTCAATAGGGAGAGGTCGAGATCCGAAGCCCGTTTGGAGAGAGATTAGCAGTGTCTAACTCATTCAGCTCCACGACTTCTGAGATGCAGCTATGAATGGATATAGATGAAGGAATAAACATGAATAAATTAATATGAATGAATGAATGAATGAATGAATGAATGAATGAATGAATTTATTAATTAATTAATTAATGAACAAATGAGTGAATGAATGAATGCATATGAAAATCAGTGATAAGGCCGGCAATGTTGAATCATGGAAGTCAGGTTACGATTACACTTCAAAATCACTGCGTAGATCCCTTTCCTCAGCCGGCAATCATAATCCCCTGTCCCGCGTCAACTAACACCCCGCCGCCCTCCGGAGTACTAGGGCCGGTGTCGTTACGGCACTCACCACCTCGCCAGTCTCAAGCGGCGGCGAGTCGTCAGTGGGGAACAGCCGGGACACCTTGTCCTGCAGGATGCTGACGCCGCC